TGTTTTTTTTTATGCTTACTAGTTATTTTATTTTATTATAGTTTGTTTTAATTATGTTTTAACTATGTTTTTTTTACTATGTACTGGCTCTGTGGCACTCTGAGATTTTTTTAATGAAAAGTGCGTTATAAATAAAATGCATGATTATTATTATTATTATTATTATTATTATGTACACACACGACTCTGCCAATTTTATTTTTATACCAGCTCAAAGGATGTGAAATTTAGGTTAAAGCTGCAGAGAGAGTGGGACTCTCACTCTAGGTTTCAGTAGATTGACCTAAATACTGCAGTCAGAGACTTGGCCATATATGGATTGTTCTTTTGTAAAACTGCAGTAAAAGGAAAGGAAGCTTATGTTATATTGCTCTTTGTTTTATATCCTCATCCACTACAGAGTGGTAACACTGAGACATGTAAAGCTCAATACATACGTGTGTGTGTGTGTGTGTGTGTGTGTGTGTGTGTGTGTGTGTGTGTGTGTGTGTGTGTGTGTGTGTTACACTTTCTTACAATATCTACAGTGCAACTTCAAGATTTTGTTTTGGGTGAAATGTTTGTGGTTTGTTACTACATATCACAGATTCAACGTATTTTTTGGGTCGGAATATGCAGTCACTCCTAATTAGATTGACAGCTCTTTTAATACATATACTCAATCTAGACAACAGTTATAAATGATTTCAGTTGTAATTAGAGAAACAAATATCATTACGACAAACTGTTCAATTATATATTTAAATGTGCTTTTAATTTATAAGAGCATAAAACATTTCAGATTGCTCCTTTGAAGTCATCTGTCTCAACAGTTTGAATGAGGGCCATGTCTTTGCGTAAATGCTCACTTGTTTTTTCTTGTCACTCACTCTAATCACTTCAGTCAATACAATGAGATCTTGCAATCAGTGTCTGTGTCACTGCAGGCACTGATGTCTGCATTGTCGACTTCTTCTTTTTTACACGACTGTTCGAGCTATTGTATTGTGCCGGAGCATATTCTTCATTCGTCATCTTATTACAGCAACTATTGCCCTGTGTAGTCTGCAGATTAATGTATTCTTATTGACTGCGCTTGCAATGCACCTTAATACAATGTGACAATTTAAATCCATGTTGTGTGGGAAACAGTTGAGCCAGATTCAAATCATCGCACCCATCTGCCAGTCATACTGGTTATACTTCTCATCCCTTTTCCCTTATTTGTGTGTATATATATATATATATATATATATATATATACGTATATATATTCATGTTGTGCATGGTGTTCATTTTGATGCTGGTTCCACATTCAGATTTGTGTTGCTGTCGAATATGAAATCCATGTGAATCCCTGGTGAGAAGAACAACCAAATGGGATTTGCAAACAGGAAACTGGAAGGATGACTTACAGCTTTCCTCTTGTCTAAACTCACAGTACAGAGAAAACAGTCCCTGTGAGACTCTGTCTCTGATTGTCCCCCGTCTCTATCTCTCTGTGCTCCCCCGTCTATTTATCTCTCACCCTCGCTCTCCGTCTCTGAGCAGCAAGTGCAAAGAGTGAGCACAGCAGAGGGGAGTGTTGTAACTTGATTTTCCCTGCCTGTTGAGTGTATGCTACTTAAGTACTTGAACTCATCTGCATGTTTATTAACTAGTGCTGCTAATCACATCTAGAGGAGATTTTCTCCTCCTGAGGAAACGATTGCGAGGAAAATGTTTTGCCTGCACGTAAACACGGTTAACTTCTACCCGTAGACTGCCTCATAGGTAAGATGTTTTATAAATGAGCCGTATGAGCAAAGTAGTTGACATGTCTGTGATGTTGTGATGTCTTCTCTTGAGGCCTTGTGTAGTGCGCCTACAGCAGAGCAAGCACAGCTTTACCAGCCCACTACTGTCTGAGATAACAACGCTACAGAGGCACAGGCAAACACGTATGTGCACATACACACACAAGCTGCACCACTGCTCAAGGCCAAGTTATTTTGCTCTTCCTCTTTTCTGTGAGGTAGAGCAAAAGCTATTTCTAAAGTATTTTCTTGTAAGGAGGTGTTTATGGGTGACCGTGGGTGCTCTCTGCATCCATCTTGGGAGTGTTATTTCATCCTTTTTTTGTACTAAATGCATTGGACAATATATGTAGTAAAAACAAAAAAGGAGCTACTTTCTTTATCCCTCCTAAAAAATAGCCCAAACATAGAAACAAATAGCAACATTCCCCGAAAGCCTGGATGAGTCGTCAGTAAAGGCCCTGTGCAGAGCGCTTTGTCATCCTGGAACGTGACCAGAGATATGTTAGTCGCAGCGTAGCTCAGCACAAGGAGAATGCATCGGCACATAAAGAGCCCACTAACAGAAAAGGAAACGTCAACGTTGATTCTGGAGGCTGCAGACACTGGTAGGATAGCAGCCACAACTGAAACTTACGATGTTACCAGATTGTGGAAGACTGAGTTACTCTATTGTGCATTTCTTTTTTGACTGGGTTTTATTGCAAGGGTTTTATTTCCCTGCAGAATAGGGAACTCCGCCTCATTTTGGGAAGTAACCGGGTCATGGGAGGACCGCATACTCCTGTAGAGGCTCATCACAGAAGTATCTGTGACTCAGCAGTTGTCAAGAACCCTAGCAGTCGATATAAATGTATGCAAAGATAACAGACTTTCCTCTCCCGTTGCGCTCACTTTCCTCTCTCCCAGTGTGTGCTTCAGGCTGGTCCACTTTCACTCATTTGCAGATTTATTTCTGTGAACTCACGGTCCCAGAGTTTTTAGATAAGATTGCACTTGATTTGTCTTTATTGAGTGTCAGTGTGAAAATAAGGGTAACAGCTTACAGGGGTCATATCAATCTCAAAACGAGAGCAGGCTGGCTGACTGCAAAATATTCTCCCCAAGACACAACACACAAAACTGTCGTCCTACTCACAAACACGCCCTGCCTCGCTTTTCTTGTTCCTCTCTTGCTTCGATTTTGAGAGAGAAAGCTCTTTTCTATTCTCTTTTATGTATTTTTCTCTGTCTGTCTCTGGCTTCTTGTCCTGTCTCCACTAGTCAATCTTTCACTCACAAAGTCACCAAATCACTATATCTCCCCCTCAAACACACTCACCAGCAGCACCAACTCATTCTGTCACTCTCATATCAGCACAGACTATCTCACTCACCATCATGCTCAAGAAAACAGGAACTCTTATTTTTGCTCTCCTCCCCCTATTCTTTTTTTCGCTCTACCCTCAGCTTGTCTTGCTTTTCCGACTCACACCTTATCTGCCCTTTCCTTTTTCTATCGGCTTAGCTCAGTGACGGAGCCTGTCTGTCGGCACGGAATGTATCCCACCAGCTGAAAGCAATGCGTCATGCATAGTGAAAGCCGTTTGAGCCTGTCACAGCCTGTCCCATCCAAGAGGGTTCACCATAACACTTTGCACTACAACAACTTGCTCCGATGTAAACCCGGAAAGACCTTGCATAATAAAGGTAGATCTCCAAAACCCTTTTTTGCCTTCATCCCTGTGCAGTTTCAGCATAATTTCAACCTTGGTGCCTCTCTCTACTGTTCTGAAAAAGTGGTGGGCAGAAAATAAAGACAATAGCAGGGATATGGTGGTAGGAGGAGACAAAGAAACAGACTTAAGAGGAGGTAGGAGGTGATGAAGACAGGAAGAGTGATCTGATTTTTAGTAGAGAAAGAGTTGGATGAAAGTGGAGGACAATGAACGCCGATAGCGGACAGAAAGATTTTCAAAAACTCTTTGGTAAAAAAGAGGAGGAAAGAGACAAAGATGGATGTGTATTAGATAAAGATGAGTGTAGAGAGGAACTTAAAGGGAAGAAACAGAGGGAGAGACAGAAGCTGGCTCAACGATGAATGGTTTGATGGGATAGACCACAGGATCAAAATGATATTAATTACCAAGTACAACAATGTCCAGGATGTTTTCTTGAGTTTCATATCAACGGACCTCTCAATTCAAACCGTAGTCAAAACAAAGACTAACCTGAAATGTGAGAACCAATAACAATAAGAGCAATGATCAGAAAGGGAGATATTAAAAAACACAGGAGACAGACACCGGAGACGGATTGTGGAGGGAAAGCAGCCAAGACAAAATTCTGCACAACTTTAGCGCTCTGATGACAATCTCCTCTCTGTTGTGTTATTGCAGGAGCCTCTCAAGGCTTCGGTGTCAGCACATTCAAACTGCACTCTGCACAGTGATAGTGGTAGGCTATCTCAAAATGTCCTGAGCCTTGCAGCAGTAATGCTAGGCTATTAGAGTTAACTGCTGACCTGTAGGAACGAACATCGACAGCGTCTCACTAGGCTCGGAAATGTTATACCTTCAGTCTACTGAATGGAGGTTTTTTTGGCTGTTGTATAACCATAAATGATAGATTTTGGGTGTCAAGTGGGAAAAATGTATCGGAAATTATCATCATGTGTCTTCAGAAAATGCTACAAAGCTGTAGTGTGGATGCTCAGTACATGTGTAGATGCAAGGAATGCATGCGCACACTGAGACAACGCCTTTGTCTCCCAATGAAGCAGCTCACTAAGCTGTCACTGGCCGGTGCTGAGTCACTTTATTTCAATTGAGAGCGAGCGAGCAGCCATTCGGCCTCTCCCCTCAGCCCCTCTGCTCGAGCGGGCCCTGCAGCAGAGAGGGGTGCGCACCTCGACAGGGTAATAATAACTGCAGACACATAGAATATCAAGCATAATTGCAATGTCGTTTGTCATTTGTCAAAAGTTTACCCGGCTGACATTTTCTAGGTGTTATGTGGAAGACGAGGCTGATTTCGATGAAACTCTTCGAAAGGTCATGTTCAAACTGAGCCGGACTCCATGCTGACTTTCACTTTCATTGCCAAGTCGTACGCAGCGCTAGATTGACTTTAAAACGGGTAGAGCTTCACATGCAGTGGGGAATCAAACCCCTGGGATTTGTCTGTCTCTTTTTCATTGTACTGTATGGAGACAGGGTTGACTGTGCTTTTTTTCATTTTCTACAGTGTGGGTGCGGATGAAGAAGAAAATCCAGAGGACCTTTCTTTTGAGGTAAAAACACTTTGTCACTATTCAGTAATCCATGTTTTATCCACTCTTTTTCTCGTTTATTGCTGCAGCCTTTGTCCCCTCTGGCATTGAACTGTATTTGAATATGCAGTGCCACAACTATCTAGAGTTTTATATGCTAATTCCCACAATATGAATTGAAGAATTACAGATGTCAGTAGAAAACAGCTGTCAAGGCTTCAAAGATACAATAATCAGTAATACAATTATCTTTATAATAATATCTCTGTAGACGGCTAAAAAATAAAACTTTGCAGTTTTGTTTGCTTTCCAGATTAGCAGATGGAAGCCCAACAGCTTTTAATCACTCATTCACAATTCTTGACATAAATTACATTGACTTTTACGTTTACGTGCACCAAATATCAAAGTCTTTGCCCTTATTCTGAAAAAGATAATATTCCTAATAAGCTCTTTACATGGCTGATGAAAATGAATAATCCACTAATATTCTCGTTTACATATAGCCATATTCTGATTAACTTAAACAACCCCATACTGCGTCCTCGTCACCGAGGCCAGTGCATCCCAAGTTAACGCCAATCTCAGCTGTGTGACAGGGGTTGACGCCCTAACATGTCGTTTATCACGTCAAAATATGGAAAAGTGGAACGGCAGGAGATGTTGTGCCAGCTTGTTTAACTGTGAGAACAGAGTCTCCCTCTTTCATTTCTTCAACGGAATATGATGTTTACCTGAGCCATATCAAATTCTGAATATTGTCACAATAGTGGAATATAAGTGTACATGTAAACGTATAGTCATTGTTGTTTACAAAGTGTTTCTACATAATGTATTCAGGATCTTGTGCTGTAAGCTGTGCTTTCTGCTTAGTTGCCAGCTCTCCCCACTGGAGGGAACTCAACAAAGTGAGAGAGGCTCGATCCCATTCGAAGACAATGAAACTTCATTTGGTTAAGAGCTATTTTTAATTACCACTAAAGTGCTGCAGGGCTGTACTGCGTCACATTCTGAGTCTGTATGTGCTTGACTACTAGTACAGAGTATTTTTGCACATTACAGGGACAACAATATGCAGCATATCTACACCTACTGTGCACAGCAAGGATTTACAGCATATATCCTGCCATCCTCTTCCACGGACACGTAAAGCTTCTACCCTTAATCTAGGCTCTGTTGTTTATTTGAGGACTGCATGCCATCAAAGCGGAGAAGAGGTTCAAGAGGAGAAATGCACTTTTTGCTTCCTGCTAAATGACAGTCTGTAGCGCATACTTGCCGGCACACAGGCACTTCTGAGTGCATTTTTTGTCGTGCAGGTACGTCCACACACTCACCCCTCCCACCTTTCCGCCAGTGCTTCCCAGCAGCTCTCCATCCCCTCTCTTTTATCTTCTTATTTGACCTGGCGTATCTGCACACTGTGAATGGGACATGGTCTGGGCAGCTCCCTGGCATTATGAGGCCAGAGGGGCAGACTAAATAGGCAGCGTGGCAGGTAAGGCTGGAAGGGGATCTCAGGGAAGAGGTGAGGCCAAGTCTCTGGCCCTTTCTTATGGAAATGGTTAGATGTAACCTTGCCCAAAATGAGAGTCCGCACAGGCACTGCTGGGGGCGTGTTCTTACTGTAGCAAGAAGGGACCTCTCGGGGCTCTGCCATTTTTTCGAACAAGATTTTCCTATTGAAGCACAAGGCCCTTGGTCCCACTTGTAAAAGCTGAGGTCATTGGATATGGCCCCGCTGACTATCCAGGGGTGCAGGCTTTCAACATTTCCATCAGGCAGCGCATGTAGTCACCCCCGAGGGTCCTAATGTGTCAATGAGTAACAGTGGTTCTCTCATGGTCTACAGGTTGCTACAGGGGGGCCAGACACGTCAGGAGGCCTGTGGCACCGTCTGGACTACAAGTATCCTTTCACTGCTTTCTTCTCACATCTGCTCAAACTCACAATGGTTAATGCACTGGTCTGTCGAGTGATACCATACAGTGAGTACAAGGGAAACTAGCAGAGTGATTCATTTCAGGGAAGGTGAAGAAAGACCCTTATGTACTATGATGGCAGAACAAATCACATAGTTGAGAGATATTTTGACATTTTTGGAAAACAGTTTCCAGCATAAAGGAAGCGGCAATCCTGGCTATGTTCACAAGTAAGTTTCACACAATATCAAAGTGCATAAAAAGACAACATGAGGTTTTACAGGGGGTATAACCACAACCTGATTTAGTTAGCTTTGGACAGTCATGCTGGCTGTTTCCCCTGTTACCAGTCTATATGCCCAGCCAAGCTAACAAGCTGCTAGCTGCAGCCTTATGTTTACCCGACAGACGTGTAAGTAATATTGATATTTTCATCTAACTTGCAGCAGTAAACAAAATTACTTGAATTTACTTGCTGTCGACTACATGGTGAGCTGGAATCCTGTATGTGAATGTATTTAAATCATTTCGGCAGTAAGAAAACAGTCCTGTCCTCTGCAGCTGAATTTCATGCAGACATTAAGTTTAAGCTAATCTAATTTGACCACTTAATGGCCTCATGACCTGGCCCGGTGCTCAGTGGGAGCACATCATTTTATTTTATGGACTCTTATCTCCGCTGCACAACAATGAAAGCGAGTCTGCTAGCACATTAACTTTGAGTATTCGTTTTATGCATGGCTGTGTTAATATTTGATATTCGATTTTTTTTTGTTTTTGAGAAGTGCATTTAAAGTGAGTAACTGTTAGGGGACATATATGATTTGACAGTGTTGGTAGATCAATAACCACTCACTTTGGTTTGGAAAAGCTGCAAGAGAGCAGGTTTAGCACTGTTTTAGGCAAAATGGAGCTGTTTATGGAAAGAAATACCTTCTTGGGTCAACCAGTTGTCCTAAAAATCTAAATCTCGTAGCTGCTCTTCATAGTTGTAGCTGTTCACAACAAAGGGTCCTATAGCGTGAGAAACAAGTGGCATACTTTGGCTTGTTGATCCATGTTATTGCAGTCAGTTTTCTCTGACATAATAACAGTAACTGTTTATATCTGTATTAACGCGGCCCCTCTAGATTGTACTTTGCATGTCCTCTCAAATTCAATCAACAGGGAAGATCTGTTAACACTACCTTCAAGTGATTCTTAGTTATTGGAAATGATGAGTTATACTCATCGAGGGAAATCATTGAAAATGTGTTCATATTTTGAGCTTTACATTTTTTGCTTTACTTTTGATTTAGTGTGAACAAAGACACTCATGGATTACATTATAGATTGTTCTGTAAGGATTGGTGACCATGTCCCTGATCAAACACATTTTAAATTCAGACCGTTAAACCACTAAATGCAGAAAAGGTCAATGTGGTTGTATAAGTTGTGAAATCCCTGTAAAGCACAGAGCTGGATATTACCTCATGTCCTTCCAGAGAGAGAGAGAGAGAGAGAGAGAGAGAGAGAGAGAGAGAGACGCTGTGAGACGCTGTGAGTAGGATGAAAGGCACAGACCTGGCCATAGTTTCCTCTTGATGGAAAAGAAAATCGTATTATAGAGATGCTTTGATGTGGACCAGGTGAGAGCAGCCTCAGCCTGGAACCCGCTGCCAGGTAATTGAACCTCAGCTTGGCTTGCCGGTGTCTCATCCGAAAGACACTGCTGCTTCCTTAAACGTTTCCCTGTCAGCCTGGCTTCAAGGCACATTAGGACAAACATTTAACTCTTAAGCAGTGATTTTGATGGACATCAAAGCCTGTTTGATGTTTCCTGCTGAAGTGGTTTGCAGACTGTGGTTTCGGGGCTGGCAACCGCTGTTTTTGTTTTGAGTCTGGCTTCCCGCAGGCCACCCGGGGTGGCTACATTATGCAGTTGGCTCGGTCTGTGAGTCTGTGGTTGTGACTCGGGAGTTAAATCTCTTGTGTTCCCTATATTTGTGTTGTTATATAATATACCACAGTAGCAAGGCATAAACAATGCTGTCAGATAAATATAGTGAGATATAAAGTACAATAGTTTTCTCTCTCTGAAATGTAGTAGAGTAGATGTATTAAGTGGTGTAAAGATATAAAACTAGATCCATCCTTGGTTATTGTGAGATGAGTTTTTTTTGTACAGCCACCAACAAGTTCTAAAGGTATTCTTAGACATTTTTGGAAATAAGAAGAAAGGAAAAGATAAATAAATGTCAAACTATTTGTTTTTAACGTGGGAATATGGTCGCAGCCAAAGAATATTCTTAGATTAGAAATAATTACATTCTCCATGTTATAAAATACGATTAAACAAGATGATTTTACCTATTATAATCTATATCTGTATCAATCTATTTATCGCTCAGGTAGGGAATGATGCTTGCTGCGATGATGGCTGAGGCAGCAGTTGGGTTTCTACCCCCACACAACTACTCAGCACTTTCACACACACACGCACACACACACACACAACCTGACACCCTTGTGGAGCAGAAAGCCGCTCTAACAGTTATAATTACCATCGCTGTCTAGTGTTATGCCAGCGTGGAACAAGAGGACACCATGCCGACAAGACGACAACTCATTCCTGCAGGTCCCTCGGAAGTCATTATTCCCCCCTTTTCTACCTCTTCATCCTTCATCCCTGTGCTCGTTCTCTGTCCCTCATTTGAGATATTTATAAATAAATCCTTTTTGCTGGCAGAATAAGTCCCACCTCTTGCATTTTGCTGATAACGACACCGGAAAATAAGAATTGGTGCCAAATAACATATTAGATAATTTCCCTCTGCTCTTTGTTTTATGTGCTTATGCCAGGGGATTGTGTACTTCCGTGCTGCCTAAGTACCACATTATTAAATTATAGACTCTGAGGTACAAAGGTTGCTTTTGTACAGAAATCATAACATTGGTAAACATTGTTTTGTCTTTTTCCGAGGCGCAATGAGAGCAAAGTGTGAACGCCTGCTGAAGGGCAATTATTATCAGAAACTTTTTTTCAGCTTAAAGCTAGTTTGTGTGCCGTCATTTGTAAGGGTCTGTAATGGAGAGGATACAGAGTCAAGTGTATCACAAGATCGGCTGTCACCTATCTACTGTGTGCAGACATGTGGCCTGAGAAGAGGCGTTAGACGGTACGATATGTCTTTGTTGTTATCAAGTTGCTACCTACCATCACAGCCCACAACCCCGCCATGAGACTTTACCACAACACATGACATCTGAAAAGGGCCCGTTCTACTCCAGCTCTCAACACTGATTAGAAATATGCTTGCCTGTACTGAATCAACACTTATATACACTAGCTGCCTCAAGTTTTAAACAAGTGCAAGAGTGACCCCTCTTGCGTTGATGCCTTTTTTCTATGAGTAAATAATTTGCATCTCTGTCAAGCTCCCTGCAGTTCTTCCTGCAAGTTCTGCACCCACTCCTGGAAAGTCTTTCTTTATTGCATATTTTATTGTGGGCTTTTATTTCTGAAGACAATTACCCAGCAGAAAAGAATTACTCACTCTAACCAATACTTTCTAACATAGTCACTGTCCTGATTTGCCCTCCCACATCTGCGGCTAAACAATAAACATCCCCCTCAAAATCCTTTGGTCCCACCCATTTTTAACATACTTAGCTAAGTCAATACAATTGTCTTCTGAACCTTTATGAATTCTCTAAAACACGTCAGTGAAAGACAACTGCCACATTACACATACAGTATCTCACTAACTTGTCCCTAGTTTGATGTTCTTTGGTTCTGCTACAATTAAAGCTTGGTGACCTGAAGCCAGATTTGGAAAAGGAAAAACAATTTTCGTCTCTGTCATTTACAGTCATTGACACTTACACACCTTTGCCACTATGACTTAACAAGGTCACAGATATCTAAAGCCGGTGCTGACACATTGTGGCCCTCCCCTCACCGACTCACTGCCACAGTGGTGTGGGGTATTTGCCAGACTCTTCAGCCCCCATGTCCAGGAGGTAAGACTTCCCTTGTGTTAATACATACTGTAAACATCTTCAGAGAACAGAACAAAATTAAAGTTACTGCTTGTCATTCAGGACGAAGAGCAGCTGTGTGGGACTGAACCAGATGACTCCCCCTCAGACTTGGAGAAAACGGAGAACCAGCTTGGATCTCTAGGAGGTGACTCTGGATCAGCGCACCAGGAAGACCTGCTGGAGGGAGACCTGGGACTCGGCACTGCTCCTGCTCTCGCCAGGGATGCCTGACGCTCCAGGAGTCATCTACAAGCCAAGCTCATCAGACCGTGCTGCCCTGAGGCGAAGGCTCTGCCTCCCACAGTGAATGGGGTCACTGGCCAGGGCATCTGAGAGAAGCCGACCGGGAGTCGGCGTTACAATGGCTCCCGAAAAGGTCACGCTCTCCCCTTGTGCTGACGTGCATGCAAAGACACACTCGCAGAGGGAGGAATTACGAAGGCCATTGCTCTCTTCCTGTAGCTCTGCTGATTATTTTCTTGGCTTGTTTTGCTCCAGTTTCAAGGAATGTAATTGCTGAAAAAGAATGATTCATTCTGCCTTCGAGTGCCTAATGTTTAACACAACCAACAGGAGGCAGAAACTGACCTCAACGAACTTTTCACACAGCAAGCAAAATGATGATGCAACAGTTCTGGTGAAAATACAGCTTGTTAAGTCACACATTAATTGCCAGTGGAGTAGCTTCATGCTACTCGGAAGAATTGCTCTCGAATTGAAAGCTACTAAATTTCCCATAATCCGCTAAATGGTATTTTTGTGCCATCTTTGCTTTGCTCTTCCCCAACTCCTTATTAAACTTATATTGCACTATTTTCTGCTATAATCCTTTTAACAGATTAAAAATGTATTCCATTGAATTTACATCCCCCCCTTCACGACTTGCTCATTCTGCTTCAGACTAAAATAATTCCAAATGTTAAAGTATATTAACAGCATTTGGCAGAGGCCATTAGCAAGTGAGGTTTCCCTCTGACTTCTCTAGAGATTGGACTTTGCTGCTTACTGAGTACATCATTATAAATCTCTTGGTCCCATTCCCCTTGTGTGACGCAGGGTGTTGTGTACTGCACACATCTAATCTGTGAAGGTTAGGCTTTGTGAATATGCAGACTGTTAATACAGTCATTGTCCTTGAAGTGAGGGCTTTCCATTTTATGCTGTGAATGCATGGGTGCATTAATAGAACGCTCCTCCGTTTCAGTCCTCACTTGATGCAGAGAAGCACACTGCTTTCTCCTTTGTTTGCAATGATGTTTGAATTCACTTTTGTTCTGAGCCAGAGACTGAGTGATAGCAACATAGCATCACGAGTCCTCAGGTGGAGACGCTCAAGCTTTAATTCAATCCTTAAAGAAACAGTTACCCCCAAAAAAACACAATTATTTTTTGTTTAATTTCTCATTGTTGGTTTAATTCCGAGTACAATCGCACTAGTTTTGGTGTGATTTGCTGAGATTGGAAGCTATTAATATCAAAACATAAAAATTTGAAAACTCAATGGCAGTATCTCTTTTCGGCATATGGCAGCTACTTCTGGTGAAGAAAAAAAACTATATTTTTAATGTTTTCACTGAGAAGTACTCACTGAAGTACGCCCACCAGCTACAGCATCTATCTCTGTGCAGGGAGAAGAAACTGCTCACTAGGGCTTACAATGTCTCTGTGTAACCTTGTTGAGCAAGAAAAGACGCTGCTTGTTGAGCTTTTCAAGTGTCATTTTTGGCCTTTTTTGAGCATCACGAACCAAATTCTACTGAGCTGTTTTCACTGAAGTGCAATCAAACCTCTAAACCTCAGCAAATCATATCAAAATCTGGATGGAGTTGAAGTGGAAATAGAGCTTTGTTTTTATGAAGTGTCCCTTTAACTTTTAAATTTGTATTCAAGTGATTTGATATTAGTGTATTTCCCTTTTACAGCCAATTCTCTGACAACATTTACAGTATTTCTGACTACAATGAATAACATCTTTATGACACATACTTATTAAAAGGTACCCTGTAGAGTGTTTCCCCACTAATAACATTATAGAGCAATGTTTTTAGGCGTGGGTGCCCGCTTTGTTTGCTCTCATGCCTGAGGACGCACATGCATGTGGATGACGGGACACACATTTCTGCTCATGGCTTCACAGTATTCCACGGATCTAAATCCCCAAGTAGAAGAAGTAAACCTTGCTGTTAACAATGCATGTTTCATACTTGCTTTGCAATTGTTTTATAAAGAATGAAATGCACTCAGCACGTTACGTAGACCTCAAGGATACACATGGTGTGTGTGGGTGAGAAACGCTGACTGTAAACAGAACCTCCACAGGGCGCCTTTAAGTTACAGCGAATAGCAACAAATGTGTGATGCTATTCCAGCACAATGGTTCTCAAATGGTGAGGGAAGGCACAGTGATGCATAATGCACTGAACTAAGGGATGCCTTGAAACATCTCATGAATATAAAGAACAAAATGATTACAAACCCTATACGTAATAAAGATACGTGTTAACAGCATATCATTTTTTGATACCACAATATCGATTAAAGCCAGCGGCTCGCCGAGTTGGATTCTGTTTTACTTTGCCTCATGCACCGGACTTTGAGAACCACTGGTCTAGTGCTTATGTTTTTGATCAGGATTTCGACATGTACTGTACAGCAGTGGGGGGTCGTTCGACACAGATGCGTAAACTGTCTTGTTAACTGTGAACTTTACTCAATATGCAATATTCCCAGATCATGTGTTTTTATAAGAGCAAGCAATTGTAAACATTTTGAAATGGTAGAACAGGCTGCTTACACCGACACTGAGAGAGACGCTCCAGCTCCAGAGCCATGACACATTGTCCATAGTGCATGATATCATCCTACGAGGACTTGGTGACAGAAATCAAAACATCCTCGTTTTTTAAAAACTAGAAATATCACTACTGCTGTTCTGATGTAGCCTAGTCATCACACCTCTACCTATGGCACATCAACAAACCAGTTTATTGATTGTCTCTGACTTAAACCAGATCTTACAAATAAACATCAGCAATGAGCTTTTTTTTTTTGAATCAGTTCTTTTTTGTTTTTCTGTCATCAACTATTTTCACTTTTACAGACAGTATGGAGACTGAAAAAAAACTTTTTTTGTAAGGTTTTGAACATTCAAAAATAACCTCAAAATATTCACTTTGAAGTGTCATCATAACAAGATACATGAATTATACAGTTGTAGTTTCATTGTTGCAGCTTCACTAAGTCATTGTTCACAGGCCTGACATTGTCACATCCAATATTCCAGTATAAAAGAAGTGGTCCTTTCAAATTCCACAGCAGAGAGAAACATGATACATTCCAAATGTGGCCCGTGGAGCTCCTCCAACACGGAGTTAAAGTAAAGCTTTAATTCCACAATAAGAGGAAACGGCACTCGATGCAAAAGGAACATTAAATTAAAAGGTCTTTGGTGGAGAGTAGGTTTTCACAGTTTGGAGTATGTCAGTAGTGATTTGCTCAAGTCTTTGGCCTCCCCGGCTGTTCTGACTCTTTCATACCCCAGAACAGACATGGCATGGTGACAGTAGTCCTCCACTTGTTTGATCTGTTGAATGCTGAGCACTGTCCTCCATGCACTGGCAGCCTGTGTGGCGTTCCTGGACGACACTATGAATGGCTTAGAGGAGGAGCTGGAGCCACTGGTCATGTTCAGTGCAAATGACTCGATGTCGTGGTTGGAGGTGAGGTTGGCAAAGCGGTAGATGTTCCGCAAGGTCTTAACTGGGTTCTCGACCAGGTCCTCGTACCGCACTGCCATGTACTTCCCCTTCAGCCAGCTGGGTGGGTTTAAGGCAGTCCTCAAAGTCCTGGAGGTGCGGTCACAGATCACCTCCATGGCTCCTATGGAGTGGTAGTCTGCGCCATCCTTCTTGTTGGCTTTGTGACCAGGATCCACAAAAGGTATCCGGCGAAGTTTAGGATCCCTGCTGCGGACCACTTGTAAATTCTCCCGTATCAGGCCGTGTCTGGATTTGATCCTGGAGTTTGCCACTGCCCGCGGGTCTCTGACCAGGTGTATCACCTTCAAATCCAAGGATGGATCCTCCATGAGCGGGGCCAGCACATTAACGTCCAAAATGCGTACCCCTTTAATGACTATGGTGCTATATTTGAGGCACTCCTCCTCCAACAGTCTAAGGCTTTGAGGGGGGCACTTTTTACACACCTTATCATCCACCATCCCCACCACCTCTTTCCTGTAGGCGGAGCAGAGGGGGTAGGAGCACACCACTTTATTGAGGGTGGCCCCAAATAGTCCCAGGGAGGTGAAATTCTTGCCCCCGGGGCTGTTGTAAAGTTGGAAAACAGACAGATCACAGCGGTACAAGGAGCTAAGCATGTCCCTGGCTGCCCCTTGTAAAGACACCGCGTCACCCGGGTACAGTTTCTGCCAGATGTGCCACATCGGCTCATACAAGAAGAACACTTCAGGGTTTTGGTTAAAAAGCTCCCCGAAAAAGGACGAGCCCGACCTCCAGGTGGTCAGAACATAGATGAGCTGTCTCTTTTTAGCCAAAGAGGGCCTGTACAGGAAGCGAATGTCGGATCTGCTTTGATATGTGGTGCTCCTCATCTGATGATTGCACTGCTGAGGCTCTTTAGTCCATTTATAATTAGCCAAGTTAAGCATAGTGAGGACCAGTAGTAAGAAGTAGGCCATAAATAACACGATCCTCTTCCTGCGGAGGACTTTCATCACGATCCCCGGCTGCGCTATTATCTTGGTATGATTCCTGTAGGTTTTAAGCTTCCTCCCAAAGAAGGCATCCTTCTCCCAAGGCGCTGTCAACTTCAGTGGCTGATGGTATTGTTTGCCTCTCATCTGTGCCCTCGGAGAGTGGCTCTCACCACTGGACGAAGCTCCTTACATCGACCGTGCACCACCACGCTGCAGGATGTATACAGCCTATACTGGGACTTGATACCCACTTGAATAGCAGCTCATTAGGTTATATACTCGCCACCAATTTGAAAACACGATATCCCGTTTTCACTGCACTGCGCAATGTTCTGCGTGGGAATGGATGAGACGAGCGCGTAAGTGGTCCACGGCGAGCGGTACGGTGATTTTGTGGGTGGTCAAAACAAAAAGGAAGAAGCCTTCATTATTGTAACAGACGCCCTTTTTGTCCATGTTCAGCGGAGGCATCCCTGCGCAGTTCCCGTCAGATGCATCCTTGTAAAAGGCAGCCTGCTAGGATTCAGGCATCGCAGACAATAAAAAACCCTCACGATTTGACGCGCCTTTTTTTCGGAGCTCACATCATTCCGCATCTGCCGTAACGGATCAGTGAACGCCAAGTATCCACGGACACCGCGTTTAGTGCCAGAGTCCCTCGTTCTTCTTGCTGCTCTGCCCGTCCAACTAATACAAACTAGACCGATTCAATCAGAATACGATGGAGAGAGGCCCGCCCACAGAGGGGCTCTATTGGCCCGCGTGGCGGCGTCGTGCGTCAGCGAGCCGCGCCATTGGATCTGCTGCACGTCTGTCTCGCTGCAGGCTCGAGTCTGGCTCCCACAGATCGCAGCAATGGTAGACTGTGGGAAATGATGATGATGCTGTTGTTGTGTTTCAGAGAGGCCTACCCCACTATCTGCACCCTTGTAACCATGCTCCACCCTTTTTTTTAAAGACATGCAGCTGCACACTATACCAGGTGCAAGTGCTGAATAGGGGTTTGACGGTTACTTGGCTAAAACGTCACAACCTCACTCATCCCCATTGTCTTTAAAATTCCCTCTTTTTTTGTTTAGATTAGTCTGTTTTAAGTTGTTATTCTATAAAGAGCCCTGTCTTTACATTCATATTATGTATGCTCTCTTTATAGTGCAGAGAAGAATCAATATTTCAAATTAAATGCATTTGTTTCCCCCGCTACAGCCTCGAGAGGGTAATCCAGATCTATAGAAAAAGAAAACAGCTCCAAACCCTGAAGGGGAAATCCTATCATTAATTAAAAGTAAAATATAAAGACTTCAAAGTGAATTATATTCCTATTAGAGTACCACAGGGATATTGTTTGAGATGAAAAAATTATTCAACTAAATAATTGAAAATAATCTACAACAGTAGATCTAAAATAAGATTGCAGTGGGTTTTTTTTTGTCATGAATGTATTGTAAAAAGTCAGCAGCAGTGAGTGACACTCCTCTCGAGAGGAATCAGCTGAGTTGTGACATCTGACAGCTGTTCCCGAGGAACTGACAAGTCCTGGGAAGCTGTAAGGCCATGTGTTTGAACAGAGGAAACCACATGCTCTGCAGATTGAAAATCATCTTTCCTGAGAGGCTTGCCAGTTTGGGATTACAGCTCGGCACAATTGAACGGCACAAAACGACGGAGTGAAAGGGGTTAGGCCCTTTGACCCCTGATGAGCAATCTACGGCCTTATCATATTCAGATCGGGATTCAATTAATTTACAGTAATGTTTGATGATTTTATTGTGACCATAGTGTATTTATTTTTTGATATCTTGTAACTCCAACATCTTCTTAGCTGAAATATATGATTATATGGTCATACAAAACAGTGTAGACTTGTTTTTCCAGAGATCTGCTACAACTGAAGCTGTGTGTGCTTTTTTGAAAACAGCTTGGTTATAGGTTGGATTATGGAACTATGCAGTGAATAATGACTCTGTTAAGTGCACCATGACGTATACCCAATATGTACTCATTTTGTATTACTCATCCAACACATAGAAGAATAACCTTAGTGCAGACTGCCCTCTGCTGGAGCATGTTTCCAATCGAGACAAAAGAAACAGACATTTCAGACATGATGTAACTAATGTAGTTTTGCTATATTTATTCTAGTGTATGTATTTGATATCTTTTTTATATAAAGCGTTTTAGAAAACTGTTAATGGTTCAGACTTTCCGTCACAGTTTGTTTTCTTCTTCTTGTCTCATTAGTTTGTGATTGCTTATTGAAAATCTGATAATGTGACGCTGTAATTCCATCGCACCATAAAGCAGTCTGTATGTATCCCACCTATATTGTACATGATGTTCTTTTTGTTTATTTTCGTTTAAGGCCATTCTGGGAGGCTGTAGTGTTGGATGATTTCCCCACTTGGGTATGTAATTGCTTTGAAATAGAGTGGACTGGAAAATGTTCATTTAACATAAGAGCTCCTCTATGAATTTGAAATACTAAAAGCTAAGTTTTATGGTGATGAAAAGTCGTAAGAGGACACTGCATTACCCCACAGAGCAACAGAGTGAGTAAATAATTCAAATAATATAAAACATTGCAAAAAATCTCGCTCCCTTGTAGTACATAATCCCACTGTTTTACAACAGCCTATCAAACAATTCTAAACTGCCTGCTGGCTCACTGTAATGGCTGTCACACTGAATAGAAACGGGACCATAAACACCTGTGTTTACCCTGCTATGACATTCCAAAATGGCTGCTGTGAAAATAGCCTATATTTTTTTTTTCACAGAAAACATTTGGACATGCCCCAGTAGGAAAAACAGGGATGTAAATATTACAATTAATGCTGGATTCAGTGTCAGGTTCCTATTGTACAAGCGGGCTCACTGTCACACTGCCATGGCTAATTGGGACACTTGAGCAGAGCCATTGTTATTAGTAACACCTGTGTAATTTTACAAGTCCTCTGTGAAAAAGGTATGATATGATATAATAATTATAAGGACATTACACCTTACTGTATGTACACATTACAGGCACACACAATCCTGCACAGTCCATAGGAGTATGTTTTTCATTTGTCACATCGGATGATCATATGCATGACTACCTTGAGCCATATGCATTTCATATAATGCTTAAGAGTTTATGCAATAGCATACACACATCCAAAGATGTTTGTTGTTATGAAGAATGCTGGACCAGACACAGCATCTCTGCATGTATACAACACTGAGATGGTCAGTGGCCTACAAAGCTGCACTGACGTGCCTTGTTACATAATCATGCTTTCAGAGCCTGCGAAATGAACGAGCAGGTGGAGGAGGAAACATGCGCAGTAGCAGCCTCGTCAGCAGCATCAGGACCAAAAAGATCCACAGGAGCCCGCAATACAAGAAGATGGTGCATGTAAACACGCCGAGTGAGATGACTGTGTGTTTTTGTCGGACTGCAGTCGCCACTTGCATATGAAACCGACATTTGAATTCATTTCGTGCGGGGGAAAAAAGACAAAAGGAGGTCTTATTTTCAGCCAGCAGACGCGCGCAAACGGAGCGGCAGAGATGCAACGACAATAACAACACAAGATGAAATCGGTTTAGCCGCATGACGACGCTTTAAATCCTCTGCTGCGCTGCGACAGACGACAAAAGCGGGACCCCTCTCATGTCACCACGTATGACAGGCTTTCTTGTGTAATGGTCGCTGGTTTCTAGTGGGATGCACATCAGTGTTTGTCCGTACTCGCTCTCCGTCGTAATGGCAGCTCTGTACCAGGGCACGGACGCCTGCTCTCCGGATAAATTTCTGGCCTTGAAAGACGTGAGGGAGGTGAAAGAGGAAACTACGCTGGACGAGAAGCTCTTCTTGCTGGCATGCGAGAAAGGTCTGTTGTTATCTGTTTATCGTTTCATTGTTTCTGAAACTCAATATTGTTGGAATCAGATCGACTGCTGTGGGCTTATAATACTGATTAGTTACGATTTTACTTCAGCATTTTGTGTGACCAGCTGGCCGACATGCAATGTAGATAAAATACACCATGACTATACAACTTGACAGATTTGCAGCAGGGCCATTGCAGCAGGCAGGAAACTGTACAGTCATAGCACTTGTTTATTTTCTCCAGTGAATATCTCTCACAGCTGCCTACACAGTTGGCCACTGTGGAAATGTGCCCCCAGGGGCTATGATGTAATTAGCTGAACGTCTGCTCTTCTAAAAGTTTCTCTCCCTGGTCTGTTAACTTTTCACAGCTCCTATAGGAGGAAAGTTAATGCACACGAACTGGAGAGAAACTACTCCAAATAAAAAGAGCAAAGAGGCATGGGCATTGATAGCAGGCAGTGTTTGTTTTAGGTGAACAGCCAGCAACTGCCAGTGTGACCATATAAAGTATCTCTCAACATGGCTCGGCAGCAAAAAGTGTCCTTTGAGGGAGATGTTATTGTTATAGACAACTGAGGTTAAGAGGACTGCTGGAGCTGAGCCTGCAAGAGCGTTTGCCTCATGACTGAAGTTGTGTTTGTTTGGCTCAAACTGCGGATAACACTTTAGTGCTTTTATAGATCTGACTCTGCAATAATTCCCTGAAGTGGATTCCCTTCATGCTGCTTTGTCTTTGACACGCTTCTCAGGCGACTACTACATGGTGAAGAAACTGCTCGCGGAGAACCGCCACGGCGAGCTCAACCTCAACTGCGTGGACGTGCTGGGCCGGGATGCCGTCACCATCACCATCGAGAACGAGAATCTAGACATCCTGCAGCTTCTTCTGGAACATGGCTGCCAGGTAGCGGCACACACACTCAGAAAAAAACAATGCATGTACAAGACATGACTTTTTTAAATATTGTTGTCATCTAAGTTGTTTTGGCAAGTGTCCTGCTACCTGATGGCTTCGAAAATGTTTGTTTCTGTGTAGGCGACAGACGCCTTGTTGGTGGCCATAGACTCTGAGGTGGTGGGAGCTGTGGACATCCTCCTCAACCATAGGCCGAGGAGATCCTCCAAGCCCTCCATTGCAGTTAGTCTCCTCTTATTACTGTTATAAATCCCTTTTGCAAGAAAAACACTTCAGATGCAAAGAACAGGCTGATGAAACTGATCTTTTTCTATAATTTCTGCACAGTATTACAGATTTTCATCCGTATATTTCTACCTTTTTCAGAAACTGATGCAGCGTATTCAGAACCCAGAGTATTCCACCACCATGGACGTGGCTCCAGTCATCCTGGCAGCCCACAGGAACAACTATGAGATCCTGACTATGCTGCTGAAACAGGACATCTCGCTTCCCCGGCCCCATGCTGTGGGCTGCGAGTGCACGCTCTGCAACGCTAAAAACAAAAAGGACAGCTTACGACACTCCAGGTACAGGCAAACAGTGACCTAGAAGACAGAAACCGTAAAAGTGTGAATGCTGTTTGCTTTCCCCAGATGTCTGCATTAAGCTCCCATTGATTTAAACCAGAAAACTAGTGTTGCACTGAATTACTGTCTTCCAGATGATGCCTGGGTCATTTTATGCAATTGTTTTGGCCTTTCTCTGGTATGTAGGGGCTCAAGAGCAGCACTGAATCAATTGGTCTGTCACCTTGTTTTGATGATAGCATCAGCTTGAGAATGTCATCTTAAACATCTGGAATACAGTGTTTTCTTGTCCCAAAGAGGACTCCCAACGCTCTCTGTTATTGCCAAGCTCTTCCTATCTAGCTGTATAGAGAGGCAGTGTTTTGTTTACCAGTACTGGCTATATAAGTAGTAGTTTTACACCAGAAGATATTATCACTACAAACTGTAATTTAGAGGGAAGTTGCTTTCCTTAGACAAGCAATGCTTCTTAGTTTTCTGATACCATCTTGCAGATGAGATTTTGAGATGAGATTCTTCTCTGCAGGGCGCTTTTATTCTCTCTGCAGGGCAGTGTGGCTTCCCACACAGTAAGCTAAATGAATCAGGCTGCAGTTTGGCTGACAAACAGCACCGAGGTCAAAGCAGGTAGAAATGAAACAGCTAGATGGCTGTATGTTTGTTTCTACACTCCCTATTTTTCCTCATCCACACACCTCTGGTTTTTCCTGTTCCTTCCCTCACATTTTCATCTTCCCTTTCTTTTTGCCACCACTTTCACCTCCTCATCCAACGTGATATTTTTGGATCAGGTTCCGCCTGGATATCTACCGCTGCCTGGCCAGCCCCTCTCTGATCATGCTGACTGAAGAAGATCCCATACTTAGGGCCTTTGAGCTGAGTGCAGACCTCAAGGAGCTCAGTCTGGTCGAGGTGGAGTTCAGGTACGCTTCCGATCAACTGCTGCATGTCCGTCCGTCATGTCAGTGCATGTTTATCTCATTTCTCTGCACATAAAGATTAGAAACGTGTTGCACACGCACAGACATGTGTACATGCATGCACACAGTGAGATTGTAAACCCCCTTCCTTTATAGAATGTAACAGATAAGAATTTAATATTTCATGTGGTCTGGTTGTATCTTAATTCCCTTGTTCCAGGAATGATTATGATGATCTGGCAAAGCAGTGTAAGATGTTTGCCAAGGACCTGCTGGCTCAGGCTCGAAACTCTCGAGAGCTCGAAGTGATTCTCAACCACACATCCAGTGAGGATCAAGTTGACAAGAGGGGTTTGCTTGAGGAGCGAATGAACCTCAGTCGACTCAAGCTCGCCATCAAGTACAACCAAAAGGAGGTTAGACAGGCAAAGTCTGCAACATCCATGTTTTCTGCCATGTAGCATGCCAATCTTTGATATAAGTGGGTTGAGGATGTGGGTTTATATATTACTTGATCATTTAATTCCACAACTGTCCACGGAGAGAAAATAATCACATTAATAATACATTACCTCTTATGTACGGTACGATGTGTCGGACGTAACATCTGTTCCAGCACACCATGTGCTTGCCTTTTGGAAATATGAGTTTGGCAAGATAAAGCACTTCCTCCGGGCAACAGCAGTCAAAGACAAACTTAAGTTGGAAGTTTGAACCCCGGTGATGAGTTACAGCTGGGATGGCTCAGTATGAAAAGTGTGACCCATACATCACAGCACAGCTAGTGGCATACCGTTGTATCCTGCTGGAGAAAGGTTTGCCTAAAGGTTGCACATCAGATAACTACTACTTAGAGTCTTATTTATGGTTTGTTGATGGACTTTTATTGGAGGGAGAACATTGATATAATTGTAGCTGACTCACTTGAAAGTGTGCTGGTAGGCAGATTTTTCCTTCGGCCTGTTTGCCCCATTTCCTGTTGTGTTGTGTTTTGTGCTAAGCTAAGCTAACCGGCTGCAGCTTCATATTCATCCTAGAGAAAAGAGAGAGGCATCAGTATTCTCATCTCACCCAACTCTGGGCAAGAAAGTGAAAGAGAATTTGCTAATTCAACCTGTAATTTCTGTCAGTTTCACCTCTTCATGTTGATTTCTTCCCTGATGCCCCTTTTTTCAGTTTGTGGCTCAGTCCAACTGTCAACAGTTCCTCAACACCGTCTGGTTTGGGGAGACGGCCAGTTATCGGCGCAAGCACACCTGTCTAAAGATGGCCACGGTGCTGAGCGTGGCCATGCTTTGGCCGCTGCTCTCTGTCTGCTACCTTCTGGTGCCACGCTCCCGTGTGGGCCAGATCATCCACACGCCCTTCGTCAAGTTCATCATCCACAGCGCCTCCTACTTCACCTTCTTGCTGCTGCTAAACCTGTACTCTCTGGTCTACAATGACGGCAAGAAAAACACCATGGGCCCTGCGCTGGAGATGATAGATTACCTGCTCATCATCTGGATCATAGGTCAGCTTTTTACTTGGCTTTCAATCAATAAATAGCACACTGTATTGTACTGTATGTTGCAATCATAATATAGGCTATATTTCAGTACTAAGAGGGCAGATTGCTATAATTGAATAATTATTCATCACTAACATCTCTATGGACACGATCAAACTAAGAATAAAATAATAATTCAATCATATAAACCAGAATTGAATAGAATAACGTTGCATAGTGGAGGGAAAACGAGAGATGCCTGATAAGTCTAGTATCCTGTAACCGTAATACTATCAGGCAGAACATGACAAACAGCCGTTTCTATACTCAACGACAGAATGCCTGGCTTGACTAGATTAAATCTGTCAGTTCTGCTTCTAAGTGAGCTCCATAGAAAGGAAAGCTTCTTCTATCTCCCCTGTGGCCCATCTGAGTGCTGGTATCACTGGACTCGGCACACATACATACAAACATGCATTTTGCACGAAGACAAACACGTGTACACAAGCCATATCTGTTCAGATGGGGCGGGCTAGTGACAGTTAGAAATTGACTCTGTCTCTCTCTGGGGAAGGACCTCTCTACAGTACCTTCCTATTCGGCCAAGAAACCATTAGCATGACCATTCAATGGCTTTAATGGCCCTGGCTTCTCAGCAGAGATATTTGTCTCATGGTTGCAGCATCCTACCCTTCTCCACCAGACACAAAGCATCGCAACCACACCTCATTGGTCCAGGTTTCACTATCACTGCGGGGTTGATAAATCATGCCAATAACTGCACCTGACTGGTTATAAAAGGATGTAGAAGCAATTGACTTATATTATTCAATGTTATGAAAGATGGCTGTTGGGTAATTTGCAATTTATTCTGTATTTTTGCAGGAGTGAGATCAGCAGTCCGGTCATTAGACAGTTTAATGTTTTTTTTTCCCATGGGCCAAGATAGCCTCAGGGCAAAGATTCCTGAAGTACGGCAAAAGAGTAACATCAGAGTTCAATATGAATAACTTCAGCAGCTTATTTTCCTCATTGTAAAACAGCTGTACTGCAAAGATGTGATGCTGTGTTGCAGAGTTCATGCTCCAGTGTCTCTGCAGCGTCAACAAAACACCCAGGATGAGTTAATCAACAAGAATGAGATTCATAATGATTTACAAATCAAATGCGAGTGTTATAAGAATGTGAAAGGGAGCCATTAACGTTGCTTCATGTCTACAGACAGCACTGACAAGCCACACAGCAGCTTTCCATCTAGTTTGCTCTCCATTGTTCTCTCTTTCTCCCATGCTATCCCCTCCTCTCTTCTTTCTCCTGCTCTCTCCATCCTGCTGTTCCCCTGAGCCAGATGCCTCACATTAATGGGGAAATCAGATGCTGAGACTGTGTGTGTCTGTCGGCTGGGCGACTTGTATGTGTGTGTGTGTGTGTGTGTGTGTCTCTCAATGCATCTCTCGCTGTCTGCGAGTGTGTGGAGTTTGATTGAACTCAAATTCAACCATTCCATAGAAAAAATAAATGTGATTTCCATACCAAACCCTGTCAGCATGCTTTCTTTTGAACCCATGGAAACCAATAACAGATCAATCAGGCTCAATGTAATGTTATCATTTATGAATCAAGGCATAGAGGATGTCTCACTACTGTACGCCTGGACTGGCTGCTGGAGTCAAGTTTCTGTAATTCTACTATCCCTACTGTATATTTAGAATTGATAAAATTCCACTTGTATGCAGAAAGACACAGACATCCATCTTTATTAAACTCCACACACCTCCTTAAATCTCACAGACGACACATTTTCAGCTCATTAATCTCCGATTTCTGTGTCTCATGCATTCCTGTTTCCCCCGGGCTCCCACCGTGAGATGACTTATGGTTGCAGCGATTTTAAAATGTTGGGGGATGACAGCAAAATGGCTTTTTTCCAGTGGCATGTGTATATGTGTGTGGTGATGGGGAAATTCCTGCTCTCCTGTAGGGATGGTGTGGTCGGATGTGAAGCGTCTGTGGTATGAGGGGCTGGAAGACTTTCTGGAAGAGTCTAGGAACCAGCTGAGCTTCGTGATGAATTCCCTTTACCTCGCCACCTTTGCCCTCAAGATAGTTGCTCATAGCAAGGTATACACACATCACACACACTCTTTATATTCAGAGGATGGATAACTGCAAATCAATCATATCTCTCATTTGTTTATCTGTACAAAAACAAGTATATGCGTTTCTGAATTGGTTTGCTTGTTCTTCAGTTCAAGAATGTGGCGGACACAGAGAGGAAATACTGGGACGCCTTCCATCCCATCTTGGTGGCGGAGGGCCTGTTTGCCTTTGCCAACGTTCTAAGTTACCTGCGACTCTTCTTCATGTACACCACCAGCTCCATCCTGGGGCCGCTGCAGGTAGGAAAGCAGTGGTGACGCACACTAAAAAAAGTAGTTGCGAGCTCAGCAAGCTCGACATTTTCGTAGTTATATATAATTGATTCCCAGTAAAGCCAGACAAGATCCCTGCGGAGTTTTGAGATCATGTGTCCAGCCGTGACTTCGTAAAAACACTTTGTATGTGAACAAAATGATCAAATTGATATGTGAAGATTATCATGCTGCTTCCTTTTCCTATCATTCTCTCTAACCCCACTGCACGCACGTACACCACCCACTCTCTTCCTCTCCCAGTGAAGTGTGAACACTCAAGGACAAGCCCACACTAAACATCACACCAGCTGTGCTCAGCAGTATCATCACCATCAGCATTAAGAATAAGCACAGTGGACTGAGGCAGTAGATGGATGTGTTCTGCTGCAATAATGTGCTCATAACAAACTGAGCACGACACCATCAAGCTTTACAGCTTTGTCTGCATGGTAATTAAAGGGAAAAGTACAGTCATTACATGTTGTATAGTCAGTGGCAGTTGAAAACGTTTTAACTACTTTTCTGAACTTTTCCCTGCTGTGTGGATTCAATTTGAAAAAATGGATCAGCCTGATAACATTGCTTTTTCTGGCAAGTACAAACGTTTGGGGATTTGACATTTTCAACAACAAACGGCTAGATTACCATCAATCTAAGTGCCGTATATTAAGGGCAGATGGCTGTCGAAAAAAGATCCAAGTAAACAGTCTTTAGTCAACTTTTCTAAATCCTGTATTTGATCAGCTTGGCTAACCCTCAATCTGAGCTGGCAGCGTCATTCAGAATTTGCAGACATGATCTTCTCCTCACTTGTTTTCAGGTTATGGAAATGTTTAGCAATACAGTTGTACTGATCTGCTTTATGCTTTTTTCCCAAACATTTTTCCTGGGGAACCCACCCTTTAAAAATGACAAACCACCAGGCCTTATCAATTAAATCATGAGAAGAGCAATTCCTGATAATTTTTATGAAAATCCATCTCGCCAGGCTTTCAGTAATGTGCTTGTGTCCGGCAACCCAGAGCGCGGTGCATTCAGCGTCCTGTGAGGAGCGACTGGCAGATACAATCGTGGTTTAGGTGTGTGTGTGTGTGTGTGTGTGTGAGACGACACAGAGAGGTGACTGTTCTAAACAACAATGGCGGCTTCTAAAGAGGTTAGCGTAGATGCTGAAATAGCATCAGTTTAATCCGAACTGGAGAGCATTTCCTCATTGAAAGAGGAGCAAAGAACGGCACTGAAGGTTTTAATCAAAGGAAAATATGTTTTTGATTGACATTCGGTTAAACCTTTTCTTTTTTTTTTCACCTTTCCAGACAAGCCAAAAATCTGGTTTAAATATTTTCTACTCAGGCTCTTCAACAACCTCAGTGCCATAGGTGTCCCTTTTTATCGCATCATGATTTTATCATCCCGCCAGCTGGCAGAAAGATTGTAAAGCCAGCCAACATCTGACTTTTTCTGGCATAATTTCATTTTTCTCCCCCGTGTGGCTCTATTACATAAAGCAGTGTTCAGGTATTCAGTGATGTCAGTTTATTTGTACGGATGCCTTCCTGTCATTAAGTCAAGTGCTGTTTGTGCTTGACTTATAAAACAGTAAGGGTGCCCTGTAGATAGTTAATTAGCACTTTTCAGCTACAATCTCCTCCATCTTTCTGCTTCCCTCTCTCTTCACTCACTCACTCACTCACTCACTCACTCACTCACTCACTCTCTCTGTGACATCACTGTCTAGCTAGCTTGGCAGGATGGAAAAATTATTAGCTTTGGAAATGTGTTCATGGCCGCACTCACATGGCAGACACACCTCCCCACTAATGCACACGTGCCCACACATTTCCACTCTTGTGTGTTGTGGGAGTGTCTAATTAAGCACGCACAGACAGTGAGGCAGTGCTGTGTGGGTTGCAGTAATGTATGACTTTGTCCTTCCTGAAGAGGCCAGCTCATATTTCTGCCGGGTATAGTGCCCCCTACTGAGGTTGGAAAGAGTGGCTGAAAGTGTTTGTCATCTACTATCATTGTAATAGCTTACAATGAGCTCACTCATGGCCCAGACTTAACCTCGCCAACAATCTCCCTTAACTGATACAGGCACGCCAGCAGACATGTATGAATGTGTTTGAGAGAAAAGACACAAGTTGTGCCCCAGTTGCATACTAAATACAAGTATTTATGGTTGTGCGTTCACACTGCTAAAAGCGTAAAATACTTACTAATAGCAATGATGGAAACTTTGTATCATTTCTTGTTATAATAATATGCTAAAGTTCACCATTTCTTATATACAAAAAGCAAACTGTACTGTCTGCTTTGGTGGGAGATTAATATGAGCAAGTAGAAAGTGTTTGTTTATGTACATAGTTGCATTTGAGTTACCTTTAATGCATTAGACCCCCGTCCAGTACAAGGTTAAGAGCTCCTGACCTGCTGCATTCTTGCTCTGTTTGTGCAGTAAGTTAGGCTACCTGTCAGGCTGGGCAGGCAGGGAACACCCTGAACTCCTATTTCAGATGTGTACAGAGTGGCACAGGAATACACTGGGGGGATTTAGACATGACAAGAGAATGAATCACCCGAACAGCCCTTCTCCTCAAAACAAGCTGCCTGGGTTTCAGTGCAAACACTCCCGTCGTCATTCCCCTTAAGGTGCAGGGAGAGTGGTCATCCCTCACATTGGACTCTCTATGTGTTTGTGTTTTGCTAGGGCGAGCACGTTCTGGCCTTGTTTGAGCATCACTAGGTCCTAGCAAACAGATGAGCCACTCAGGTCTTTAAATAGTTTGTTTCCAGTGGTCCGAGCAGACTTTCTCTGTCCTTGAGCCCTCTTTTTGGCTTCTCCCATGTTTGTCTGTCTTCCCTCAGGTCAGGTGAGAGCACTACAGCTGCCAGAATGTGTTGCTTTTTCCACCTCCTCAGGGGGTCATTGCAAAACAAGAACATGGGGGGGGTAACTACAAGTAGTCAGAAAGTTTTCTTACAGAGGATAAGTGTTGAATTGTACCAAAACATCGCAATCAAGTAGACATATAAAGCTACCTTGCCAACGTTTTAAAGACAGCAGACATTCTGACTCGTCACAGGTGTAGAAGATAGTAAGGCGGGCTTCCATCGAGGTGCTCCCTGATACTTTTGTAGCAAAGCTTACGGGGACACTTAAATGGAATATTTCCATCATTAATGGTATTTGTTTTAACTCTGCTTTCCCTACCTCAAGTCAAAATGTCTGCTGGGAAAAGGCTCTGTTAGCTTGTTTACGGAGCATTTCTAATGCCAATCCCTAAACGTGTGCAAGTACACAGAAAAATCTAATTACATCAACCCTGCCGAGCACATAACTCAGACACCCAAATGCATGACTGAAAGGTGATTGCTGGCAGGAAACTGACTCTCAAAAAATGAATTATGTCTTCTTGACTACATCAGATCAAGCGGCACGGGATTAACAAGACAAATATTCATGTCTCCTCAGATCTCCATGGGTCAGATGCTGCAGGAGTTTGGAAAGTTTCTGGGCCTCTTCCTGTTGGTGTTATTCTCCTTCACCATTGGACTCACCCAGCTTTATGGAAAGGACCAGCAAGACCCAGACAAGAATCAAACAAAGGACTGCGAGGGAATATTCTGCCAGCGACAGAGCAACGATGCATTCCACACGTATGGGCCAACCTCAGTCTGTCGTTTTATACTGCGATGACGATGACGAATGTGCAGAATGCTTGTTGAGAGATGTCAGAGATTATAGGGCCGTATAAATACAGCTGATAAAGTTATTCTGACTCATGATTTAAGGATAAAATTAGATGTTGATTTTTAGGGTTATTTTGAGAAATGCATCTGACAGACGTGTTTCCTAAATGCCCGCTGACATCTCCCATGTTCTACCATCTTCTGTTTCACAGGTTTATGGGGACCTGCTATGCCCTATTCTGGTACATCTTCTCCCTGGCACACGTTGCGCTCTTTGTCACCCGCATCAGCTACACAGAGGAGCTGCGCTCTTTTGTGGGTGCCATGATCATAGGCACCTACAACATTGTGGTGGTTATTGTGCTGACCAAGCTGCTGGTGGCCATGCTCCATAAAAGCTTCAGACAAATTGCTGTAAGTGCAAACGTTTGGTCCACAATGACTTTGTCTCTCAGCGCTGTCAAGGGTAATTTGAGTTCAACTTGGAACCAAAAGTTGCAACTGTTTTCATTTACTGTTATGATTAGAGTGTTCTCTAACTCTAACCCTGAAATGTTGCACAGATGTTTAATAGTTTTTACGTTTTGAACCATGATGCTGCTGCACATTTTCTTCTTCCTTTGAACAACCGATTTTGATTATGCTAAGTAAAAGATCATTGTCCAGAGAAAAATCTTTGCCCTGAAGGATTTCCACCAAAGAATAGTTTTGTTGCATTTTCAAGATTCCTCTCTAAATGGAGAACAGTGTGTGAATGAATATTCTTACATTTCTGTGTTCTCAAAGTTCTCCTTGGGTTTTGGTGCTTCTGTAGAATCACGAGGATAAGGAGTGGAAGTTTGCTCGGGCCAAACTGTGGCTGAGCTACTTTGATGACAAGTGCACCATGCCTCCGCCATTCAATATCCTGCCCTCCCCGAAGACTGTCTGCTACCTGGTGACCAGCATGAGCAAGTGGATCTGTTCGCACACCTCAACAGGCAAGGTGAAGAGACAGAACAGCCTCAGGGTAAGGAAAATAGTTTCATACAGGTCAGAATATCAGAACCCTAACTTGAACAAATGTTCATTTGTGCTTTGTGCAATATCTTTTCATTGTTATAAATCCCTTCATTGTCTTTTCCATCCAGGAGTGGAAGAACCTGAAGCAGAAGCATGATGAGAACTATCAGAAGATCATGTGCTGCCTGGTTCACCGCTACTTGACCTCCACGCGGCAGAAGATGCAGAGCACGGACCAGGCCACGGTGGAGAACCTGAACGACCTGCGCCAAGACCTCTCAAAGTTTCGCAACGAAATGAGGGACCTGCTGGGCTTCCGGACCTCCAAATATGCCATGTTCTACCCAAGGAGCTAAAAAAAAAAGACTAGATATAACTTCCCTTTCCCCTCCTTTTGACAAAACCTCTGCTTCTCATTTTTCTGGGATGCTGTGTGATCCGAGCATGTGCAAAAACTCTGCTCTTTTGAGTCACAGAGGAAACTTTTAAACCTGGACCTTAGCTAGAAATATATACATATATTCTCCACCAAAGCCTCCCAACTCAGGCCCCATATGTATTAATCAGCTATTCAACCCTTTTTTTGTAAATAAAGAAAGCCATTGTTTTCACCAGAAAAAACTATTAAACAATTTATGGAAACATTAATTTAATGGCATAAAGAACTGATTTAGCTGAATACAAATGCTGCTTTTTGATTCCTCTCCTTGAAAACTGATCTTTGGCCACTCAGTTGAGAAAGCCATGAAAACTGTCAACTTGTTCAGCTAACTGCCCAGTGGTCCAGTCCACGTGAGAGTCACATTACACACACCTGATCCACTCTCATGCTTAGCATTGCTGCCTTGACCACTCTCAACAGACCAATCCACATGTTATTTGGCATTATTCAGTTTCCAGCTGAAAGTTCTTGTACTAAGACGGACGAACATAAGGAACTTGTTAAAGGAGTTTTATTTGGGCAGATGAAAACAACAAAATATAAATAATATTCACAGACTTTTTCATATGAAAATAATTTTCATTTCATAACTCTGCCTTTTATAAAACAAGTAAATGGTGTACGCTGATAGCGGTGCTTTGCATCTGTAAACAAACTAAAGAAAAAGAGTTTTAGCTAGGAAGTTTCTCATTTGTTTCACATAAAACCAGCATAGAATCTTTAAAAAAAAGAATCGCATACATATTAAATATTGCACTTTTCATCATCACTTCCAAACTTCCAAATTCTGCCCATTAAAATTTAACTTACAAAAATGAACTCCAGACTGTTTACGCCGTCATTAAAAATACAACAAAAAGCTGTGACAAATCCCCGATGGGTATTAGGCTTGGGAAATTCAAGGCTATATTTGTTTAATGCATACTGAATAATAAATCCAACTGTTTATTCACATTGCGCTCCACAGACTCAAAGGGGAAAGAACTGAAAAGTAGAATATGCAAAAATGTTAAATTAATAGTACCATCACAGGATACTGTCAGAACAGATGTGGACACTGGAAGTTCTAAACAATATGATTATTGTTTGTTTTGTGAAGCACATCTCTGTGAATTGCTATACTCGATATTCTGGGCTCCTGTTACTGGCTACGATTTAACTTCCTGCTGGGGGCATGACAGGAATGTGACGAGGCAGAGTGAGAATGGGCTGTGGAATAGCGTTGGAAACAACTCATTTTGTTGCTAATTATTCTGAGGTTGCAAATAAGACTAACCGACTGGTCTCTTAATAGAACAGAGTAGGAGTGCTGAATGTCTTCTTGTTTATTCTAAAAACATGTGATCTGCAGCAACATGAATAAATACAAAAATCTACGTTGCGCTGAATTGAATGAATGATGTCAATTTTGTTCTGGCGTCTCTGCATCCAGATTCAGTTTTGTTGTTGACTTGTGTTGTTGAGTTGGAGATCATTTAATGCTTAGTTGTTTCCATCCACAGCGGAGCCTCAGGCAAACGCGTCCAGTGGAAATCCTCGGCCATACTGGAACTCAGCACCGCTTGTTTTTCAGAACATTGAGTCCTTTCTGGTTCTTTGTCTTAAACGCCATAACAAAGTGCTGAGGGGCGATTTTGCCCCGGCCGTCCTCGTCCACCTGGCCCATGAAGACGTAGTTCAAGCCTGGTGAGAAGGCCACACACAAAGAACCTGAATGCAGTGGCGGAACGGCAGAGACATTCAGGGAGGCTAAATATCAGAATCCCCACGCGGCGGGTCTGTATACCATATGTTTATATGCATACATATAAACATATTTAATGTTTGGACAGTGAGTTCTGCCGCTCACCTCACACTTTAGGGCAAGCTCTATCAACTGAGCGTGACGGCACAGCAAAGGAGGCAAACTTGGAGCCACAAGTCATTCAGAACAGTCAGCCAGGAAGTCTACATTGATTATCATCATTTGGATATGGATACATTTTTTGGTAATTTGATTTTTACCAGCACTCTGTGAACTCACCTCTCCTGATAAATGGACACTTCTTGCACAGGATAATGATCTTGGTGCTCATGGTTTTTCCTGCCTGCTGGATGGCCAGATTGCTTTCTTTATACACGTTGATGATAGAGACAGTGGCGTACATGCTTCCTTCTCTCATCACAGCAGTGATGACTGTACCGGTTATCACTGTCATAGACACACACATACACACAGGTCATGACAAATGAAGTTATACATGAAAATCCACTAAAATAGTGTGTCACTTGAAGAGAATATGTGTGCCTTTCACGACACGCTTCCTCATAAACAAGGATAAAGCCTAGACATGAACTACAAAATCGTCACTGCCGTGGCAAGTCAGCCGCGGCTGTGGTTAGAACAAAAGCCAAACCTTTAAGCAGAGCGACTGCAGCAGCGTAGTGACACTTTGAAAAAACAAAAGAGTAAAAGCAGATGTCGCTAACTCGTATCATAAAAACAGTACCAAGACTAGAGCCATGTGAGGCTGTGCTTATGCACACTGGTGCTTTCAGCTAAATGCTAGCATGGTAACATGCTCACAATGAAAATTAAAACAAGCTGATGCGTATATTGTTTACCATAATGATCCCTATTTTTTAGTTTAGCATGGAATTTAAAGAGGACCTAGTTAACATAGACCTAGTTGTGGTGAAGGGAATCTGCTTTTTTATTGTCGTCATCAATAATCTAAGATAGATGTGAACAATGTGTGCGTACTACTACTACTGCCAGTTCTTGTCTGTGAAGCGCAGCCTGTCTGTAAAGATGTCATGGTGAATAAACAGCATAGTCTCTCATCGGCTCCTCACAGGCTTTCAACACTCCCCTTTTGACCTTTTTATGGCTCCTTCATCCATCCGTGAGCTAATAGCTCCTTCCCAAAAACTCAGAAAACACATCAAGGATATAATTTACTGACATTTTAAGACTTCAAAGGATAAGTGTTTCCAGGATATGGCCCTGTGACAAGGCCAAGTTAAATGTGTGATATCATAATTGTCCAGCAGATACTTAAAATGTTTTGAGTCAGTGAAGGTAACTGGATAATAAACTATACAATCTAACATAGAGAGAAAACAGATAGCACAAATTTATTTTTGTGTTTTGGGACACTGGCAACCAAAACAATAAAATGTTGAACTCCATAAGAAAGCATCTAATAGGTTAATTTGTCTGAATACAGAATTGCTACCTCCTCTTTTATTAATATTTGGTTGTGCTCACAAATGTGTGAGTCATTTCCTGTTTAGTCTCTCCAGGTCTTCAAAAGTACAACAAATACAGTTTTGTTGTATGAACCTTACATTTAGCAGTGACAGTGGAGCCAGTGGAGTGAGAGAGAAGCACGTTTCATTCAGTTTGAACAGGATTTTTTTCATTGATGGTATCAAAATGTCTGGACTTCACTTCTGTTTCATTTCCTGACAGGGGGGAGAATAGCCAGAGGACTGTAATGTTATTATATCTGATGCTATTGTTATATAAACCAGGGAACGGCTTTTAACAATGCAAAGCGCATATATCACATTATTTGATTAAACAATAGCAACAGTTATGGCTTCAAGTGTTAATTACAGGAATTATCAGTCAACCGTCCCACCACTTCATTAAAATGTGTTGTAACATATTGTGTGCTGACTGCGCCGCTACATCACACGGGCGGCTTTTTCCACACGCACCACCACGTTGCTTGCCTTTCCTCAGTTCTGATGCAATTCCAAGTAAACTCTTTGAAATGCCAACCTAACACATGTGGTAAACATCTCAAAGAGGAAAAAACATCAGAGAGCAGGAGAGTAGCAAACGGAGGCCAAGCCTGAATCAACATGCTCATTTATCAACAGTTTACCCACAGTCAGAGGCTGAGTGTGTGTGTGTGTGTGTGTGTGTTTACACTGGATGTAACTGTGTCCTACTGTATGCACTCCTTCACTTCCTGACAGGCTATCAAGGACGTCTTTGAGATGCGCAGTGAGAAATCAGAGCAGCAAAGACAGTGACATGATCAGGACTGTAAACTGCTTGTTAGGGGAGATTTGGCTTCCCGATGCTGTTGTAAATCTTTGAAGAATGTGTACTGTTAAGGTCTTTACTTTATAGGTATGTATAGTAACAGTAAATGTGTACAGTTATAACACTAGCAGGGCTGGGACATATCAGCGACTGTAGGATACGTGGTTCAAATACATTGCAATAAGCACTGATGTTCTTACCAAAATTGCTGGAGCAGTAATTGCTGTCAAGTGTTCCTCGTCTTTTGCATTTCTGCTGGCAGAGGGCTACAGAGTACTTCAGAGCTGCAGAGACACACATACACAAGAAAATTCAATCGCTGTAATTTTGGCCGGCCAGTGATGCAAGCGTCTAAGTTATGGTTGCATCTGTTTCTACTGTGGTTTATTTACAGATTGTTCTCAGTAGCACAACAGTCCAAATGACTGGCTGTCAGCCTCAGAGACAATGTGCACTGCAGTGTGTAAAATAGTGAGATAATGTGAAGCCAACATCTGTTTCTAGAGTTAGAGATACAGTACAGAATCCATAAAGGAACGAACCAAGAAAATACAAGGGGACTGTTCAAATATTATTCTTACTGGAGAAGGAAAAGTCAGGAATTTTAAACCAACCAGAAAGCAACTGTCACATAATGACATCATGGCAGGGAGACGCCAAAATAACCTGGCTTGACTAAGAGAAAAAACAACACTATATAGGAATGTGAGTTCGAGTATGAAAATGAGCTGTGACACATGCCCACATTATATATGAATTTGTGCTATGTACAAAGAAAAAGGTGAGCAAAAGACATGTGCTGCTGTTGGCTGCACCTTTAATAGGACCTGCAGTCTCCAGTACTGTATTTTATATTCAGTCTTTGCACAGAGGAGAAAGATGCATCTGCATGTCAAATTGTGAAGATCCGCAATTTAGCTTGACCTTTTTTTGTTTAATGGACCCATTAAACCCATTTTATTTTAGAAGGGTATTTGTAATTATGCCTACTATTTATCCGCATATACTGTAAAGCAGCTCTGACTTAGAATCCTCAACCATGAACCGTGTTAAGAGGACTCTAGCAGTACACTTCACTTCTTCTTTTCTTGCCCAGAGCTGCTATCAGAAGCAGATTGCAGTGGTTAAAGTGAAAAGATAAACCCCCACATGTTAGCAAGATAATCCAGCAGTGCAAAGCCAGTATGTCTCATAGCTACATCAACAAAGACAGATGTTAGAAGACCTCTAGAGGTTTTTTATTGGATAAAAGTTGCTACCTACGTATGGGCCTGGTGGTGACTGGCTGTGTGGTAGTGGTGGGTGGTATCGTGGTGATGGAGAATTTCTTTGGTCGGAACTTGTAGTGTCCAATGAAGCCGTCTGCGGTTAGACTGAGATCTGACAGGAACTGGATGAGGAGCTGGTTCCCATCTGAGAACACTGGCCTGCCAAGAAAAGCAGGCTGAGTGTAAACTGAGAGGAATTCATAGGATGGATGTTTTGGTGAAAATAAAATCTGAATCACCTACGCTGGGGGGCTGTCTCCACAATATTTGCCAATCCTCTTGGCATCGTTGATTTCTGCCCCATTGAAAATGGAGACGTGGTCATAGCGGCAGTAGTTATCCCTTTCCACATCAAACTTCTCAAACTTGATTTCAATAATCTGCCGCAGGAGACAAACCACAAAGAAAATATTCTTTCATGCACCAAAAGCTTGTAATAGGGCTATCAAGGTAGGCTGTTTGACTAAAGCGTACCCTATCATTTGTGGGATGATGTAGACTTGTTCCACACCCATTGCACATTGAGCTGTCTTAAAAGAGTGCTCAAAGATTTAGCACTGCACTCCTACAACAATGTTGAACTCATGTAGGACAGTTTAAATGGAAAAAACCCATCTAAATCAACGCAGGAGAACTTGAGATATGTTTTTTTTAGTCCATACATTATTATTCTGTGTCGAAACCTACAAACCCACAATTCAGGGGTTGTTATGCCAAAAAAAAAACATTTCACATATGCAGTAGTATTCCCTAAGACCTGTAAACGGACTGTGGTAACTTACATGTGGTATGCTTTATTTCACAAGAGACTAATTTATTCAACCACTGACATTTAATCCAGCAAAATCTACAACATCCCACCTTGAGAACTTTGCATATAGCATCGCGTCTTATTAAGAAAGAAATAGATGAATTCATTTTGAACACTCTGACCTGGTTCTTTGGTGCAACTATGTGCCAGGAGCAGGTGACGCCAGCTGGATAGTCCTTCTCAGGCCAGTTGGGTGTTTTGAAAGACCCAGAGGGCTTGTCCAATCTGCCTCCACAGTACTGGTCCCCTGTGGAGTAATGACATATAGTAATCTTGGAGAGTCACCAGGAATAATCTGCACAATATTCCTGATGTTCCTTGAGGGGAATGATCCAGATCTTATCATCATTCTTAACCAAGAACAGTACATTATATGATCCTGTAATGACCCACTACTGTAATAGGAGCTCTTGTTGCCTTCGTTGTCATTATGTGCACCCTAAAAACTTAGTCAGTCATTAGTCCTGTTTAAAAAAGACAGGATGTTTCCAACGTCGTCAAGCATCTGAGAAACATCAGTTTAATAATAACACAAGTTGCTCAGGCTAAATCTCTTGAAGACATGTTTTCCTTGTAACATACACTTAGATTGATGTTTCATTTCCAACATGAAGAAGTACAATTTAGCACAGTGTCAAAAATAGACCCTTAACAAATGTTGTGCTGTATAGTTTTGACAACACTAAAACGGTCTTTAGTATCTGTTACTATTCATTATGTAGAGACAGACCGGCTGGTTAATAGACATTAAATATCACAGCTGTCAGCTCCTTGCGTACAGAGAACCAGCCATTCAATTTCCTCAAAAACAGAAGAAGTGACTTCGCAACCCTGCAGAGAGGAAGAGGCTCATTCAACTCTAAGTAATACTTCTGACCTGTGCCTTCTACTAATGTGCTCCAAAAAATGTTCCTCATTTTTCCTCATCATACTGCGATCACTTTTAAGATATTCCTCCCGTTTGGAACGTTAAACCCATAGCCTTGTCTCTGAAAAGTGAAAGGTCACTGTTTTTTTTACAGATCAGAAGACAATTTATGCTTCCTTTTGTTTTACTGCGTGTCTGCATGCCTAGAAACTGAATTCTGCTTGAGGACATTTTTTCTCTATCTGTCTGTCTGTCTGGGTATAGTGGTACCATGCAATGACCTCACTGAAACAATGTGTTATAAAGCCTTGTTAATTTGCTTTTTAGAGACTGACCCTACATCAACACAGACACTCCTAGGCCAGTATCGGATTCCTTTATGGGTTGAAGTCATGGCTGAGACACAGTCCCACGTGTCTGGCTATTACATGCTTGGGTAGAGGCAAGGTATTCTCTCAACCTTGTGTAGGAAGGCAACATAAGAGCCAGCACGCCAACACTATTCTCAAAGCTTCTTCTTCCCATGTTGGCCTATACCTCTTTCATGTGGATTGGCAGCAGAGAAAACAGTCAGGAAGCCACTCCCGGCTGTGTTGGCATCAGACACCATCTGTAGGAGCATCTTGTTGCCCGTTGAAACCAGGGCTCCTGGCTTGAACGTCCCACAGAAGCGACCAAGTCTCTGCGCACTGACATGGCCACTGTAAACATCCACAAAGTCATAGCGGCACAGGTTGTCGTTCTCCAAGTCAATAAAGCGGAATGACAGGACCACCACCTTTCCCTCTGGGACCTGGGTGTGAATTTACAGAGGGCATTAAGGGTTACACGTATATCAATATTAATGAGAGCATGAATGTTGGCTTGTTATATTAATGATGTAAAACTATGTTCTCCATATGTGATTGCGGATACTAACAACATATTTTTGACAGTAGGTCTGACTTATGTAAAGGCAAAATGCAACTTGGTCCAGCCAACACCTTGACTGTTTAAATCTACAGTAATGTAATGGAGGGAGCCAGTCAGCAAAAACACAAAAACAGCCTTAATCTGGCTGTGGTTGAGTATTTTTAGAAGGAAATTGGGAGTTTGGGGTTAGAGAATCATACCATTATATTGTGCAGCTGCTGGTGTGTTTTTAAACAACAAGCTATCTATCAATTTCATCATTCTTATTCTAGACTATGAGAGCTAAACGTGAATATGACATTGGACTCACTGTGATTCTCCACACACATTTGGTATTTGGAGGGTAAACTCCTGGGTACCCCTGGCTCCCGATTACTCCAGAGTCCCCTGTAATGTTTCCGCCGCATGTGAAGATTGGTCTAGATGGGGGAGAGAAGGTGTTCTATTTTCAAAATATCAAATGTTGATAATGTGTTAAAGCATTAAAACATGTTTCAACGTCAACGACAGCCTGCGGTGGATTTAACACAGACTTAATTCAATGCGCCACAATGTCCTGACTGGAGGCACTCCGGACTGCAGAAAATTCCTCTAAATAAGCTCCAGTCCACTGACGATGCTTCTCCACAGTCCGCCACACGAGATCCTTGACACCTTGCTCACTCATAAAGCTTTCAAATCGATTGAAAATAAATAAGTAAAATAATATAAATTGTGTACCTCCGCTGAGACTGCGCGCAAACCTCTGTCAAGAACAGTAGACTCCATGCGCAAAAAATACTGCATGTTCTCCACATAGTTGGGTTAACGGAGCAGAGTCTTCGCCTGTTTTCTCCCCTTGAAATGAATGGCATTGTGTCCAGATGCTCAAACGGTGGTGTAAAGTAGGCAGGAGTTCCTGCAGGGAGTTTCAGTGACTGCAAGCCGGAGCAGATGAATATAGCGTTTGTTCTGCGTGTATGGAGGGAAGGAGCACAGGCTGCTGCTTTAAAAAAAAAAAAAAAAAAAAAAAAAAAAAATTACAGAAGCACAGGGAGGGTTTGAGGTCTTGCATTAGTTTCATGCAGCACCTGGCCGGAAAAACCTTGAAGGAGATGAATAAACTTGAACTCCCGAAGTCGTACATTGGGTGAATTGCCATTCCAACTAACATGGACCAAACATATGGCAGAGACTTCACTGCAATGAGTGAAACATACAGTATGCTGACAGATGTGACAGAGGATAGCTGTGGCAGCTGCTTTTTTTTTTTTTTTTTTTTACAGGAATGCACATTTTATACCAGCTTGAAAGCATTATTTAAAAATATGTTAAAATGGTATAGCCGTAGGCTGAGGGTTATCAGAATAATATTCACCGGTAACAGATAGGCTACTTCCAGATACAATGAGAGAGATAGAGCGTAGAGCACCACCTGCTGGACTAAACGTGGTATAAGCAGTTGGCAGATATTTAATAGCTGAAATCTCAGCGGTTTAATATGAAAAGATCCATTAAACGGTCTTGCTCAAATGTATTGTTATTTTCATAGATCAATTAAATGACTCTATATCGTATGAGCTTGTATCATGCACCTATATATATGCTCTCTGTGTGATATACCAATAAAACAATTGTAAAAAAAAAAACGTTTTAATTGATCATATAAAATGAGATCTCGCTACCTCTAAAAATCTTACAAATTTTCATAAACAGCTCCAGTTGCTTTTTTGGGGGGTTATTGTAAATATTACCACTTTAGAGCGACAGTGAAAATAAGTTTAGCCATCACTGATTCGATGATTGATTGTGTCGCCTGGAGTTTCACGTTTGCCGCCATCATGTAATCGATGATCGATTTTTTTTTTTTTTAGTCACACAAAAGATGGCGGACCGAACGCCTGGTGGCTCTCAAAAAGCTACCGCTAAGGTGAATTTACCGTTTGTACTTGCATTAGCTAGGTCTTTTCTGTTGTAGTGAAACGATGTACATATTCGTATGCCTGACCAACCGTGACTATTTACCTATTTAAAGCACGCAGGAGGCTAGAGTTACGAATGTGCGCAATTGTGGTAGCTAACTACCAGCGTGCTAAAGCTATCCACACTGGCTAATATAGCTAAGCTAAGCGAGTTAGCTAACGCTACACAAGGACTAGTCAGGACAGTTGACTCAGAAAGAAACGCCGTTAGCACAGCTCACAAGCTGATATTGATAAAGCGAGACGTTATAACAAAGTTTAGTTATGTAATGTGATGAAGTAGTAGTTAAATGTAATATTTTTGAACTCGGGCCTAACAATATTTGAGCCTTGTTTGTCATCCGCCGACTAATGCATTGAGTCGGTGGCGCTGCAGCAGTTTGTTTAGGCCTCTGGGTAATTTACCTCAGTTGTATTTACATCCTGATGTCCAGATGCAACTAAGTTTAAAATATATTCAGTAATTGCAACGTACAGAATAACCATCACAGGGTTGGGCTGTGGTTTGCAGTCTACAAGTGGACACAGCCCACTTTACAGTGAGTTGGGTGTTGTTACGGCCATGGATCCCGCGTAACCTACCTGTCAACATGACTGCTGTCGCACTTTCTCAATCATCTGAATATGAATGAATACTATTTGGAGCAACATTGATCTGTGTGATGGACTGTATATTCTATATGCACACACATTTAGAGTTGGACTACGAAATGCATGTTGAAAGCCAACCATGGTTTGTTTACATCGACAGGCGTTGCTTGAGAGCAAATTGAAGTCTTTCAGCATTGGCAAAATGGCAGTGGCGAAGAGGACCCTAAGCAAGAAGGAACAAGATGAAATAAAGAAAAAAGTAAGTATTGGCTTCCTTTTTTTTAGAGAATATTGTCTGTATGATCTGTGGTAACTGGGTACACATTGTACAACGATGCTTCTCTGTTAGTTGATACGTGTGTTTATTTACTTTGACACTGGTTTCTGTGTTCAGGAGGATGAGCGGGCAGCAGCGGAGATCTATGAGGAGTTTCTTGCTGCTTTTGAAGGAGGAGGGGATGGCAAGGTCAAGGCCTTTGTCCGTGGTGGTATTGCAAATGCAACAAATGGTAAATTTCTAGTAACTCCATTAAGTGTTTGGGCACAATCACAGTTGTCAACGGGCTCCATCCATGACTTAAAAAGTGAAATTTGAATGTAATAGTGGAATACAGAACAATCACACTCTTTCACCTTTCAGAGGAGGCAGCTGCTGATGAGAAGAAAGGGAAATTGTACAAGCCCAAGTCACGTTTCGAGAACCAATCAAAAAGCTTCTTGCCTTTGGAAACCCCAACTCAGTTTTTACCAGTAGACAAAAGACATGTAAGTACTATCACATTCAACAAGTAGCCTCTCTTGTAACTGCTGTAGTTAATGATGCTTTGATATTATTTCCACCTGTGTATTTCAGCCTGTGAAGAAAACTACTGAAAAGGAGAAGAAGAAAAGCAACTTGGAGCTCTTCAAAGAAGAACTTAAACAGTGAGTTCCAGTACATTAACCTATTGGACATTTTAACTGTTTAGGGTAGTGGAAACGAGTGTTCCCAGGTGTTATGGTGGGGAATAGTGCGGTTCCGAAAGTACGAATGTGTAATTTGAACATAGGTGGTACGTAATTGTTGTGCATCCTGATTCCTACAGAATACAGGAGGAAAGGGATGAAAGACACAAGCTGAAAGGACGTGTTAGTCGCTTCGAACCTCTCTCGGGCACGGACGGAAGACGCTCATGTAAGTGTATTAAAGTGACTGTTTCATGTACTAACTTGGCCTGAATTGGCGCTTTCCTGCACGCTTTACTCCACTCACCCACCCCCATCCACTTTTGCCCCTGAAACAAAATTTATACTGCGTTTCTGCTTCTTTTAGCGGATGGTTCTTCAAGAAGAAACCGTCCGTCCAGTGGTAATTTTGACTTATTATAGTGGCCGTGAATATCCTCATCTTGCCAAGAAAATACGCTGTCCTGTCAGACACCAAAGGAAATTCTTCTCTGTTCTGTTTCTGCAGTTTTGGATGATTGTGCGCCAGGTTCCCATGATGTTGGAGACCCATCTACTACAAACTTGTATCTCGGAAACATCAATCCACAGGTGAATTTCTATCCAAACGCATACGAAGTAGAGAAAAGAGACACTAAAGCACTAACCGACAAAGCTTTGCTGGGCTCTTAGGGCTGTCAACAAATTTATTTTAAGTATGAATATTTCAATTTTAACAGTCCTACTTGCTTTGCTATGAGCCGACTCTAAATACCAAACATAACTGTGTTGCTTACAGTCCTAATTTCAAGTGGTTATGTTGTGCAGATATTAGCCAATGCCAATTTATGAAGTAGTAATATCCCTGCATGTCTTTTAAATTTTAGATGAATGAGGAGATGCTGTGTCAAGAGTTTGGCCGTTATGGTCCGCTGGCCAGTGTGAAGATCATGTGGCCGAGAACAGACGAGGAGAGGGCTCGGGAGAGGAACTGTGGTTTTGTGGCTTTCATGAACAGGAGGGATGCTGAGCGAGCACTCAAGAACCTAAATGGTACAAAGCTGTTTTTCTTTATTTTAAATGAAAAAAGGACATTGTGTATATACATATCAAAATCGGAGGATGTTTGCAACAGTATTCTCATCTTGTCATATAGAACTTTGCCTACATCAACTAAACTAAGTTTTAATCATTTCATTATTCTTCGCTATTTGAAATGTAAATATTACATTTAGTGTCTGAATTCTACTGTTTAAATCATCAATATAACGGGTGACCCCAAACTTTTGAGCAGTAGTGTATATTTATATAAATTAATTGCTTTCTTCACTCCCCTTACAGGAAAGATGATAATGAACTTTGAGATGAAATTAGGATGGGGCAAAGGTGTGCCCATCCCGCCCCACCCCATCTACATCCCTCCTTCCATGATGGAGCACACACTCCCACCGCCTCCCTCCGGCCTACCCTTCAACGCACAGCCCCGGGAGAGGCTAAAGAACCCCACCGCTCCCATGCTTCCTCCACCTAAAAACAAGGAGGAGTTTGAGAAGGTAACTCAGCATGTCAGCCTAGGATTTTGTCATGGGTTATGGCAGTGTGTTGTTAATTCAGATGGTGAGATGTTAGCCTTTATAATGAGCAGTCAGTACAAGTTTTAATCCAGTCATGTAAGTGATAGTCTTTGTCTGAATTAAACTAGTTTTGCACTATGTATCAAAGTGTGGGTATAAAGAAATGTTAGCGTGTGGAAAATGCTCAGTGTTAGAGAGGTTTTTATGGTTAATGAATCCAGTGTCCGGTGTTTGGCCATTAGTAAAACTGATGGTTGTTATCTAGTTGCACTTTAAAATGCATTTTTTATATTTTTCAACTGTTGCCTTTTAACAATACTCACATTCTATGTTTATTATCTGATGTGACTTCATATACAGACTCTGTCGCAAGCCATAGTCAAAGTGGTTATCCCAACAGAAAGGTACATGTTTTTCTTTTTTTAAATTGGTGTACAAACTTAGAAAAAACATCCCATAATGAAGCTAAAGTTTGATCAATTGATCACTGCATGCTACAGGGGGCTGGTCAGTATGGGTGAGCAATGGTTGAGGCTGTTGTACGATGTCATCATATTGTTAGATAGAATAATACTGGCCAACATTACTCCACCACACTCCACCATCACTCATGTTTCCTTTTACTGTTCGTAGCAAAAACATCATTATAGTGCTTATTCAATCATGAATTTAGTCCATCACAGTTCCACTCCATACGTCAACATTTAATTGTTTTTCAACTTTCGTGGCGTTGTTTCTCTACCACATACATAGTCTGCTGATTCTAGATCTGTAGTTGTGAGGTCCTGCTTTCTGACCATTGCTCACTCAGACCGTCTGCCCCCTTGGCCTCTGTCACTCTATTAGGAGCTCAGTAAATCTGGCCCCTGCCAACAAATCCAAACCTGCCACTATTATTCTATACCTTTGACATTGGCCTTGGTGAGCAGCACAAGTTGAACTGTCTGCAGCAGCGAGGGACCTGAAAAGCATCATGGGATGGATTGGGAAAGTATACTGAATTTTACCCCGCCATTGGTACGATCGGCTCCAATACAAGTAAATGTATTCTGTGTTGTCAAATGAAAGACATCCTTTGTCTTGTCGGACACTTTAGACTATTTGTATGCAGCCTGCACCATATATATCTCCCCAAAATTGTCACAGAAGAACTTAAGTGATCTCATTGTATTCAGTTTTTTACCAACTCCAGCAGCAAATACCATGTTTAGCCTATTTAGGCCATCAATCCTGTACTGCTTTGGTTCTTCTTCACATTAGTCAGGACATGAGTGGGGATTGAGAGGCACTGTATTTACAGACTTTTCAGTTAATACAGTGTCTCATCAATGTCTCGCTCCTACTTTCCCAAGTTCTTCAGCTTCACTTGTTGCCCTTTTTTATATCATTTTTGCCCATTTTTTAAAATTTGAATCTAGGAAGATTTCAAGGAAAGGGTCCATGCAGTGCAACGTAATTAAGACCCGTCACACTGTATCCTTAAACCAGGCACAAACTTAAACAAATTCTACTGTTACCTGAATTGTTAGTTTTTCTTTAATTTACTCTTAATTACTTTAAAGGTTTGGTAACAGCTTTCTATGATGCCCATGTCTATAATGCATTATAAACATTCTTCTTATGTGTATTAATTGGCTTATAGCACTGTATAATTATAGGCACTCGTAAGTACTCGTAATCACAACACATATAGAATTTTATCATAATACTTCATGATTGCTGGTCACTCGCTGACTTTTTTTAATGTATAATGTATTACAATTTTTGTCTCTATAGCTAATATACCTGTTCATAACAATTATATTGTTATATAACTCATCTGTTTATAGGGTTAGGGTTGTCACTGCCAAGATGGTGATGGCCATATTTTATACAGTCTATGGCGCTAACGTTATTAATGTTATAAGTTAGTATCATAAAGTTAATTAATCTTATATGCGTCGTACACAGTGGTATACGGAGATTATAACTCATAAGTGTTTATCATGCATTATAGACATGGGTCCTAGAAATTGTTTAGTGTAACCTCCGTTGTCATTTAAGTTTGTTTTTTTGGCAGCATTTATGTATTGATGTTATACATAGGCTCAGGTTATGTTTGATTTAAGCCTGGTTATGTGACACTCTTGGACAGTTGTCTCTCTAATAAAATATGCCTCACTTTCTTCCCCATCTTTCACAGTAACTTAGTGATGAATAGTCATTTAAGTGACATCGTCTGCCAGGTACATTATAACAAGTACTACCATGGCAGTGCAGTGTCAGCCCACTGCAAGTCACGACCAGCAACATTTGTTTAGTCAATCACCCATCGGGTCTGTCGAGAGACGACTGTTCCGAGTGTCAAACCACCAAGCAAAATGAAACTTTGGACAGACAGGCTTTTGTAGCGGTCAAGAGTCAGGCCGGTCTGAATCCGTTTGCTTTAACTGTGTTTTTCTTGTAGGAATTTGCTCTCTCTCATCCACCGAATGATCGAGTTTGTGGTGCGTGAAGGCCCAATGTTTGAAGCCATGATCATGAACAGAGAAATCAACAATCCCATGTACAGGTTAGTGTCACTGCACATCAGCAATGTATTTACCTTTTTGAACATTTTAGTGCTTAATAGTATTTGCATGCTCATGCTCATGATCTTTCTTCCAGGTTTCTATTTGAGAACCAAAGCCCAGCACATGTATACTACCGGTGGAAAATCTACTCCATCCTACAGGTTTGATTTCTAACTTATAGAACTGCATAAAGTGTCAGAATGTGATGATGGTTTTGATATTAACTGTACTTTCCTTGCTCAGGGCGAAGCACCAGTCAAATGGAAAACAGAGGACTTTAGGATGTTTAAGAATGGCTCCATGTGGCGTCCGCCTCCTCTTAACCCATACCTCCATGGTCCTTATGATGATGGTGAGGAAGAGGAGGAAGACGAGGAGGGCAGCAAGAAAGGCTGTTTGAAAGAAGAGTAAGATCATTTCTTTATGAATTTTGGCATTGATCCAGTTAAATATGTAGTCTCGATCTGTATCATCTCATGACTCATGAAATGTGTTAAAGTGCCCTGCTGTTGGTGAACCTGCAGCTCGATAGATTCATGTTTATGGTCCTTCATTTCTGCAGAGAGCGGGACAAACTGGAGGAGATGCTGCGTGGTATGACTCCCAGGAGGGGAGACATAGCAGAAGCCATGTTGTTTTGTCTGAGCCATGCCGAAGCAGCTGAAGAGATTGTGGAGTGTGTCACAGAGTCTCTCTCCATCCTCAAAACACCTCTTCCCAAGAAGGCAAGATGAATCGGCAATCTTTTGCTAGGAAAATGACCAACTAGCATCCATGATTATTAAATTCTGTGCAGATGTTCTTGTGAGGAAAAAAAGTACAATGTTGTCTTTTATATTTCAGATTGCACGGTTATATCTAGTTTCTGATGTGCTGTACAACTCTTCTGCCAAAGTATCCAATGCGTCTTACTACAGAAAATAGTGAGTAGTGTGATTCAAGATGGGAATACCGAGCTCACCTACTTCTGTTTCAAATTCACACGAATTCTCTTCTCTTCTCAACAGTTTTGAGACGAAGCTTTGCCAGGTTTTTGCAGACCTCAACGCGACGTACAAATCGATACAGGGCCACCTTCAGAGTGAGAACTTTAAGGTACCAAACATCCAAATCCCGCTAACTAAACTAAACACTAATAATTTAACATTATCAGTTTGTTACCTTATGTCACTCAACCATCCTTCTGCTTTTCTTCTTTTTGGCAGCAACGAGTCATGGCATGTTTCCGAGCATGGGAGGACTGGGCTGTGTACCCGGACCCCTTCCTTATCAAGCTGCAGAACATCTTCCTGGGTCTAGTTAATCTCGCTGCAGAGAAGGAACCCCCTGTCGTCATTGTGGAGGTACATTATGTAACGATACTATTCTATACCTATCCCATGAGTTACTGAAGTCCCAGCTTGATTTTTTTTTTTGTGTGCCATCTTTGTACCAGGCTGAGCCAGCAGAGGACATTGATGGGGCTCCAATAGCGGAGTATGTAGATGGCTCTCTGCTGGAGGATGTGGACGGGGTGCCGATTGACGCAGGGCCCATTGATGGAGCTCCTATTGACGGAGCCCCCCTGGATGACCTAGATGGTGTTCCTATCAAGCCCATGGAAGAAGACATCGATGGAATACCTTGTGAGTTGTGCAGAGTCCAACATAGGATATCGTATGATGTGGTTGTTGATGATCTCAGTCCGACAGGCTCTACTGTATGCAGCTCTTGTAAAGTTGCTCAATTTCTTGCTCTTTTCCTGGTTTTCATAGTGGATCCGTCCAAGGATGCAACCTTCAAGGTAGCGCCCTCAAAATGGGAGGCGGTGGAAGAGTCAGAGTTGGAATCTCAAGGTGAGGCGTTTAGGTGGAATCAAACTAAATTGAACATATGAAAAGCTTTGACTTCAGTACTTAAATTGTCTTTGTCACCAATTTGGTTATTTGCATTCTTAGTTGCAGTTTTACCTTTTGTTTGCTCTTCAGCAGTGACGACTTCAAAATGGGAGGCATTGGAGCAGCCAGAAGAAACAAAAAAGTGAGTTGTGTGTGCTATCTTTTGAGGTCTGTTCTGCAAATACATAGCTGTACCCTCAACCTTTTTTATTTTATTAAATCCACTGTTTCCAACTCTGAAGGGATGAGGAGGACAGTGATTATGATGACAGGAGCCCTCGCTCAGATGATAATCAGAGCTTCTCAACCCCCATCAGAGAGGACTCGGATATTAAGGCCAAAATGTCTGAAATGAATGAGGAGAAACGCACAAAGCTCAGAGAAATAGAGGTACTTCACAACTATAAGAAACCCCCATACTACATGACCAGCATATCATGATATTTGTGGTGTTATGCATGCAGATAAAATGTATTGCTTTGTTCACCCAGGTTAAGGTCATGAAGTTCCAGGATGAGCTGGAGTCTGGGAAAAGGCCGAAGAAGCCTGGGCAGAGTATTCAGGAGCAGGTGGAGCACTACCGGGACAAATTACTACAAAAGGTATTGAAGTTGGGCCCTATAGATGATATCAACTACAGTAATTGAAATTCAAAATTGGGTTAATTTATTGTTTCCGTGTTGTAGGAAAAGGAAAAAGAGAAACTTGAACGGGAGAAAGAGAGGGAGAAGAAAGAGAAGGAGAAAGCTGAGGCCCGTTTGAAGGATTTGAAGAAGGAAAAAGAAAAGGACGACACGCCAACCAGGAAAGAGAGGTGAGACAACCAGCTGTCGGGTTCAACAATCACTTACGGTGTCATTTATAAAACATGGGATTGGTTTAGTTATCCGACATATTTCTCCTCTCCGGTTGATAGGAAGCGGCGTCACAGTGGGTCACCCAGCCCAACAAGGAGTAGCACCCGACGAGGCCGGTCATCCTCACCCCGTTCAGAAAGATCAGAACGCTCCGACCGCTCGTACTCGAAAGACACATCTTCCCGCTCCACCCATAAAGACTCCCCGCGGACCACCATCAAAAAGTCCTCAAAGAGGTAAGACTAATGTTGTCATTAGAGCCAGGTTTTGGTTAGTCTTGAGGGTATAAGCCTGCTGTTTTATTCCCTCTGTACCAGAATGATATTGTGAAGAGCCAGACCTTTCTTTAGTGCTGACACTAGATTCTCTTGTATTAATTGCAGTGTGGTTAGGAGAGTTGAAATAATTAGATGCAATTTAAAATTCTGTTTGTCCTACTAGATCTCCTTCGCCTCGCACACCCAAGCGATCCAGGAGGTCGCGCTCCAAGACGCCCAAGAAATCAGCTAAGAAGTCCCGCTCCAAATCACGGTCACCTCACCGGTCTCATAAAAAATCAAAGAAGAGCAAACACTGACACGTCTTTTCCTGTTTTCCTCCCTCCCCACTCTTCCCTTTTCCGTGTTGTATAAAAGATTGACTGAATGATTTGGTAGCTGAAGATCTTTGCCCAAATGTTAATGTATAGACAATGAAGAGTGGAGGCTGCTGCATCTCTAATGGATGGGGCCATTACTGTTTTATATTGTACAAAAAAATAATGTGCTTGTGTGTCCTGATTCCCCAACACCTCCCAATGGAATTCATCCATGTGGTCGACCACACCCGAACAGAGTGTTATGAGAATGCTCATTTTCTGTTTTTGTAGTTAACATGAAAAAGGATTCCTAATAAACAAATGTCATTTTTAAATCGAACATGAAGTGGACATTCAGAAACTTTGAATCTCATCTTTTTAATTAAAGTCAGTTGCAACAAAATACATACAACTAATAATTACTTTACAAAAAAGCCTCCTGATTAAACTGTCAGAACAATGTAATTTTCTTAAAACAGATTCCGATTTAATCAGGCTGTTGTGGCCACAGGAAGTGAATTACTTTACAGCTTGACATGTGCCTTCTTTAGCTGATCCCTCAGTTCCAGATGAGCAATGGAGGAGAGGTGCACCTCATCTGGCCCATCAGCAATGCGTAGCGTCCGCACCTATGAATACCTGAAGAAGAATATGTTAATACTGGCGTCGGGAATGAAATTAATTTAATGCTTATGTGTGTGGGGGGGGGGGGGAAACTTACATCTGTGCTAGTGGGAAGTCTCCAGACACACCTGCACCTCCATAGACCTGTATCGCACAGTCCACCACCTTACACGCCATCCTGGCTGCTGCCACCTTGATCATAGCAATCTAAGAAGACAACCAGTAAAATAAATAATGGGGGTTATTGAGAGACTGTCCCTGGATGTATGCAGGAATCCTGAAGTTAAATGTAATACCTTATAGCGTGTCGAAAAAAGTATATACTATTGACAATTTGTATATACTTAGTACGGAATTGGGTCCCAGCACATTACTATCTCCAAAACAGAGTATTGACAGTATTACCTGTTTGCGAGCAGCCCGGCTGCCCAGTGTATCCACAGCACGAGCAGCATGTAGAGTCAGCAGTCGAGTCTGATCCATCATGAGACGGCACTCTGCAATCCAGTGAGCAACAACTTCCTACACACATAACGCAAGAAGGAGAGCATATTTACTCAGGCTGCATCTAAAAATATGTCCACTAGGTGGCACTACAAGAAAAGAGCTTGATACATGCTACAGTACGATGGGTCAATGTTCACTCACATGTTGGTACAATTTCTTTCCAAACTTGTGCCCGCTGGCAGAGCAGCTCCAGTACCAACGCTGCCACACCAACAGCCCTCATACAGTGGTGCAGCCTGCCCGGCCCCAGACGATCTCAAATCCCCGGCCTTCACCTGGAGACAAATACACAATGGGACAGAACCCAGAGGCACAACAGAAACTAGGGATCATCTCAGGAGGGAAATTATTTCTCTCGCCTAGTGACCTTGTCAAGCCAGCATCACTTTATTGTCCAAACACAAAGGAATGCTCAGGAATTATTCACTTTGATGGCTTTGCAGGTGGTGCTTACTTTTAAGACCTATTGTGAGTAAATAAGTGGAAACAGGAACACAAAGCGATAGTGTCTTACCCAAAATAATGTTACAGGTAGGGACACGCACGTTTGTAAAGTGCACTTCAAAGTGGCCACCGTGGATGGCATCTGAGCCCAGAAACAAGGGAAGGAACTGGTTAAGCTGCTCAGGAAAGCTTGTTTGTCATGTTTGCATGCACAAAGGAAATAATTATTGTGGAAAAACAGGAAAATATCAATTGAACATAAAGATGTAATGACCATCCTGTCCGAACACAGTGAGCGGTGTGACGAGCTTTACACCCGGTGTGTCCATAGGGACGAGGATCATACTGTGCTGGCCATGTCTAGAAACAAGTTTATAATTTAAAGGAATGATAGTTAGATGGACCCTAATTTTCTTTAAATCTACAATTCTATTCTAAGTGTCAATTGCTGGTGAGAATCTGCAGCTCTGATTTATTTTCCTCTCTTTGCAAACAAGGTTGGGCGTGTGTGCCTTGTTATATTGCTGAGAAAACAGGAACAAAGTATTACATGTCTTGGGTGAGGTTGTCTCTAGATTTTCTTTCTATGTATATCTTAAAAGCTTGCAACTGGTGGCCTTTAAATTTTAGAGCCAATTACATTGTAGCCAAATGATTAGACAAGCTTCAACAAGATTCCAATATTTACAAGATTACAAGATTATTTTTCTGTCACGTGAGCCAAACCTGTGAGCAGAAAGACGAGGCAAGTGACACGTATTAAAATGCGAGTGCATGCTGGGAGGTACACCCTGTCCCATAACCAAAGTCCACTTCAATTATATTACTGGAACGAACAAAACGTAATGGGGAAAAAACAGCCTCTAAACTAAAGCGCAAAGCTACACTGACAAGCACAGAATCATTGTAATATAAAACCAGAAGAGTAACTTGTAAGTGGAATTTTGCTCAAAAAAAATCTATGGTTAAAAACATGACATCAAAAGTATTGTTTAATACCGTCTAGACCAACTCACCAGAAGAGGAAACGGACATTCTTCACCACATAACCGTTCCACTGACCTGTTTTTAACATCTTGAGAATCGCTCCTGCACATCACAATGGCCACTTTGCATTGGGGATTGCCAGCACCTGCGGGGAACAGTCAGAAATGCTGGGGCTCATTGCATTCATGTTTAGTTGTCGTCTAACCCTAAGAACCCATTATGGAACAAGTCACTTTTCACAGTGTGACTCTGTTCTTAACCCTTCCGTTGCCTGGGTCTGGTCGGAAACAATGTGTGTCGCTGACTGGGAAGTGCCAAACGGGAACGGAGCCAGTGACAGATTGATGGCACAAGAACGGCCCGCTGAGACCGACACAGGTTGATTTACATTTCCTGAGTTGGATTCTTTAAACTTTCAGCGACATTCAGTTTGTCTTTAAGAAGATCTTGTATGTTGGGGAGAAACTTACTCGAGTCTTTCCTGGGTTTGGTTACCAGTCTGTGTAACTTTGGTGAAGCTGTTTTGTGGTCAGTTAGGGAGCTTAGTATTGTTTTTTTGTAGTTCAAGTTGAACTCTTTATTTTCTAGTTAGTGTGGAGGTTGGAGGTTTTGTTTATTATTTTGGCCTTAGAGACACCAACGTCCCTGCTTCCATTTTAGCTGGTTTAATTCTGTTAATCGTTATTTTATTAATAAAGGTTACTCCTCAAGTGTTCCAGCTGTCTTCTCTCATTTTGTTTTAATTTTATGTTACTTCCTGTGTACCCCCTAGACAAATTAAATAGGCCGTAAAACCTGGATGAAATGTTTCTTCATGGAAGCAAATACATATTTGAAAACCAGATCGCTTCAGTGTACAGAGTGATCAAATGCAGAATATTTTGGAATTTCCCTGGCTGGGCGTTCCTTTCCAGAAAAACGGTCTCCAATGAGGCCGTGGGTCCCTAGGGCACAGACGGGGTGACCGATGGTCTGCCTTCCTGTTTAAATTTCTGCCGAAGTGGCAAAACTGTCCCCTAAGGACAGGACATATGGACACCAGACAGCAACAAACAAGACATCAATTGTGTTCAAATATTCACAGCATGAGAATCACAGCATGAGTGCATGTGAACACTTCAACAAACACAATCTGACAGATGTTTAGTCTATAAACTCCGTCTCTGTTTGCAGAAATGTAAACAAACATTAAATGATCATGCTTGCACTAATCCCAAAAACAATGTACACCTGACACAACTCAAAAACCTAATCTAGGATGGCATGTTTGGCTTGGGAGCAGGTAGGGTTTCCCTCTGAGCCTTTACATAAGTCTCATGATATAAGGAGAGCCCTGCTGTCATGCAACAGCCAAGCCCATACATGTCCTGTCACCACTGGAATGAAACTAATCCTCCCCATTCCAGTAATCCGTCTTCCTGAGAAAGCGACATCCAAACATTTTGAGTTGCCAAGTTTTTTTTCTTCTTAAAAGTACATGTCGGTATGACATACTTCTAAAACGAATACCTTTTTGCTTTGCCAAAGACGTCTAGCTTATATTTAGCTTTTTTGAATTTACTTGTATACAGATGCATAAATGGGAGAGAAAAAGAAAGAGTGAGCGACAGAGATTAAAAACAAGCTGAAATAAGTAACAGTAGACCAAACTACTGAAGTTCCATTAAATAATTTAAAGTTAAAAGAATCTAAAACAGAATGGTAAAGTCCACATGATCTTTGCTAATGTGAGTGAGGTTGGTAATCGATATACACAACAACAAACAATAATGACTGCATTTCAGCAAACCACAACAAAAGAAATTAGCCTTGTAAATGGGACGGGATGTTATTCTATATTCTCCTTTTCTTTTCTCATAGACATAAACAAAAGGGCAGCCACCAGGGCACTCCCTGCGTGACATTGAGAGTAAGAGATTAAATTCACAATCTATCCGAGATTGAAAAACAGATTCTCTTTGTGTAGCGCTTTGCACAGTAGAGCAAGCAAAGACACCACGGGCTTTTTGTTTATCCATTTATCCTGCATCATAAAACAGTCTTAAAGGCGCACACACACACACACACACACACACACACACACACACACACACACACACACACACATGCATGGAGAGCTACGTGGTGAGGAGAAGTGCTCCTAGAGTGTGAGCAGTGAAGGGGCAGGCTGAGGGAACGCGATCAGTCCTTTCCGTCCTGTGGTGCATACAACGTTTCTCCTCAGGACACTTAACTCCTTGTGTGTGATTTTAAAAAAAAAACACCATTTTTATAACCCCACCAAAAGGAACAGAATCAAGGTAAGAACATCTTTTCAATTTGAACCAACACTTCTTTCAATATTTTTCATTAACTACAAAACAAGTCAAACTATCACTAGAAGAAGACAAGAACCATTTATTTATGACACAATGATATACACTGAAAGGTATTGAGCCTTGTTTTCCAGTTAGTCAGAGGTTCACTTGAGTGTTGGCCTCAACAGCCAAAGTCCTGCTCAGGATATTTTATGGTATTATAATAAACATAGTGAGGTAATGACAACAAGCCCAGCGTACGTCTTTGTGTTCCATTTCCCTGTTTGTCTTGGTCTTCTCAGCGTTACATTTTGCTCACTTTAAAACACTTTGGTCATGTGACCCTGAGAAAACAAAGTTTAACATTATTATTATTATTATGAGTGCTCTTGTTAGTGTAGTTTATACAACAGTTTTCAGGATAAAAAGAACTTCTGCCTGTGATTGTTTAAATAAAATGAATGAAATGTGTGATCCAAATGTAAATATGAAAAAAGGTCACCACACCACTAAAGAGAAAGAAAACAAAAGAGAAACACTCCCGAACTGACTGACAGGGTTCTCAAAACGTAGAATAACATCAAATAATTAGTTTTATCTTCTCAATTTAAAGTTTTCTGATGCTGTTAAAAGTTTGTTTACATCAGTAAAGTTTGTACAAACAGCAGTAAAACAAGCCTATATTAACAGTTATGACCAGTTTAACCAGATTATTTTGCTCTATATAGCTTGTGGAGACCAAATAACCCAAACAACTACATTAGGGGGCGTAATGGTTACATATGAAGAGCAGCTGTTGACAGCACTAGAATACTTAACATATTTCAGAATGTTCCAACGAACATCTGCTTCAACGAACTCCTGCTCCTCCCAAACAGGAGATAATGACTCATTATATAACCTGGATACTTTTCATAAAACGACTGTTGTCATCTTAGCAGCAAGTATGATTTGCCTGGGACGCAAAATATTCCATATGCATAATATACTTAAGCAAGGAATTATATCATCAGTAACGTAATGCGTTTGAGTTTTATTTCAGTTCCCTGAATAAAATAGAAATGATATGTAAATATATATGTGAACAATGTGAGATGAGTAACTCCAACTCAGTTTAATGTTCCTCAAGAGACTTTTCCAAGCAGCAAAAATGACGCGTTTGATCAGTGAGTGAGTCACCATGTACACCCACAATACTGAACTTACTGCCCGAACAACAGGGAGGGGACGTTAGCAATACAATGATACTGGATAAAAGTCTCACTTCAATGGGATGTCCTGCTAAACCAGCACATACCAGTAAAAGCAACATCCTGGATTTGAATCTGGCAAGAGACCTTAGTTGCACTTGTGTCATCCTCGACCCTCACGCCATATATTTCCTGTCATTCTTGACTGTCTTCCACAGAGAGAACCATATAAATAATTGAAATAAAGAGTGTCCGAAATAATGCTTAGAAAATGTGATCAGTTTGCAATGACGCTTGTACTGTTAGGATATTGATTTTTATCCTTATTACTAATTAACAAATGAGAGGTTGTGATTAAAGGAGTAGTAAACTAAATGCTGACCTTGTCCTAGTATACAACAGAATACAGACAATCTAAATTCAAAAAGGATTTAGTTGCTTTGCGAGTCTCTTGCCCTTTTTTGTGTTCACTGGGATTTTTCAAGCCCACACAGTTCAGACAGACATGCCTTAAGAAATTAGGGAAATCATGCAGAAGAGACTTCATTCATGTAGAATAAAGAAAACTCCCCTTTTCCTGTTGCTAATGAGAAGCCGCTGATTTAAAAATGTAATCTGCTCTTGTGTTAAATAACACAAATTACACTTGTGATATATGAGCTATTTGATCAATCCATTGCACACAACATGTCCAATTAAAAAAGGGCGAAGTGAAACCTTTTCCCCATTTAAAAAAAATGAACAAATGCTTCCCTTAATTGTACTTCTTTTTTTCTGTACAGACAAAAATGGCAGATTTCTATGACGATGAGGACGCCAGCTTAAATGACAGTTATGATTACAGTCACGAACACAGTGTTTGTGACAAGGAAGCGGTGCGCTCGTTTGGCAGCGTCTTCCTCCCGATCATCTATGCCTTGGCTCTGGTGGTGGGCCTGGCTGGGAACGCCCTGGTCGTGGTGGTCTATACATCAAGGCTGCGACTACGAACCCTGACAGATGTGTGCATCCTGAACCTCGCCATTTCGGACCTGCTGCTCCTCTTCACGCTGCCTTTTTGGGCAGCCGATGCCGTTCATGGTTGGAAGTTGGGTTCGATAGCCTGCAAGCTCACCTCCTTCCTCTACAGTACCAACTTCAGCTGTGGCATGCTGCTGCTGGCGTGTATCAGTGTGGATCGCTACCGCGCTGTAGCCCACAACCCTGTAGGCAGGACTGGAACAGGTCCCCGGGGAAGGATACAGTGGATCCTGGTGTGTGGGCTGTTGTGGGCTGTAGCCGGCTTTCTGGGCATTCCCGAACTTTATTTTAGCACAGTGAAGCACTCCCATCACAGGATGGCCTGTACAGCCATCTACCCGTTCAGCATGGCCCGACCTGCAAAGGCTGCCCTGGAGCTGATGGAGGTGACCCTTAGGTTCTTGCTCCCTTTCTTGGTCATGACGGTGTGCTACTGCTTGGTAGGGAGGACACTGAGCCGGGCAGCTGGGCTGCAGAGAGATCGAAAGTGGCGAGCCCTGCGTGTCCTGCTGGCTGTGGTGGCTGTATTCCTAATCACCCAGCTGCCCTACAACGTGGTCAAGCTGATCCGAGCGATGGACATCATCTACATCCTCGTGACCGACTGTGAGGTCAGCAAGAGTCTGGATCGAGCTGTCCAAGTGACAGAGAGCCTGGCGCTGGTCCACGCCTGCATTAACCCGCTCCTCTATGCCTTCATCGGATCGTCCTTCAGGGGACACGTCCTCAAGGCTGCCAAGCACCTTGGACAGACACTCGGGAGACACCCGAGACACGTCAACGAGGAGCCGGCGGTGGAGATTGCACTCAAGACACGCACTCAAACGCAGTCACAGTCTGATTCAGAAGACCAAGCCACCAGCACCTTTACTATTTAAGACTCAAATCATATATCCATTTTTCTGTAAGCACCTATGTATATATATATATATATATATTTTTTTTTCATGTTTAGTATAATAAGAGATAGACATCAATAACCATAATATTCTTACAGTAATAAACAAATATCCTCAGTTTATAAGCACTAATGAATTTTGTATAAGTTATGTATTTTGTTAAATAAAATAAAGATTTTCAGTTACACGCATGGACTGAAATCTGTTGCAATTAAATGCAGCTGAAACTCAAGATGCTCCGAGTCCTTCTCTGGTTCCTCACGACAAATCAAATTCAACCTTATAGTCTGCGCTGCCTCACATGAGATCATCTGCATCTTGTTGTATTACATCCCGTGGCTTTGGGTTGGGACGAGGATGGCTTGATTGCACAGTGGGTGACCCATTGAGTGAAAACACATTTGGCAAACAAGGAGAACAGCAAACAGCAGGAGCCCAGCATGTCATCAATCTGAACACAAAGCAGCTTTGTTGTGTTTATCCGCTCATCTTTATTCTATTTAATATGAGCTTGAAGGATCAAATAGTTTGCTATCCATCGCTGTATGTAATGACTTCACTTAGTGGTATTTAAATGCTCTACTTGACTGCCAAAAATAATTCCCCTTTGTAATTACTCAATCATATAACATTATGCTCAAGCTAACCCCAATGCATTCAGTGCATGTCTAATATAGGGTGAGATCAGGGTACGGCCACAGTCCAAGGTTTAACAGTGATTTACTCAAGCCTGTTTACTGTAGTGAAGACATAGAGGGGCCAGCTTAATATGGCAAAACCTCCAGACTAGATTCACAACAGATAGAGCATTTAGATCTTCAGAGTTAAAAGTGTTCATTGTTTACTATTCTTTCCATCTGCAGCACCTATTAGCCATCCTCTTTCCACTGTAATGGCATACCGCTTGGATGTGTGGGAGCTGAACTTTAACAAACTAGTGTGTTTGTTTGGAGACAATTCAAACTGTGGCTCAAAATGTGTCAGGGTCCCCAGGCAATACAAGTATTGAGTTGTACGTCACATGACTAAATAGGTAAACAAAGAACAAAGCCATCCTAAAAACTCTGCATTTCATTTGAATTAATTATAGTCTGACCCAGATGTACATCTCCAAATGATTAACTATAACACCAATTCATATGATAGTTTAACGTAATCTTAACTTTGCCTGAAGGAAACCAAAATTGTAATTCCTTGTATGACGATTCTATTCCACTAGCAACTACTAAAACACATGTTAAACACGTGCACAGCGTCCGTGTGTGTGTGTGTGTGTAAGTGTGTATGCAAATAAATGCCTATTGCTTGAAGATAAAAGACTGCAGGTCTGGGAATCATTTTTAGGACATTATCATGTGCATGGGATAGACTTGTATATGTTCCACACCACAGAGCTGCCATAGCAACATCTACACTATAAACCCTCCCATCTAGCTACTCACAGCTCGCCACAAACATCTTTAGAGAAGTGCATTTGGATTACGGGTTAGGGGCCATTAGTTTTAACTTACAGTGGAGGTACAAAAAACTACTAAAACCGAATATAGGAACTGCTGTGTAATTATCATAATGAAATACTGCATACAAACTAAAAGGTGAGAAGTCTTAACTTTCTGTTTCTCTATGGGAAAAGATAGTGTACAAATATAAACAAATGCACAGATCCTCCTTTAGGAAACATGTTGTGAAGGCTGCCAAGGGCCATGGACATCGTATAAGGAAACACCCATCATGACAGCGAGGAGGAGGCGGTGAACACATTTGATACTTGGGGGGGGAAAAAGGAGAGATCATCATCTTTTAACGGAATTTCCATTCACAATTGATCTAGTTTTACTTCTTCTTTTGTTGTAAGTTAAAATGGGATTGAGTGTCTGTACACTGCAGAGGCACAAGACTCTAATTGAAACTCTAATAATCTTGAATAATATGGTTTGCCACAAGTCACAGCAAGTATGAACTGGCCATCAACAGATCACCATACTTTCCGAACAGAGAGATGTATTCATGCCAGTAGAGGAAATGCTTACAACCCATCAAGAGATTTCCCTTCCAAGGACAAGAGAAACGAAAAGACACCAACTTTAGACAAATGATTGCCATGAAATGTGCACTTCGTGAAGACAATAATTTGAAAGGAAAAATTCTGCTCATTCTTGGTAAACCATGGCGCTTTAAGTTTTCAACAACAAGAGGGGATTCCGTGCAGATTCAAAAAAAGCATCAAAAACAACAGGCCACTGTTTTCCTTTTAAGTGGGAATCAAAATCTAAGAACACATCTGTGTCAGAGGAAACATCTGGAATATCTTTCAGTTCAAAGTGATTTAGGAGGTGCACGATAAACATCTACACTAGTGAGAGTTTGGGATATTTAAGTGAAAACCGTCACTTAAATCCTAAATACTTAAAGGCTTAGTTTAACAATGTTAGTGACTTAATTTGCAGAGTTCCCTACATGAAATGATGTAGTAGCTTTAACAGGATAATAAAACAAATTCATTAAAAAAAGCAAATCGGAAGCAAAAGAGACCAGAAGACCAGTGACTCACACATGAGTCATTGATTAGTCTGGGTCAGAGAATCAACACATACGTACAATGTGTACGTATGTGTTGATTCGATGTATGAGGTCAAATGTTGAATTGCTGTACACACACTAAAAGTGTGTTGTTATTTAACTCTGTGACCTTTACTGGTCCACCCGGCTGGCAACCCAAAGCTGCTCTGACACATTTCCCAGAGTGAAATTGGATCCAAGATGTTTTTTGTCACAGAGTAAAGTCATCTGCCCTTTTCTGTTGTCGACGTTTGCAGTTTGGGACGGACATAAAACGACTCCTTGTCGTTTTATTGAGTCTTAAGCTCTCTAATGGTGTTTTTAGTCCTAAATGGAACTCTTGAGTGCTTTTAGTGGAAATAGAAATGTACATACCACTGCTCCACCATTTCTTGCCGTTTATGACAAAGTCGTCTTCATCCCTGCAAAGAGTGCACTCCATGTTGGTTGCATCACTGGAGGCCACATCAGGCTCTGTGGAAGGGACCACAGGACAACTCAGAACATACACATTTTACACCAAATAAAAGATAATAACTAATGAGAATTAGACTAACAGTGTTAACATCTCCAATCCACAGCTTTTGCATTTTTGTTCCATCTTTTCCAAAAGTCTGGATTCCAGCTCAAACCACAGACAGAGTGGCTAAAATAAATCAAGTGCACTCACACCACTATCATACTGAAACAGCAGATAGAGTCTTTATCAGCACAAGATGGAGGTTCCTCTTCGTTGTCATAATAAAAATCTACCAAACTCTTGACAAAAAACATCCCCAAAACACTACTTATCCCCATCTGTGTTTACGAAAAACCATTGGGAGTTTCACACCCACTGTAGTCACCATTGGCAACAGCATGCTGTGGTTTCCAGGCAGAGTGGAAAGCAAAGGGAGAAAACAGGGAGAAATTACTCATGAGTGAGCTTGAGTTTGCTGTTGGCATGTAGAAAACAACCGTGCTACCCGGCTCATTTAAGACCAGAACCATCACTGGAAAGTTTGAGAAAAAAAATGCATACATATTTTGAGGACTTAACTTCATCAGTACCTTGTGGAGGGGACTTACAGTCAGTGTTTTCAGACGCTGCCTCAAGGCTACACAGTTTATTTCCCACCTCTAAAATAACATTCCTTACATTGTCCCCACTGACTCTACAGACTATGGTATGTTTTCCTTGTTCAGCCTTTTGTAAAGAACAGTCAGCCGTGACATGAAGCATATATTTGAAAGTCTTCAAGTGACGCAGGAGGGCGAGGTCATGGACATACCCGTCATACAGAAGCAGGAGCGGATCTCTCCTTTGAGCAGAGGCTCCAGCCATTTACTCTTCTGCTCCTCACTGCCAAACATGTGGAGCACCTCCATGTTGCCTCTGTCTGGGGAGAAACATCATACCACACACTGTCTTCCAGGATATCATGAGCTAAATTTGAATATGCTGTTCAGGACTGCAATCAATCTTTTTAACATAATCTAACAAATAAATACCCTTAGGCACTAATTTGAGGGATTTTTATGTTTTAAACCCAGTGAATATATCAAAGGAATGCATTGCTGTCATGATATAAACAAGACTAAAGAAAGGTTGACATTTGGAGAGGATTATACTTGACTACAGAGGATGTTATCCAGAACATACAGTGCATGGTCGTTACGTACTGTAATTATAGTCCATTATTGTCAATGGCCTCCAAATCATCCAAACATTTGGCCACATGTAGGATATGTTACCTGGAGCCTGGCAGTTGAAGACTTCAGGGGCAAAGAGGTAGCGCCCAGTTTCCTCTGCAATGTAGGCATAGTCCAACTGACTGAGGCCGCTGACCGCAGGCAGGAATAGGTTCCACAGCCCCGCCTCCCTAGCTTTCACCTGGAAACACACACACGTTACCATAAATATGTTGTCACCTTTATGTTCTCAATAAATAAAATCAACATAACTGTGAACACAAGTTTGATAAGCACTCTATTATAATAACGCAAGCAAATGTTTTTCAGCTGAAAGTCATTATGCAAGATTCTGCTCACAGCACACTACTACAGCATTTAGCTGATAAATCCCAATGCATTCCACTACAGTGTATATGCATGCGCCAACTGCGAGTGACAACAAGCAGGGCTCAAGGAAGTGCAGTGACTCAGCACGGACACAAATAACTGTATTACTCATATAATTGAAACAATTAATGATGACTCAGAAGGGAGGTGCAATGTTTAAATAAACAGACAATAGACAAGATGTAAATAAACATGGCCCTTCAACCTGCTGGATCAATATTGAAATAACACCTCTTGGAGTTGTTCTATTGAGATGTGTTAGTTATTCTCTAACCCATGTGATTTATATTGTGTTTGTAATAACTGCATCATTTCCTGATGTATGATATCGTGTCTGTATTTGTCGTGGTAACTTGTACAGGTCTCTGTTGAAAAAGAAATGTGGCCATCAAATGAAATAAAAAGGGAAAGGTTTTTACTACGCACCTTTAGATCCTGTATTATCTGGGGGGTGTGCCACCTCTGTGGAGACTGAGCGTGTTTGGAGTAGTACTCTGCAACTTCCTGGAAAAAAACAAAACAGTTTTGACACAGTATTGCCTAAATCAATCCATTTCCTTTGGACTTTGTTCACTTCTGCATTCTCTTCATCAGTGGAAACCTGTACCATAGAATTGTGAAACCGCTCTGAGACTTTACGTTGTGTTAATGTAGTCCTTTCTGAAGGTATTTCTACAGAAGAAACAAAACTGTTTAATCTGTGGCTATGTTTCACAAAAAAAAAAAAAAACACCACTCTGCCCACTGCTGTCTTAGCCTTACACTGCTGCACTGCATTAAGATTGCTATGATGCCCAGCCAATGGTGATAATTATGCACGCAATACAATTCATGTAATCAATGGACTCCTTGTTTTCTCACGCGAGTGAATTAATCCTGATTGCATGAATGAACTGGTATGCTCCGTCAAATCCTTTCATGTGAAAGTAAAAGTCCATCTGGGCAAACAAATCTCTCTTATGTTCACGGCTGACCTCCTGAGCAGGAAGCACGTTTTGTCTCATGAAGTCTTTGACCTGTTGGAGAACAGCCTGACCTTTAGGTGTCTGCAGGAACAGACCGTCTCCTGCTGGACATGTGTCAGACCTGGCAAGAAACACATCTCACATAATAAAAAAGTCCACAAGTAACATCGGAAGCAGCAGCTGGATGCCACATGCCAACCGTTGCGGATTTAAATTTAGTCAGCAGGTGGAATCAGTCACTTTTCTGGCCTACAACAGAGAGTTTGGACTGTCTTATTTGGATTATATCAAATTATATTACTGCTTATATAAACACATTAATGCATATTACTGAAATGAATGCCTTGTAAAAAAAAATCTAGGTACTTTCATCAACTTCTATCAAACTCAGTGGGTGTCTGAATCTGTGACAGCTTACGGATAAAGTTACACCAGCAAATGCTGTATGACTCAGATATCCGTATCCAACACAAACATCTAGTATCTTTTGAAAGGAATTGTTCAGTCACTGTACCGATACATTGAAATACATGTAAAAACAACCACAAGCATCGTCTTACACAACTCTTAGCAGCCAACATACCTCTGTGCAAGCTGCAAGGCAATCTTAGCCAAGGGCTCCACACACTGGCCGAACTGTGTTGGGAGCACTGGCATTACCCAGTAGGTGGCGTGATCAGGAAACCTGGTTTTTCCTGATGGGGAAAAAAAAGGTAAATAAAGGAAAGCGAGCTAACCAGATCCATCTAGGCCCTTCTCTAGTTAAGGAGACAATACCAATCCATTATGGGACATTTGAAGAACCCCAACAATGTAATGGCACAGTTAGAATTTCACTTGAGTTGACAATTAAAAAAAAAAAAAAAAAGTAAATGGGAAAAATTTGAGTTGAACTTTGTATATAAATTGGTACAAACCTGTGACATTCCTGCCATTTTAAAGACAGACAGGGCCAGGTAGAAATTCAACTGTGGCAAAGCAGACGGGATCCCCCGGACCCGGCAGTAAATGGAGATCAGGTCTCCCACAGTTGGGATACCTGCTCATTGGTTGGAGAGACAAGGGGGCAGAGAAGCCACAATCATTTGCAGAACAGATACTATGTCTATGCACATATACTTTTACAGAAAGATGTTGGAGCAAAGCATGTCCATCTATTTGAGCACTGTTCTGTTCAGGGTTGTTATTTGTTTGCTACCTTCTATTCCTTTTAAACTGCCCATTGTGCTGCTGATGTTAATGCTTGTAGGCCAGAAGTGAGGCATGAGGAAGTAGGCCAGGTCTGCCAAGGGCTGCCCAGTGGTAGACAGCTCCCAGTCCAGTACTGCCATCACACGTGCCTAATGACACCAAATGCACTTTGTAAAGCATTGCAGTCACTTGAAGCTGATAGGTAAGAGTAATTGTTTCAGAAGGCGTACCTCTCTTGGATGGAATATCAAGTTGTCCAATCGGAAATCTCCATGGACAAGCGTGACCTCGTTATCAGTGGCTGGCAGATTCTTCATCAACCAGTCAGACAGTTCATTCATGGCTGGAATGTCTCTGTGGGCTGCTGCGGTGTACTGCTTTGTCCAGGTGGACACCTTTTGAGATGGAAAGCCACTTTAGAATATCACAACTCTAACTGCTTTTTTTCCCCCAAAGAACAATTATCTTGATTTGATGAGTACACAGTGTTGTGCTCACTTGTCTCTTGCAGTAACCTGATCCTTTTCCATATCCTTCAAGGTTCAGTGATGCCGGGTCCAGTGAGTGGAGCTTTGCCAACGCTTCCACTGCAGCCACATATAGAGCTGCTCTCTCTGCTGCACTCACTCCAGGGAGACGAACATCCCTGAATACACGCCCCTGTTCAATACGCATGGATAAGCAAGAGTATCTTTTCATATGATGGTAGAGTATGTATTTAGAAGCCTGGGCTTCAATCAGGTATGTCAAGTCAGCGTGACAGCAAGCGAACGCTGGCGAGTCCAAATTTCATCTTTTATCATTAGAATATAGAGCAAAGGTTAAGCAAAACAGCAATCAATATATTAGATGCACAAACCTACCCTCACATGCTCCATTAAGTAGAACTCTGTTCCAATGATTTCAGCATCAGTGCAGTGCAACAGAGGCTGAGGTACAGGGAATCCAGCAGAGAACAGGGCCTTCTGCACCCGATACTCCCTGTCCACCTATAAATAAAGTCACAAAGGTCCACCATTCAGAATCAGAAGCAGCTTTATTGGCCATGTACGCATACAAGGAATTTGACTCCGGTTTTTTGTTGCTCTCCACGTACATACACAGAATTTACAAATAAACAGGAAAAAAATAATAAAAAACAAGGACAATGAAAAAATTTGAACATTTCCCACACTGTAGGCCTTAAGATAATGACTGTTTTTCACAGGTCCCACACGATCCAAATAATTTCATACACGGATACTGATATGCAAGTGCAAATCCATAGGAAGCTTCTGGGAAAGGAGTATGTACTTTTCTATTAATTATGATAGAAATGCAGACAATATTCAGGTGGTTACGATCAGTGCACAACAGCTCAGGTAAACATGCAAAAAAAACAAGTGAAACTTGTGAACTGACAATAAGCACTGTAGTTCCTTCCAAATCATACACTGTATGTATTTCTAGGAAACCTTCTAGGACATTATTAGATGTCTGTTTCATACAACTAGCACTGAAAAACTATTCTAGTGCTTAAAAAAAATGTTTTGGCCAATTTTTTTTTTATTTACTTTATTTTCCACAAGCAACTTCTGTCAATAACATAACATGCAAAGGATACAGAAAAGCTAAATAAAACGTACACATGCAACTTTGATCGCTCCCTGCACATTTTATTGACCAAAGTTATTTATGAGTCAAACCTAGTTCTCTTACCTTGTGAGCTCCTGGCAGCAGCTCACCTGGAGGCTTCTTCCTCAGAACATAACTGTTTGAGGGAGTTTGGATTAGGAAGCTTGGGTTTGACTGACCAGCGCTGAAAAGACAACAGGATGCTGTTAGCGAGTTAACAGTACGCTCAACCTGATGTTTACACTATTAGCTTTCAATTCAGCAAACCAGCTGTATTTATTTCAACGTTACCTATACTGTCTGACAGTGAGCGTGTCATTATTTGACACGGTCCGTGACTTGACAGACAGATATCTTTGCAGTCCGCTAACACTGAATTGATGTTGCTGTCGAACAGAAGTTGTCAGCTCCTCCATGGCTCAGTTACCGAGTGGATTAATCATCTCCAGTTGCGTTGTGGGGTTAACTTTCGCAATGTTGATAATGGTGGTCGGACCATTTACGTCTGCACACACTGACGTAATATCCTCAAAAAGCATTTGTATCTTACAGATATTTTTAGTTTTAAAAACCTAATGGATATAAATAATTTAACAGCCAGTCCATGTCCTCGTAAACCGTTGAAATAATCAGCTAATAACGTAGAAACAATTTGAGGTATTTGCAAACGTTACTCGTTTTCTACACGGACGTTATTTACGGGAACACACCTTCTGACTGCTGATTTGAGTTCTGAAGACGTGTACTTTCCGTACCGACATAGCCGTCTAGTTTGACCATTTGCTTTATTGTTATTTACAATATTACCTATATTTCGTTCACGTTGTTTGGAGATATTTGTTCTCCTGATGGCGACGGTCGAGGAACTGAAGCTGCGGGTGAGAGAGTTGGAAAATGAGTTGATAAAGTGTAAGCAGAAGCAGTGTGCCGTGGAGGATGCTCAAAGCCAGCGACTACACAGACCGAAGATTGACAAAATGAGCGCCGAGGTTGTGGATTCCAACCCATACAGGTGACTTTGTATTTTATACATTTCGTTTTTTGACAGAATTTGTCCGGGCTGATCTTAGCGCTAAGAGGCTACGCCTAATGACTCGCTCATCCCATATGGTGGTACTTCATAGACCACAATGCTAACCTCAGCTGTGTTGTCATTGCAGTCGTCTAATGGCTTTAAAGAGAATGGGCATCGTGCAAGATTATGAGGTATGATATATAAGTATTGTTCTTTATTCACTGCAGTTTGTTTTTGCTGTAATTATCACAATATTATACTAAGGTAATACTAAAACTATGGAAGAACAGACATTGTTCTTCAAGTCTATATCAATTTCAAAAACATGCCACTGGATATTAATACCAATGTGCATTTTAGTGCGATGAAATGCGGATGTATACAAACTTTCACGTGGGCATCCTTAAGGTTAAGTCTTTTTTAAAGACCATGTGACCTCATTACAATGATAAAATAATCATCTTGCAATATCCTGACAGAAAATCCGGACATTCACAGTCGCTGTGGTTGGTGTTGGGGGAGTTGGCAGTGTGACAGCTGAAATGCTCACTAGATGTGGCATTGGTAAGGTAATACAAACGTTTTTTCTTATTTCCTCTACATTGCCTTGTACCTGTTCATGTTGTTCAGTAGATTGTCTGCCTGTGCTTCCCCCCCAATCTTGTCTATGCTTGCGCCATCACAGTTGCTCCTCTTTGACTACGATAAAGTAGAGCTGGCCAATATGAACAGACTGTTCTTCCAGCCTCACCAGGCAGGCCTCAGTAAAGTGGAAGCTGCAGAACACACACTCAGGTATTCGATTGTTTAAATTAATCAAATTTCTCCCCCAAAATAGAGACATTAAGTTTATTTTTGCTTACATGTTCCTCGATTTACCCAACAGGAACATCAACCCAGATGTGTCATTCGAAACCCACAACTACAATATCACCACAATGGACAATTTTACACATTTTATGGAGCGCATCAGGTGAGCATTTCCTACTCTCCAGTTTCTAGTTTTACTATGCCTTAGTGATCCAAACCTTCACAACAGATTGTTCTGTGTCTTCCCAGTTATGGAGGGCTGGAAGAAGGGAAGCCGGTGGATTTGATCCTGAGCTGTGTGGACAACTATGAGGCCAGAATGGCTATCAATACAGTAAGTGCAGCACTGTCACAACATGTTATACACACTGTGCTTTGTACATGTTACCTTTGCAGATTGTATTTCATCTTATCTTGTTTGTCACAGGCCTGTAATGAACTCGGTCAGATCTGGATGGAGTCTGGTGTCAGTGAGAACGCTGTATCAGGACACATCCAGCTCATCATTCCCGGAGAGACGGCATGCTTCGCTGTATGTCCACACACAAACATCTTTTCTTTACACTGAAAATATATTCACCCTCTGCAATACTTGAACAACATTGCCCTGTGAGAAAAACAATTGTAATAGTTACAGTGTCATATCCTTTGATAGTGTGCTCCTCCTCTGGTGGTGGCAGCGAACATAGATGAGAAGACCCTAAAAAGAGACGGCGTGTGTGCTGCCAGCTTACCAACAACAATGGGCGTGGTCGCAGGCCTCCTGGTGCAAAACGTCCTAAAGTAAGATATATTTATTTATGAGCATTGGGAAACCTAAAGGTGGAAGGACTGTCTGTATAGTTAAAGGTAAATGTTGTTGTCTTTCAGGTTTCTGTTGAAGTTTGGAACCGTCAGTTATTATCTCGGCTACAACGCCATGCAGGACTTCTTCCCCACCATGGCCATGAAACCCAACCCCCAGTGTACTGACCGCCACTGCGGGAGACAACAGGAAGAGTACAAGGTGCGTGCTTGCGATGTAATATCTGCTAAAAGCCCTTTTTTATTTGCGGTGCTGCACCAGTTGGGAAAGCTAACCGCGTCTATCTGTATGAATGCTTCTCTTCAGAAGAAAGAAGCGGAGTGCCCAAAGGTTGAAGCTGTACAGGAAGTGGAGGAGGAGGTCGTACACGAGGACAATGATTGGGGTGAGCATGCAACAAACAACTATTCCATCTAACAGTGTCAGATCTGTCTTTGTACAATACAGTATATTGTCTTATGTGTATTAACAGGCACACCATTGTAACATGCAGGTATTGAACTAGTATCAGAAGTGACTGACGCAGAGTTACAGGCTGCTTCAGGCGCTGTGCCTGACCTCCCAGAAGGCATTACCGTGGCTTACACCATTCCAGTTGAGGTTAGTATTTGGTAACGCAACACAGCTTTGAAGGGCTTAACTGATAGTTTTACATGTTTGAGCTCATCAATCTAAAATATGTGAGATTATTACTGACAAATGCAGCATACGTTTTAAAATTGTAATTGTAAAGTAAATTAAATATTCACTGTGACAGATGATCAACTAAATTCTGACAATATTGTTTTCTCTTACCAGGAGACAGAACGTGGGGAGACAGTGGGGGAGACTGAACAGAGCCTAGAAGACCTGATGGCTCGGATGAAAAAGCTGTAGGCAACAATCTGAAGATGCTATTCAGAGAAGACATGCAGTTTCTCGTGCGTCTATTCCATTGGTTTATTTGATAACAAGCATCCTCGTAAAAAAGCCAATTAATAAACAATTACAGAGTTCAGCTAAAGAATGGAAATGCATGAAAAGTGCTTCTGATGACATTTCACACAACACCATTTGTAAAGTCCAGTCCAGTCAAATTTATAATTTGCTGACATACTAGGAAGGTGTTTAGCACTTGGAGTTGGTACGGTCTCTAATGAAATGTATACAAAGATAACATTGTCACAATGTGTATTTTCTACAGTTTTGATTAGTGAATACGTTTTCTGCCTACCTTTGTGTCATTCACTCAGCTTTAAAACAAACATCTGCTGTAACAGATTAAAACATTTAAACATGTTTAAGTTGTCTCAATTAAGTATTTATTAGATGGAATACAATCTTCTCGATATATTGGATGTGATTTTTGTTGTCCTGTACAGCTTTTACATATAATAACATTATATTAATACACAAATATATTTAAAAACTTAAGTTATAATAATGTGTTAATGTATCCCTTTGGGATTCACATACAAATCAAAGTCAAACAACAATGGAGTTAAAGTACTCCATTGTACTTTAACTTATGGCACTATCTTGGTTTTGGCCAATCCTTTACAATCCTTTTTGTTAATGAATAAATACACAGATATCTAGCTCTGCATAAACAGCATGAAATCTTAACCAGAGGTAAGACGTGGTCTCGGCTTGTTTTTGGACCCTTATCTTTGGTTCTACATTTTCTCTTTTTGGATCATGTACTCTATACTAGTAGGTAAACATGTAATGTAAACATAAATGGTATCTAAACATAAATATACACATTTTTCACAATACGCACATTTCATTTTAGCGACATTAGCGCTCTAAAATATTTCAGTCAGAACATCAGGAATTTGCAACAAATATGTGTGAGGTCTTAACAGTTTTGGTAAGGCATAATGGCAAAAATAAGTTGTATTGTTGTAAATATTTGACAATTTTTGAAAAAGTACATAGGGTATTATCTGCTGTACAGTGAAATCACAGAATGTGTCTGGTTATTAATTATGTTTTATGGGTTATGATATGCCAAACCCTCATAGCGTTCCATGCCAGCAAATTAGTCTGTGCAGCTAATTTGCTGATATGCACAGTATAGTCACGTAAATAGGAACAAAGTGTCTGAATCAGTGATAAATGTAAACTTGAGTTCCATAAGAAGTAGTGATATATAACTGAAGATCTTTACACACATGATTATGTAGGAAATATAAAAAAATACTTGTGGTAAATACACAGGTTTCACAGATTCATTAAACAGATCTCATTATTATACTGGCAGGTACAGTCTATTTGACCAAACCCTAAAACCTCCATCTAGACAGTAATCGCAGTGTGATGACCAGAACGGTTCCCCTGTGGCAATAAGTGTCTGAACAGAGTCACCTCTGGACATGTGGGATGGGAGCCGGTCCCCTCAGACTGAATGTGTCCCCACTGGAGGAGTGGCGGGACGGAGCGTTACCACACACCGACGACGGCTCCGCCTCCTTTATCTCCATCGCACGTTTGTAAAGCTCTGCTGCCTTCTCGAAGTCGCCCTCTTCATAGCTATTTACAAACGGAATAAAAAGGCAAGAAAGAAAAAATATTTTAAATGTAATTCAACATTCATGATTAAACTTCTGATTCGCCGAATGTTGAATGCAACCTCAAGTGCTGTACCTCAGCACAGCCAGGTTTTTTAGGGTCTCTCCGACCCGTGGGTGTGAGCGCCCCAAACTATCCTCATACACTTTCAGTGCTCGTTCATAAAGAGGCAAGGCTTCACTGTGCTTCTTCTGCCAAAGACAAAACAAATCTACAGTCAGCTTTGCTCTCTACAAATATGTGTAAATAGCTCTTAAGAAACAAGTCGGGAATATGTGGAACAGACTGAATGAAGTATAATGGACATTCTCACTAGTTGGCAGTAGATCACAGCCAGGTTGACCAGCGCCGTGGCCACACTGGGGTGTTTGAGCCCAAAACTTTTTTCCCTGATTTCGAGAGACAGCTCATACAGCGGCATAGCCTTTTCCAGCTTCCCCTGTACAACACACACACATCTCAGAAATCAGAGTCTCAGCCAACGACAAGCACAGAATGAGCTGTTCAAACATTAAAGTTTCATTGTCAACATGCACACGTGTCTCACTCTGCGTTTATAGAGCATGGCCAGGTGTTTGAGTGTGTATGCCAGTGAGGGGTGGTCTGGGGACAAGGCCGTCTTGCGGATGTCCAGCGCCCTCTCATACATGTCCTCAGCCGTCTCATACTCCCTCCTCTCTGTGTGCAGTGCAGCCAGGTTGTTGAGGGACTGCGCACAGTCTGGGTGATCCGGACCGAGGACGCGCTGACGCATCTCCAGAGAGCGGGTCAAGAATAACTTGGCTGCACTGGTGATGGCAAAGAGTGGGATTTAAGATATCTATTCAGACAAATAAAGACTAAAGAAACAAAAAAAATAAACAAGAATTAGGTAGAAGGTGCGATTTGAGGGAGACGCAATTACACAATTAATGTCCACAATGCAGAGTGTCTTTGTCTGTGTGCATTCCAGCTGCTACATGTATGCCTTACTCCATGTTGTTTTGGAGGTAGTACAGGACACCTAGTTCATTGAGTGTCTTGGCAGAGTCTGCAGTTTCTTTTCCCAGCGTCAGCTCTTCCAGCTGTAGGGCTCTGCGTCTCAACAAAGTGAAGCCGTACTGAAAGGAGGAATTGACAAAAAGATATGCACATCATAAAACAAATGATGCATACATGCATATGGAGAAGCATGTGGGTATCTGTGCTGCTTACCATATGACCTTTCTGGCGAGCAGTCTTCTGACGGATCTTCACTGACCTTTTCCTGAGTTTCTCTGCTTGTTCGTACCTGATTGTAAGAATGCCCGGTGTAAGCCATTAAACGAGGGCCTCTGTTATTATTATATTGGAAATTATAAATAACACCATGCACGTCAACAACAAGAGAGAACCATTTACTTGTTTTGTTTCTGATAGAGCATGGCAAGGGACTCCAGCTCTCGTGCTACGCTGGCATGCTCGGCTCCGTAGGCATTCTCACTTATCTCCAGGGCCTGCTTGTACAGCTGCTCAGCGTTGCCGTACTTCTTCCACTGAACATAAACCCCAGCCAGCTGGTGCAGGGAGCAAGCTACACTGGGATGGTCCGGGTCCAAGGCTGTCTCCCTAATCTCAAGGGACCTTTGTAAAGGTGCTACTGCCTACAAAAACAGAAAGAATCAAATACATATGCAATTGACAATATGTGCACTTTCCGAAACAGAAAACAAGAAAATGGCAGAAGAATATTGTCAAGTGAACAATTAACGTGTTTTTTTTGTGTGATTTGAAAGCTAATACTCATTCAAATATTGCAAGCGTGTACACTACCTGGCTAGGGAGGCCCAGGTCTTTGAGGAACCGTCCCAAGGTCTCATACAGGTTTGCCAGCTTGGTCATGCTGTCTTCGCTCTCACAGTTCTTCTCATAGTGTTTCAGGGAGTCAAAGTACTCAGTGGCCATGGAGCTTTTGTCTTTGCCCACATATTGCCAATAGGCTAGCAGCTCAGAGAAATGACCCCTAGAAAAAGAAAACACATACCGTCTAGACCCATACCTAAATAAATGTCCTGTATCAGCTTGTGTGTATGCATGCTTCTTACCTCTTGTAGAGGTTTTGGGAAACAAACAGGTTCAGGAGGCTAAGCTGTAATTTCGTCCTATCCTCCTGTTGCTGGAACAGCCAGGGCAGCTCATCTGCGACACGCCACGTAACCCGGTCCTGGCTACACGTACACAATGACATGAGTGGTACTGACAGAAGAAGGTGCGTTGTGTTGTATGAGGAGAAGATGAGTACTCTACCTGAGTTGTTGACTGAAGTACTGTATGAGTTTCTCTCTGTAAGCAGCTGAGCTACTTCCTCCACTCAGGAACTCCAACCTTACAGCTTCCCAAGCCTGAAAAACAAACACACACTTACAGACAAAAACTTCACAAAGGATATTATAGTTTTTTATGCATTTTGTATTTTGTGCTAAATATTCTACTGGCCAAAGCCCAGTTACCTGCAGGTGTTGGAACCTGATGAGCCCACAACGGAGGGTTACAATGCAGAGTCTGTTCAGACGGTAAAGCAGAGTGGACAGGATAGGCAACTCCAGTTCTGGGAAAAGGTCTAGCACCTCTGATTCACTCACTCCATTATGGCTGGCACACACAAGGCACAGAATCTAAGGAGAGACAAATAAATAAGCACATATTATTTTACTACATAGAGAAAGAAAATCCAGATTAAAGTAAACCAGAGAGAAATTACAGCAAAAAAACGGATGAAAACTAAACGTGACCGGTACCATGAAAACACAATACAACATGGTGACAGTGTAGTTTTGCAGGTCACCTCGGTCATAATGTGTCGCTCTCTGTCTGTGTTGAGGGAGTTCAGGGTGATCTTGAGTGCCAGACGGTAGAGTGACATGGTGTCCTGACACTGTAGACACTGCTCCAGGCCCTTCTCCAGTGACCAACCTGATATACTGCTGGCCAGTAACAAAACATGGACATTTTGCCAATCACAATTTAAAACTAACTTAGCCACACATTCAGAGACATCCACGTCAGACTTAGGAAGGGAAGACCATTTTTAACCCCCATAATGCATGTTTAAGATCCAGTACGGAATGGATTTACTCAACCAAAGTTCTCTGAAGCGAGTCACAGAAACTTCGACCATTATATAAAGATTTGCAATCATTGCAATGAAACACAAAGTTAACTCATTTTGTATCAGAATTGTTCTGCGATGGTAACTACATTTAGAATCGTGAAACCAGAGGTGACTAACCTGATGATCATTCTTGCCAGTAGTGTGACATACAATGCATTGCAGGTTGATGCAGAGCGACAATGCCTTTCTAGCTTCTTCTCCTGGAACAAAGATACAACATTTAATTGTGGCATTCTCCCATAAACGTATTTCTGCTAACAATTCCAAATGTCTCTCCACACTTTCAAATCCTCTGGATGATAACTGACCTGGTCCTTGGTCAGTTTGAGATCCAGGCTCTGGCACTCTGCATTGACAATGCTCCTGACCTCCCTGGGACTCAGTGGGTCTAAGTGGAGTGTGGGCCATAACCTAATAAGGCATGCTCACTGAATTATGAATGGCAATACTACAGGAGCATATTTAGAAACATATACCACTGCATGGAAATATATAGCAATACAACACATGTACAGTAAATTGACTGGGATGTTTAGAAATCAAACTGTGGGTTTCACCTCCAAGCTTGAGGACAAGTCTCAACTTTGACAGATACCACCACCCGGACGTTGACAGGCAGAGGGTCAATTAGCCACTTCATGTGTCTTTCTGCTTGCTGAAAAAAGTAGAAAAATAGTAGTGTTAGAAGCTATTCTGTAAAAAAATGAATTATTCTCAAGGTGACTGAAACAAAACAGTAATCGTCTAATCTGGAGTGTACCTGTATTTGGTCAATGGAGTCGATGATGATGATAATGTTCCCTTGATGGCGTGCTGATAGTCTTTCAAGCCAGCGGGGAAACTCCTCTAAGATCTTACTGGGCTCCATCGACAAGCCGGAAATGGACCAGAAGTGCTGCAGCAGCTATGTGACAACAGACAGAAAACACATTCCCACAGTTATTCAGCGAGACTGTCTTTAGTCTCTAGAAGAGCCACTGAGAGAGACCCCTTACTTTGACTGTGAGGCGTTTGATAATGAGAACCGGCTCCGAGCTTGTGGAAAGCGGGCGGCCAACAAAATGATAGAGGAACAAGGTGTTGGGGGACTGCTTCTGCTGCTGCTCGATCCTGAAAAGGATTAAAGAACGAAGATTAGACAAACCTTACAGAAAGTCCTGTTCCTTGATGACACATCACACCATTAAAAAGAGCTGAAAACAACACCTTTTACAGAGTGGGTCTTATTAAGTTCTTAAGAAGATAATGTAACATAAACATAATGTTTGAATTATTTTTGTCCTTGTGCCATTTTTCCAGAAAGCTAGTAGAGCGAGCGGAAATTGACCAAAACAGGCCTAAAAGTGTTAAATTAGGAGAACTACTCAACATACCACAAAAGCATACAAAAAAAATATTACACTGAACTGAATGAATAAGTTCTCACCATTTGGAGAGCAGGAGAGACTTCCCTGAGCCTGGACCACCAGACACCAGCAGAGGTGGGGTGGGAGGTGGAGCAGCTATCATGTCATTTAAACGATCTATGTACTGAGAAGGACACCAGGTACAACACAGTCTTACAGTGATTACTGACAGTATTAGACTGGAAGACAAGATTAAGAGAGCTAAAAAGAGGGGGGAACATCTGTTCTACCTTCTGGAAGCCTAACTGAGAGGTGGTGCTGCTGCTACAGGCCTGCTGGTAGGACTCAATCTGTTCCTGCTCATCATGCAGGTCCCACAGCACATCTCCTGAGTCCTCCTCACGTCCCTCCTCCATCCCAGAGTCCGTAGAATCAACATCTGCTCCTTCAAGTCCCAGCAACTCCTACATAGTGAGAGTAGAAGTGGAAGTTCAAACACCGACACGGACGGGAGGATTGAACATATATCACCATGCATACCCAACTTGCAATTGTATCGATGTAAAGACTGATGTTGCTGATAGTCTGTACCTGTTTGATGACTTTCTCCAGTTGCAAATAAATGAGGTGAGCTCCCTCCTCTGCAGAACCACTATGATCCACCACCTGGGTTAATGTTCAAAACATGTAAGCGCAAGCACTGTGTGGCATCGAGCAACCAGGAAAATACAGAATGTCAACTTTAAAAAGCAATAAACAAACAACTTCTGCTTTAATTTAATAAATATACGGCACGCACACAAACCTTGACTTTAGCAGCCTTGTCTGCAGCATTGATCCTTTCTAGCAGTTGCCTTGTGGGTCCAGTCAAATTGTGATCTTCTTCAGTCCTGAGGTAGAGCACCAGTGGATGGCCATCCGGATTCTTCACAAACGCCTCGTCACAATCCTCCACCACAGAGCTACACACGTGCATGAATATTGTTAGACCACATAATACAAGTACAATCTTAAATACATGGGGGATATACGATGGGGATAGGTAGAGGACTGACTGTACCTAGTGACAGTAGATTTGACAAGAAGCACACACACGGAGCTCCTTTCAATCTCCTGCTTGCGCTCCACAGCGTATGAGGCAGCATTCTCCTCTGGGAAGCAGACATTCAGGTAGAAATGGCCGAGACCTTCGCACATTCTGCGTAACACAGGTGAATGTTTCTGTAATGAAAACATGAGGAAAAGATTTACCAGTCAACAAAAGTAATTTTAAGTCCAATTTTAAGTCCAAGAAACGGCGCTATTAATGAAAAACACAATAGTGCCACAATATAATAATCAACAATAACACAATATTCATAGTTTGTCCACAGTGCCCATTAAACCAACCTTAATAAAGACATCAAGCTCAGCGTTGGTCTCCTGGGTAAAGATTAGGTAGCAGCGCACTGTGTTGCTCCACAAGGCCTGGGGAACGTGAGGTGAGACCTGAAGCAGACTGGCCACTGCAGCATCCCAGTCATCTGACACAAAACACACATGAAAAGTTGCGATACAAACATTAGGAGATAAGTGAATGCATACTTCAAAAGCTATCCGTATGTAAACGTAACTATACACCCATTAAAAAGTTATAATAAGTAGGTAATGTATGTAGGGGTCAATTTCTCTAAAGGTAAAATTAGTTTTCCAGCCACTATGGCCATGGGGTAAAGATATTTGATTACCTCCGTGTTTCCTAAAACCCACGTCATAATGCCTCCCTTCTTTCTACAGACTTTTGAAGTTTACTTACCTCTGCTCACATTTGCAAAGGGTCCCTCCACATCTATCAAACTGTTGGCAAATTCCGGTCCTCGAAAGGTCTGTTGCAACTGCATCATGCTCCCCATGGAGGGCTCACTTCCCAGCACACCACCAGACCAGTACTCACACTGTGTCCCTACAGCTGAAGACATACAGTGAATACATAATACAAGGCTTTGGAAGATTTCATCATAAAAAAAACAAGACCTTAAATTACATACTGGAAGGATGGATCCATGAATAAAACATGGTGGATTTCTGGGTCTTACCAGTAACAGTGGTTTGGTTGTCATCTGAGTCAGAATCATTTGGGTCATAGACCTGGATGCCCTGAGCCTGCAACTGCTGCAGTTTGGCCTCCAAGTCCCTCTTGGCCCGCAGGAGATCCTGAATTTCCTTTTCTTTTGTCTCCCGGAAAATCTGGTGGTCATGTATTTAGCCAATTGGTTAGCGTTGCAATAACGATTACTGGAAAGAATGCTCTTCAGTAACACGTGGTTTGGTTTTACCTTGAACTGTCGTTTTACTTTGTCCCTGTCATGTTCAAAGGTGGCAGCTCTCTCCATAGCTTGATACTTTGCCTCAAGAGCACTCTCTTTTTCTCTGAGGATCTTCTGGTAGGTCTTCTGCAGAGCCTGAACATGAACATCATCATAAGAAATGTTAAAACTGTTAAATGTTGCCGCCTTTAAGCTTGTGCTTTGATAAACTAGTATCATCTGAATCTCAGTAGTCTCCTGTTAATTCATTTCACCTGTAGCTCAGCTCTCAGCCTCTTGTTCTCCTCATCCACCTTGGCCTCCTTCTTTTGCATGGACGAGATCTCGTTATTCTTGCTGACACGGAAGATTTCATACTCTTTACGGAGTCGTTCATACTCGGCAGCATACTCTAGATCCACAGAACCTGTGGATTTGAAACTAGCCCCAATCACCCGAGGTCCTCTGCGAAAGGAACTGCGCAGGAGTCGGGCTTTGGGCTTGACCTCCACTGGTATCTCACAGGCTTCCCCTCCTTCGCCCCCATATCCATCCTCAATTACCTCTCCTGGACTGACCAAAGAGGATGCGGTGCCCATGGTGGCAGCCTGTAAAGACAGTTGTACATAACTTTAGTTAGCTAACTATAGCTAACGAAACATCTGTCCAACGCGCTCGCCACGACATTAATTAGTTTAAAGACTAATAGAACAAGACAATCATTTATCTACGTATTTAGCTTCGACAGAATATAGACTAAAACACCAACTCTTGGTGAAAACATATGAAGCTACGTTAAACAAACAGAAGAATACACTCACGGTCCGCTCCCTTCACAGCTTCTTCCTGGCTGCCTTGGTAACAAGTCATAATACGGGTGCTCGCAGGAGTCAAACTGGGTAAAAATCAATCTTCTTAAATACTTGGAGTACTATAACTGTACAAAGCCCATCTCGCAGGTACTGTATTACGCCAAATATTATGTTATAGTAGTAATAGCAATAGTTATTGCAAATTGTAGTCATGTATTTTTTTAAGTCAAAATACACTTATTGCAGTAAAATGTGTTATGGGCAATGCATTGCCCTGCAGAACTATTTTGTAAGGGCGTGGGTCTGTACTAAGTAACTATATAGGCTTAGATGTAAGTTGTACTGCATAAAATATGTTATCTACTTAAAAATAAAGTGTGGTAACCTTGACTAAAAATATCTGACTAAATTTAACTTGTGCCACTATGTCTTGGACGAGTTGCTGACAAGATGAAGTAGTCGCTGATAATTTATTTAACTTCCTCAAAAAGTTATCGAACATTACAACGGAAATGTGTCATTGTAACACATATGTCTTTAATGTAACATCTCAACTACTGTAAAGTGGAAGTTTTGTATCATTAATATTTAGGTTACCATAAAAAATCAAGATAAATCTTACATTCAATTACACAAAAATGTTTTGCTGGTAAATGATCAAGTGTCCTACAGACCAACCAGAGGAGTATCTTTCACCTACTAAGGCTGTTCAAAGAGTCTATGTTTAGCACCAGTGACCATTCAACCAAGCTTGAATGCATTCGTGTCTGAACACCTCTCGAATGATACAAAAAGAGCACAGATTGTCTTAAAATATTTATTATCTACAAAATATTTGTTGCTTATTGATCATCTTCATCTTTTACAGAACAGCTGAAGCATTTTGTCCTTGTATGAACGGTTCAGGAAGAAATACATCACAGGATCCAGTACACCACTAACACAGGTCAGTGCAGATGTGATCCGATTGGCTATACCCAGTGACTCGTGCCTTGCTGCAGTCATATGATCGTGGCTTCCAATGTAGATTACCCTGTTCACATGGTAGGGCACAAATGCAAACAGGAAGTTCATCACAACGAGGATGATCATTCTTATAGCTTTGTCCTTCACTGGCCGTTGCTTGATTGCCCTTAGTTTCAGCAAAATCAGTATGTAGCAAACCACTATGGTGGTGAGGGGAATAATAAATGCCACAATAGTGGAAACTAAAGCCATGTGAGATGTCCTTTCTAGGTACAGTTTGTTGCAGATGCCAGTTGAGTTGTTGGTCACATTCTTTTTAGAGAAAAGTATAGGACTCATAGACACAATAACTGTCACCCAAAGTATGCCAACTGCAATCTTTGCATACATAGCCTTTCTCACTGTGTGGGATTTTATGGCTAAAACCACAGCCAGAAATCTGTCCAGGCTGATGAAACTCATTAAGTAAAGGCTGCAGTACATGTTAAGGTAAAAGAGGAAGCCTGCTAGTTGACAGAGGACATGTCCGAAAGGCCAGTAACCATTGGACAGGTGGTAAATTATACGCATGGGTAAAATGAGAACGTAAGAGGTGTCTGCTACAGACAGGTGCCTCAGGAAGACCTTAAATGGAGACGTGCTCTCTTGGCAAAAGAAGGTCCACAGCGCCAAGACATTCCCAGGCACAGCCATGATGAAAATCAGGATGTAAAATGTAGAAAATAGAATGTTCTCTTGGTGGGAGTCACTGCCATAGAAGCCCGGTATCTCGTCCTCTGAGATGTTCATTGTTGTTGTGGAGAGGATCAGCCTGTTGCAGCATAGACACAAATAACCTGTTATGATGATAGCGTTGTCAAGTGATTCACTAAATCACACATTGTGACATCATAACAAAACTAAGCATGCAAGATGCATGTGACAAAAAGATGATTTTCATGTGACAAAATATAAACCCACATCCAAAATCATATGTTAATGAGGCTTATTAGAAAGAGGAAATATCCTCGAAAGGCCAAAATGAAACCAGTTTTGCAGAACACACTAACTATTTTAATCAGCTAACTGCAGTTACAGATTAACAACTTTAAAGTGATGAGAAAAAAGTGTTTATCAGATAGTTTAAGATTTAAAAACATTTCCAGACTCACAAAATATAAAAATTAAATTATGAGAAACAACTTTAAAAGTCTTTATTTTCTTTTATGGCAAACAATATCTGGTCATGTATTTCCTCTTAACTTACCTTGATGTGATGAACTGCAATATACATGATCCAGTGCAAGAAGTATCACTAAGTATACCAATGTAAATTAACATATTGGCACCTTAGTTAATGGTTTCAAAATTAGATTTTAAAGAAGAATAAACTAAATTTGGTGCTCTGTGGCAAATAAAACAAATTAATGTTTCAGTAGTTTAAATACTAAAATTTACAAAAGGGTACACGCTTCAACATGATTAGTAGTTAATCACCACCTCTGTCCTTTACTAATTAATCATGTATTCAGAGCAAGATTGTATAAGTAAATGTAGGGCATCAAGCCCTCACATGTAGCACTATCAATAAGCATTAGTCAGAATCAGGATCAGTATTATTATTATCAGTATTATTGATATCATATTCTTACCTTTTAATTGTCGAGATACTTAATTCAGAAGAATGCAGAATTCCTATTGACTAGCAGTGGAAAAGCACTACTGTGAGAAGAGCCAGGTGAAGTGGAAGTGAGAACTAGAGTATGGCTCTGTTGTGTGTGTTTTTTTTTTTTATAACTATACACGCACACACTCACACGCACACACACTCGCGCAAACACGTGCAAACACACACACACACACACACACACACACACACACACACACACACACAAATTAGACTCAAGCTAAAAGAATTCAACAGGAAGCCAGAAACAAAACTCAAAAGCTCAATGCATTACAAGCATGCAAGTCTTTATTTTTGCTACTCCAACACAGTTTTTGTCTTTACCACATTGCTCCTTTATAGTATGATTTAAAGCTTTACAAAAATGAGAGAAAACCAGATATTTACAAAACCTATTTGTGCAAACATAATTCTTTTTTTTACATCACTCTCCTAAAGTATTTGAAAGGCATGCATACAAATAAACTTTGGTATGTTAACAAAACTACTTATTTTCTTAGTATAAGCATCTATGTACATGTGGTAGAACTGATTTACTTTGTTTTAGTACAGTTTACATTTAGACAACAATACATGTTAACTTAACAAACCAAGACCAACAGTACAAACACTGAGGTCAACACTTCAGCCATCACATCAAGAGAGTGCATGTAAATTCCCCTAAATCTTGTGACTGGGTTAGGCCTGAAGTGAGTCATTGTCCAACAACTTTGGCAAATAGGCACACTAAAATGAAAACTTGTATTACTTATGATACCAGTTTTACAAATCTGTAAAAGAAATTGGCAGTTCATATGGGTGAAAAATGTGAAAATATTCTTAGAAAACAGAAGTTAATAATGAGTTCAACTTTAACGTGTCTGTATACATTATGTATACACTCATAAAAGGCATTTACAAGGGCTGTGTTGAATGTCTGACAACTTAAGAAATATACTATGGTTATTCAATCTCTGGTTTGAAAAATAAAACACATTTTTTACATGGTACTTCGTGATTGTACATCAACTCTATATTCCCTATTCATAGCTACAGCAAGAAAAATAGATTTCCAACACCACGAGAGCCTTCCACTTTCATCTACAAAGTGGTAAAACTAAACATTTTTTTAGTTCCATTACAAAATATTCTTGACAGAACATGTGGTACACCTCCAAGAAAGAATCAGAATCCAAGTAAATATTTTTTCAAAAATGGAAATTGCAATTCAAAAGAGATAGAAGCATTGGTGTGAGAATGCCAGTGTCAAATAAAACATGAAGTGCATCACTTAATACTTTTACAGGAACTGAAAAAAAAACAACAAACCAAAACAATACAAAATGAAACATGACCAGCTCTACCTGCTATGCGGTAAAGCCAGAGGGGCCATAATGGGGCTAAGTGGTGTCCTTTGCTGCTGTGGCTGTTGGGATGCAGGATTTGCCGCTGCTGCCGTTGTGGGACCTGTAGCTGGTGAAGCTGGGCGTGTGTATGGTGCGGATGCTCTTTCCACCTGGGCCCAAAGGAGTGGGCGACAGAGGGGAGGGGGAGGAGGAGGAGGAGGATGAGGAAGAGGAGGAGAATGAAGAGGAGGAGGAGGAGTGCACTCGACCATTCTGAGTCTGCGAGGAGAACGAGAGAGCTTTACCTGTGTGCTGTGGGGGTGTGGGGAGTTTAAGGGATCCGTTAGACAGGGAGGGGATGTGGGAGGAGGGTTGGGAACCGGAACGAGGAGCGTGAGAGGACAGGATGTTGGATTTTATTACAGAGGAGGAGGAGGAGGAAGAGGAAGGGTTAATGGGATTAGTTGCATCTGAGTTTTGCACAGACTGGGAGCTGCCTTTAGTAGAGCTAGGATAAAAAGCAGGGATTTTAGAGGTGGGTATAGTAGGGGAAGTAGTTTTATGATCCCCTCCCACTCTTTTAGCACTTCCGTTAGCCTGCAAACAGAGATGCCAAAACAGATACTGGTTGTCAAAAAAGAAATCTGGTCAAATAATACATATAAAAGGCAAGACGATGTTAAAAAAAACTACAAGTTATACACATAGAAACGCACTAAGACTACACAAACATTGATATCACTGAGACACAACTATGAATACCAAAACATAAACAGGTCTGTTTTTACTAGGTTAAATGAAGAGTGAGACACATTGGACTGAGAGACATGTTACCAAGAAACAGAACACTGCAAAGGTTAGACCGTGCGATGGCGGACAGGAGGGACATCTCCACAGACTGCTCGTGTTAGAGTTAGGCCTCGTAAAGGGGCTGTGGGGGGAGATTCACAAGGTAAAGATGCATAGGAAGGCCGGAGAGAAATTGATAACAGGCTTAGGAGTTTGAAGAGTGGGAGCAGACAGGGGAGATGTGGGCTGGTATTCCACTGAAACTGACGGTGCAAGATGGTGAGTTGTGGCTTGGTCTTGAGGGTAAGGAAATATATCACGTGAGGTTAATTAAGAAGCTGTGCAGTAATGTTGGGTTGAGCAGAGGTGCATTGTGAGAAGGGAGGAGCATAGCCGAAAAGTCAGTTAGGTTTGTATTTTAACATTTAGCCACAAGCATCCTGGGATTTGGCAACACTGTTTAGGAACTCAGCTGTGATGGGAACGGGAGATGTGATGACAACTCAGATGATGACAGGGTAGGATTCCGCTTTTCTTTGCCATTTTTCCTTTTTTTTTTTTTGTTTTTTTGTTTAGTCACCAACACAGTGAAAACCATGAGCAGTGTGGACATGCAAAAGCATACAGTACAGTGATGTTATGGGGTAACAGTCAAAAGTCAAACATGCCTTCTTGTCAGAGCAGACTCGAGAGAAACATTAACAAATCCACAGTTGTCACCACGGTGACTTTATTTCTTTTTTTAAAACACTTGAAATCTCACAGCATTGAGAGTCTTTTTTCCCCTCTAATAACACATGCCTCATGTTTTTGATCCCTATACGTTTGATTCCTCTAGTCTCTGGTAAGGCCCTACAGTAAAACTACCTGTCGGAACTGCCTCTGAGCGTCCTGCAGTTTTTGCTGTTTTCCTGCTTTGTCAGTAGTACCCGGCGACTGCCTGGACTTCGCAGACAAAGGGACGGGCATCCGACTAGTAGGGGAAGCGACACTGGTGTTCTGCAAGGGGATCCAAACGAAAAACAAAACAAGAAAATAAACAAAAGAAAGAAAAAAACACACACCACAGAGGAAGTATGAAAAATCAAGGCACCGACAGGTAACACCTTAACGATTAACACCAGTGAGAGATCATGCACCCAGTGGGACCATACACCTTAAAGTCAATACACAGTAGTACATGCAGTCAAGAATAAGGAAGATGTCAGAGCTCAATCATCATGAGAGTGTTTTTGATGATGAATTGCCACTTGCTGAAAACCTCAGAGGTTTAGCAATGAACTGAAGGAGAAACACGGTAGCCAGGAACCCAACAAAATGCCACCCCCAATCATGTCACCATGATTTCACAGAGAGAGAGAAAGCCACGGGGGGCATTTCCAACGTTTCGAAGCACCTGTGGAGTGGATTAATGATTTTGTAATTTCAGTGGTTAGGGTTGGAGTGAAGGTAGGTTGTAAACTGAAAAAGTAGGACCCAAAGCCTCCCGGAGCAACAAGAGCTAGAGAGAAACCTGTCGTACGGTGGTGGGCGCACTGGGGACAGTGGTGGTGGTTGTGGTAGTAGGGATGACTACAGGGCGAGGAAGCAGTTGAGGTTTAGTCTTCTTCAGCAATGGATTTTTGCTGGGTATCTTAGGACCTGGCCCTCTGGAGGTAGGGAGAGAGGAAGACCTCTTCAGCCCCACTCCTTCTGAGCTTGTCCCATACTCTGCTTTAGCTTCCTCTGTGCAGACTGGCTCCCCAGGGCAGTGTGGTCCCATCTCACTGATGGTGGTCTCCAGCTGCTTGATGGTCTGCTCCAGGCTGTCCAGTGTCTTGTAGGTGTTCTTCCGGATCTCGTCCGTCCTGTAGAGGGAGTCGGAGTTCTGCCTCTTCAGCGCGGCTGAGCCTGTTGCCTTGGGAGCGTCTGCAAAGGATTTTGAGCGTGTAACCTCAAATCTCTTAGCTTCTTTGTGCTGCTTGATAGTACCGTCGGTTTCCTCCTCATCTTCATAGACAACCACCTGTATAGTCTTCTTCCCTGACTTGGTGCCAGTGCGAATCGCCTGGGTCAGCGCTGCCAGCTGTTTCGTAGGGAACCTAAATTTGAACTTCTTCTTAACATCCTGCTTAGCACTATTTGACTCTAAGTTCCCTCCACTGTCCGTGAGCTCAGATATTGATGATGAAGATGAGGATGATAATATGTGGTCTGCAGTGACCGTTGAAGTGCTGACGTTCTTGCCATCAACCACCTCGGTCCCTCCCGCTTTAACCTGCAGCCCACCGCTCCTCTCGGTGTCCGACTCCTCGCTCTCCTCCTCGATGCACTCTGCTGCAAGCATCCTGTCCAGGTCGTCCTCAGATTCAAAGATGGTGGACAGGCGCTTGTACGCTGAACGGATGTCCATAGGCTCGTCAAAAATGATGATGACAGGCTTGTTGTTGAAGCCATTATCCTGTTGCGCATTGGGTCCTGCTGTGGTGCTCCCTCGGTAAGTTGCATTACCTACAGTAACAGTCTGGACACCTTTCTTGGCATTGACCAGTTCCTGGTACTCGCCGCAGGAAAGGGCCTGAACTTTGGTGTTAGTGATCATAAATGCTATGTTGTCAGGGGGTGGAGGTGCCTCTTCTCCAGGCAAGTCTTGACTAAGACTAGCCTCCTCATTACACTCCTCACGATTATATTTAGATTCTGGTGGATCACTGTCCTCACTTGGAGCCTTTTTTGGTGGAGCAACAGAACTTTTAGGCACCACTCTTATGGTACTGGTTGCTGTGGTAGCCGCAGGCTCGGGTATTATATTTTTATTAGAAGAAACACGTTGCTGGATGACTTTACTTTTCTTTTCAGTGTTAATTTTGTTGAGGATTTTTCCCTTCTCCATTTCTGCACTGGTCTTCAAGGATTCGGAGCGTTTAACTTGCATCCTTGGAAGTTTGAATCCTTTCAGTCCCACAGGCTTAGGTGATATAGGTGGAGGTGTTACAGGCGGGGGTGATTTGGGTGGTGGAGACAGTGGCTGCTGCTGCTGCTGGCTTGGAGAATTGTCGTTAACATTGACATTTGACACCTGTGATGGAGGCTGTGTGGGCTCTCGGTGTTCGGGGGTTTCCTCTGTTCCTGAAGGGGCTGGATGCTCTTTGGGAATCTGACCAGTCACATAGTATATGACCTGAGAAATGAAGAAGTAGCTGTTTAAAATCTCTCAAATCTAGAACATACATTAACTATACTTTGATATAATGTGAATATATAAATATAAAGTCATACACACCCCTTGGCTCTGTCGGAGAGTAGTATTCCCATTTTCATCTGTGTCTGGATCTTTATCATCTCCAGTGGGCTCAGAGCTCTGCTAGGACAGTTTGTGAGGGAATAATATTACTGTGCAACTGGTGTGTCTGGTTGCTGTTGGATTAGTGTGAATTCACATACGTTACTGCAGTAGTATCCACAGTGTCAACACTGCATTGGACAGTTACCTTCTACAAGGCAACAGCAAAATATATACAGCATGTAAACTGATACTCATACTGTAAGACATGCTGTTCTGATGCTAAATGCCATATATCAAAATGCATGCAGGGAAAATGAATCAATATTATAGTTTAAAAAGCCAATACTACAAGCCAATACTAACAGCCAAATCAGCTTCTTTTGATGGCTAAACACTGTCTTCTGTATTTGCCCTTCTACTGTATATAATATATAAATTAAGTTTTCTTTTTTTATACATTTCCTACTAACCTGTATACATCCTGTTCCCTGTCTTGTTCATACAGTATACTGTTGATACTATGCAAAGCGCCTCTCACACTACTTTCACTTCAGTGAAATCATTTGGGCCACAATCTTTGCAACATTACCTAACGTTTTACGTTTTATTATGTACAGTAACTAGTAGCTTGCCATATACTTCTAAACTGATACTTTTATTTGATCAAATGTTTTAACTTGGCTGTGAACTAGTCCAATTTGTTGCGCTTGGACATATTCGTCCTCTTTGCCACATCAATTGACAAAAGCTTATCAAATGTGCATATTGTTTAATCTGGTGTGAAAAATGATAGGGCTGTGCTGGTTATATAGGTGTAAAGCTGGGAAAGCAAACTGAAGTCAAGTTGTGCAAAGACAAAGAGAAACAGAAAAGTAATCCCTCAGAAAAGTACAAGTGGTGGAGAGTAGCATGCATAGTGGCCAGACTGACCTTGAGTGAACCAAGTCTGCAAAAACAGGTTGTGTCCGCAAAGGGAGTTTTAACTACTTTGTTCTCTCAATTGTCAATCATTTAAGAAACATTTGTTCCGTTGATTTTGGATGAAAAAATAAAGACACAAGACGATTTAATTGCCTGTAGAATACAGTGCCGAGGTCTTTTTATTGACAAGAGATAATTAAATCAGTGGCAAAACACATCATTGTCTGGTCCAGGCGCACAAAAGACACAGCATCTTTTCAGAGGCTTCATTTTATGCAGACTTAATCCTGAAGTATATTTAAGCTGAGATATCCAGCTGAATGAAAAGAGGGAAGGAAACTGAGGCGAAAAGGAAAAAGGAGCTTTTTGGAGGCAGTTGTTACAGGTTTCTCTTGAGCCAAAGCAAGTGTGCAGAAGTCGTAGAAGGGTTAAGACACGGCCATCGATTGTATCAGACAGTGGCCAGAGGCAGAGGCAGAGGCAGGCAGTTAGGTGGGTAGCTGCGCGGCGATGTATAATTTACCTTTTTCTCTTTGAGGGGCAATAAGGGCCCCGGTCTTAGTTCTCTGATTTGAGGTTCAATTCGAGAAGTTGGTTCTACCAAATTTTTCACCCCTACATCCTTAACCGTGCACTTCTGGAAAACCTGAAGAGTGGAGAAAGGTGAAGGGGAAATGGGAACAAGGATTTTGAGGAGGGAGGAAGTTTGAGTATCTTCGCCTTTGTCACAGCTGTAGAACCCGACACGTGACAAAGTTAGATTCAGAATCAAGGAGTTAACTCTTTTGGCAGCTGTGAGTACTCATCCTTTGCCACCAAAACAGCCACCATGGGAAGAAATGATAGACCCACTACCGCAGTGCAGAAATGAACCAAATCCAGAGGCCTTTACACCTATTGGATTGTTTTGTTCACGTTTGAGGGATTGTGTAGGTGTGTGAGTGTACATGTGCATCTAACCTGGAGCTCTGCCATGATTTTGTCCCCTTCATCCTCCTCTTCTCTGGTAACAGGAGGAGTGACGGGGGGAGGGGTGGCGGGCTTCGGCTTGGTCTCTGGTGGAACCTTGTTTGGCTTTGGTAGTGGACTGGGCGGTGGAGTGTCCTCTTCACCCTCCTGTAAGGAAATGATTTAGTCATTACTTGTCTAACCAGCCAGGCTAGTTTCCCCAATTCCTCCAGTCATCATGCTAAGCTAAGCTAATCACCTCTTGACTCTTGCTCCATACTTAGTGGTAACGTGGTATCAATCTACTCATCTTACTTAACTCTCAGCAAGTAAACTAAACAACCACACTTCCCAAACTGTTCGACTGTAATAATTAATAATTAAATGCATTGTATTTTTCACGAAAAAAAAATACAATGCATTCGTCATTAAGTATGTACAAATGCTAAACACTGTTACACACACACTGGAGTTTAAAGGTGCAAGATCGGGAGCATTCCGATTGCCTCTAAATGGCTCGGCTCATGGGTAACGGTGCTAAGAGCACTAACAGTGAAAAAAACAAAGAGTGAAAAAAACCAACAGACAACCACCTATCAGACTGACCTGAGCCGAGACGGACTCTTTCCTGCTGGTGTAGACCACTTCACCGGAGCGTGTGGTAGTCATGCCTGAGCTCGAGCTGGAGAAAGTCTTCCTTGGAGGAGGTGGTGGTGGAGACTTGCTTGACTTTTCAGACCCCTGCTTAGTAAAGCTGTCAGTGGAGACTGGCTTGGTGGCAGTCTTGGAGGGTCTCTCCGGTGCAGGTTTGGCTGGTTTCTCCATCACAGGCTTTGGGAGTTTCTCAGGCCCCTTCTTGCCTGGTTTATCAGAGTGAGGCTCAGACTGGGGCTCTTCGGTCATACAAAATAACAGAGACAAAATTCTATAAGGGGACATACAGTACTTAAAATGTGTTCATACGTATGTCAATAAAAGGTAAAATGTGTGGAATCCATGTTAGTGTCTTAAAGTTGTTAGATTTGCACCTGTCGGTGACTCCACAGCATTGTGGATGTCTGCTTGTTCTGCAGTGGCATCAGGGGTCAGTGCTGGGTTCTCTTCCACCTCTAGACTGGGAATGCCCTTCATCATGTTGGCCTGGGCTTCCTGGAGGATCTTGTCGAACTCTATTCCATCATAGTGACCCATGTTCTGCCTCCTCTCTTCCCACTCCTTTTCTGCTGCCTGCAAGGGGAAAATTGGCAAAGAGGGGGAGAGAGTTCCTCAAAAGTTCTCTGAATCTGAGGAAGGAAATTATTCATTACAGGTGCTTTAAAAGCCAAATTAATGTCAATCACAGTAATTGAGTTGACATTTACAGGATGCTCATGAGAGGAAAGAAAAATTACCAGCTTTACAATGTGGGATACAAATAAATCCAAATGACAATTATAAGGTGACTAAATCTACCTTTATGGAGAAAGCTCTGTTTTTGCTCTTGTCCTGACTGCTCTGGAGCTCCTCTAAGACAATACTCTGGGGGGCAGTGCCGTTTCCATTATTCACTGGGTTCCCTTGTGTCTTCTTATGATGGGCAGGACTTGGTGGATCGGAGGCTGCCCCCTTGGGAGAGTCCCGGCCTTGACTCTTGCCCGGGGTGGGACTGGGGATCTGTGAGGGGCTGGGGGTGAGCGGTGGACTGGGCTGAGCTGTCAAGGCTGCAGACTGCTGGGACTGCTGTATGTGGACCGGGGAGCTCTGGACATGATGGATGACCACCGGAGAGGAAGGCATCACCTCTGATTTGATGGTGGAGCTCTGGGGTTCCAGCGGGGCTGATGTGGAGCCAGGCTGGACTGATGGTGCGGGAGCTTCTGCCGCTGCTGAAGAGCTGTTGTCCACTGGGACATTAGCAGAGGGATCAGGTCCTTTCTGAGGGCCCTCAGTAGCACATCTGCACAGAGGAGGGAAACAGTATACGATATAAACACTGGGTTACTCACTTATATATGATATTAATATTTTTCAAAACAATACATAACATTGATAGAAATCCATTTGCAACCAAAATTAATATGTACAGTCTTTTTTTTTCACATCCAGACTGAAAACACATTAAACCCTATAATAAAGTTGACAAAATGTTTTGATTAATTCTGACATGACACCACCAAAAGCTATACTGCAATGTGGTGGCTGGCCAACATGGTTTGGCGACTGTTTTTGGGTAAATGACAAGCGATTCGTGGAGGGAGACTGAGAGAAAAGTTGAGAGTGAACCCGGTATCTGTGACATATTAAAATGGAAATGAGGCGCTGTCGTCCCCGCCACAGTAATTCACTTATCGGTTCAGTGAAGGCGATGGAAGTGTATCAAGTTGGACGCCACACTCCACTGTCTACACCGAATGACCTCTTTGATGGGATGAAGGCGTAATCAAATAGTACAATCTCGCACATCATAGAAACCTGTGAGAAGCTCTGCAGAGTGCTTTTTGTTTTTATCTTCCCTCTCTCTCTCTCTCTGCCCTCATACTCCAGCACTCACTTTTTTTCTTCACCTACCTTCTCAGACTGCTGAGTGTGTCAGTCAGGCTCTTGACCCTTTTCAGCATGCTGTCCAGTTTATGAGGCTCCTCCTTCAAAAACTTGACTGCTTCCACTTCCACCCTGAGCACAGACCGCATTCTTGTTTGTAGGGATGGGAACTCTCCTGAGGAAACACACCGAGAAACATCGTTACCAATTGTGATTTTACATTTGAGCAGTAGTAGTTATTCAATCATATTGCCCAGCACTATTGGCTTGTATTCTATATTTATTTATATGTCAGGCCAGATTGCTATGCACAACATTGTACCTACTAGTGAGAATACTATTTGTTGTCTTACCTTTGAGCCCTGCCAGAGATTCTCCCAGCTTTCTCAGAGTCACTGCTCCCTCCTCCACGTCCTTCAGAGTCACTACTCTCTGTGTCGCTGCCGAGTCTTTCTGCAGGGAGCCTACATACTGCTCCAGCTCACTGCAGAGAGGAAAGAAAATGCACATACAAACAATTGTAGTTTATTTGTTTTCCTACAACAATTTTTCAGTAAATAGTGTATGAATCTTTTAAGCATGCAGCATGTTCAACAGAAGAAATGAAAAATTAATGGAAACTCTTGATTAAATGTTTTTATGTAAATATGTAAATCCACTTCAGGGACTCTTTGTTTCTGTTATACTGATATCTATCTACATTTTGATTAAGAGTAATACTTTTCACACTGTTTTATGTATTCTTTTCTAACACCAGGGGGCAGGACACAATCATTTATCTTGAGGATAACTACAGCGACACTGATTGGACAAAGGTGAGAGCTGACTTTGGGACATGATCCATAAAAAAAATAAGAAACTAGAACATATGCAAAATATGTACAAGAATTAACACTGACAATAATAATTTCCACTAAGCACTTCATTTTCCTGTCTCCATTAGATCGCTTGGATTGGATGTCATCCCACAACCACAAAAGTTTACACACTGAATGAGGGCTTATTTGCATAGGAGCACTTCCTCACATAGAAACCACAGTATGCTGCTTCCCAACAAACCCAGTGCTTGAGAAAAAAAGGGCTACTCTGCAGGGAAATGTGCTGAAAGATAACATTGTGTGCAGTGTTGGATTGCATGAGAGGGACTAAAATGGTGTTTCATTGTGGCCCGGTACCCCTGAGAAACCCTCTTTTGTATAACTTCCCTAAAGGGGGTGGGAAAGGTAATAAGGAGACAGTGTGTTAAATGCCCTGCTATGCCGAGGCCTGCTGGTAATAGGAATGATGATGGGAAATACCAGCCTAGGACAAAATAAATCAGATTTTACCTTTTTATCGAGCCTCCCACAGACAAAAACAGTTACAGTACGTCTCCAACATTTCTGTGTGTCAGAGTGTAGGAGGCAGCCTTTAAAGATCCTTGAGATATGAAGTACTAAAGACAGCCATTGCTCAAAAAAATGTTCCTTTCATATGCTGTAAATTAACACTATAACTGAAACTGTGAGTAAGGGATCCAAACATGTGACCTAATCCACTACTTAGGTCATGATAGATTTAGTTCTCCTCTTGAGAGGGCAGTGGTTTTCACACCACATTCTCTAACTGGTCTTAAGGCCAAGCAACCCTAATTACCAAACCTTATTTAAAGAGCCAGCAGCTGTGTTTTGCTGACTCACGACTGGCTGAATACCAAGGGTAACAGAGAGCTTCTTCTACTGACTTCCGCCTGTTCTCAAGTCTCCATGAGCTGCTACCATTGTATTTACTGGAGCATGTGTTCACTACTGTCTAGCAAGACAACACTGTTTGACCTTGCCTGTAAACATCCAAATAAAAAAGATTCAATTACTGCTCCCTGGTGGCAAGATAAAGCAAGTGAATCAAAACAAGAGCAGGGTAGTTCCTCCACAGTTGGGTCCATTGTTCTAGCCTGCTGTCTCTTGAGAGTCAGGCTTGCCTGTATAAACCTGTGAGCTGTAATTTCAAGGGCGTTGGCTTGTCAAAGACTTTAGCAGTGAATAGCACAGGTAAGCTGATAAAAAATGAAGCCTTTCGGGGATTTCCTATAAATGAAAACACCTTGACTGGAGTCGCATGGGTGTGTACTAAATCACCTCTAATATGTACAACAATAAACATTCAGTAGTGAATGCAAACAACCATATCTGTCCATATTAGACTATATAAAGCACAGCACCTGTTATGGAAGTGAATCAGGGAATTTTGAGCAGCCTTACCCGAGTTGTGTGAGGACACGCTCCTCCAGACCCAAGTACTTGTGCCTGTCCTCTTCTACCAAAGCTCTCTGTCTCTGCACAGGGTCCTCCAGGCCTCGCATGGCCTCTGCAAGTTTAACACTGATTTCCTGCTCTGCCCGCTTCAGCTGGACTCGTAATGCCTCTTGGTTCTGGACCTGAGGGGATGCACACAGTGGGAATGAGATATGAGAGAACCTGAACTGGCAGACCAACATACAAAGCCGTAGTGGATACTAACACACTCGAAATTAATTAAAAAGGGGTCTCACCTGCTGCTGTCTCATCTGATGGAGTTGGATCCTGAGGTCAGAAACATTCTTTCTGAACTGCAGGAGGTTGACTTTCAGAGGAACTGGACCCTTGTCTAATGGAGCCGCGCTGCTCTTGGGAGCCAAGACTGGGGAACCACCTGTGGAGGGGGGGGGGGGGGGGGGGAGGACAAGTTAAAGCTTGTTACTTGAGAAACAAAAATCTAAATAATACAGTAGAAATGACTAGAACTATTAAACAGGCCCATTAAAGTATAATTGTAGTTCTTCCATTAACTCATACTTTCTGACTTCACTCAACAAATGATTGGTTAGATTGGACAAACACATTTTCCCTGGCAGCACACTGGTCTGACCAGTAATGATTGCCCGACTGTCTGTGGCTGTCTTTTACCCTGCACAATAAGCAAACATATACCGGCACTCAAATTGGGGCTGCACCTCTGAAATGTCGGTCAGCTGATTTCGACATTTCAGTCACCGCTAGAGGTGGAGAAGAGGTTGAAACCATGGAAACTAAGGGATGCAATGTTTGTGGTTTGGGTGAGCGTCCCTAAATGGCCAACAACAATAATAATTGAACTTTTTTTTATTATTTTGGTCGCACATCTAAAAACAAAGGGTGTCTTTTGAGGCAGAACTAAGTCAATTTAATATCAGTTAATCAATAGATCTAATACATGTTTCCTCGGAGTGGGTTGAATTGATGGCTTGAACATTTAAGGCTGGTTTAAATTTCATTTTTCAATGCTGAGAGCACCACAAATTAAATCACATTTACCTCCATTTTATTGGCTTTGAGGCTGAAATCTCCATCAGTAATATCTCAAAGCGTGGGCAAATAAAACCGAAACTATGTGCTTGGCAAGGTAACAGTTAGGGTAAATGATAAAACATTTGTTTTTGAATTTGCAAGAGCCAATCCTTTCACATCAGAAACATGAGGTCCATTAAAGTAAGTAGTGCACCTACCTGTGAGTTACACAACAGGTCAGGCAATGTTCAGAGTGCACTCTAAGCTCCCTTGACGCTGAAACTCACCCAGTAAAAAAACCTTTGTCTTCTTAATCCCAAAACTCTATTCACAACATATCTCTCACATACTGTCCCACAGCTGCCTAGACCTGAAGTACAGGTTACAATGTATACTGCTGGTGGTGTTTTGGGCCTTGGGGACACAATGTCCATCAAAAGAAGTTCAGGCTGTGTTGTGACAACGCAGAAGCATTTGAGCAATGGCAAAAAAACTGCCACTGGATTCTCATGTTTGATGTAGAGGGAGTCTGGCGGGATCAAAGCCCACACAGTAACTTTTCTGATGCTTTGGAGAATCGCTCAAGCACAACATGACAAGTAAATCTCTCCGAAAGCTACGTATGAAAGGTGTCACGAGACATGAGTTTAGCTCTCAAGACCGAGATCAAACCGAGATCTGGCCACAGACCATTACAGAGCCGAGACTGAATCGCTGAATCATCTTGGCAGGCTTGAGAAGTAATAGCGTCTTGTTTTAAGTAATGCTTTGAGGAGCTTGTGTTAGCTCTGCTGGCTCTCGTCTCTTATCTCCTATTAAAGTGGATGTACCGTGCGGAGTAAAGGACTGTAAGGAAATACGAACCGATGACAAGCAAAGACGCCCGACTTTGTTTTCCCTCCCTCCAGCACTGCTCATTGCAGACTGTTGACTGGCACTGATGTGTGGGCTTGTCTGCACAAGACATTACGGTACTAAATCTCTTTAGAGTAAAAGAAACTAATGAAACAGAAAAGAATTACAATGATACTAACCTGAGCTATGTGCACTGTGGGCTGGAGATGATGTCTTCGGTGGTATCTCACTACAGGCAGAGAAAAGAATCATAAGAGTAGGATTTTGGTTGCGAAAAAAAAAAACAGTATTTGGGGAACTTTAGATTTATAGGTTTGTATTAGTAAGAACAAACACAATACAACAAAGTATGATGGGGAAAGACAAACCAGAGAGGTTCAAATGATGTTAATGATGTTAACAAGCTTCATCAGAGTTCAACATAGCATAAAAACAATAAAATCCACAGCAGTCACAGACCTTTTAGACTAACTGACAAGCAAACATTAACACAAGGAGAAGATTGAAATGCAAAGAGTTGAAATGCAGCCAGATAAACCTTAGTGGCCATTTATCTAGAGAGCAAATGACTTCAATGTCAGATTCACAGTCAAACCTATTTTCCTCTTCACCAGATGCCATTTAGCTATTTAGAGTGTTTGATATGGCCTTTATAGAGAGGACACTTTATCTTTCCCGCTCTGGCTGGATAGGCAGGCTTTTCATTTGAAACTCCATTTCCCCTGATGCCTCACTATACTGTGATTGCTTACCTTAGTAGCTCCTTGGTGCCACTAGTGTTTGGCTCCTTTAAAAGTGCATGCTGAACAAGACCAGTCAAGCTGGCAATCTGTTGCTCCATAGCCTTCATTCGCACTCTGCAGAAACATCAGAAAATTCTACTTTCAACACTGAGGCCTACTGGATATTACAGCTGCCACTAGAGCACATATTAGCTCAGAATGAAAACGGGAGGGCTGTAACAGGACAAGCAATTGTTTTTAATTTCCTGACCATGATTCTTTTTGTTATTGATTTGGAATTATGTCCTGAGTAAATACTGACTCTGGTCTAATACATAGTTTCTGAATAACAACAGTGCAACACCACTTGAGTCAGTATTTTCACAAAAAGAAAAAGCGTGGGTCCAACTAGAATAAGCAGTATGGATGACTCAAGACAAGAAAAGAACCCTGAAGTTCAGACCGAGGATATTCAAGTAATATTGTTTTTTAAAACAAACAATAGTGCGTCAACCAAGTGGTGGCCGCTCAGAAGAGAATGAAAGGACCATTCGAAAATCACACTCATAAGAAAGCCAAACACCAGAGGGGTGAATAAGGGATCTTTCACTCAGGTTGCTTGGTAAACCAAGAGGTTGGAAAAGAGAATAACTTTTGTTTTCTGATGTCATGATTTATCTTGAGGAAGGATATGGGGCTAGGTGAGGGCACACAGGAGACCGGGTGGCTTTAGCTGTGCTGTAGACAATAGACAGACACGAGGACTATGTGAACACAGCAATGCCTAACCTCAGCGTCATAGAGTATATTTCACATGAATAAATTCTATGACAGCTATCGAGCCCTTAGAGTCTGGACTATGTTTATTTTGAAAGTTAAGTACCATACTTTCCCATTCAAATTCCAACACTCGTTTCCCTGTTTCCCAGGGCATTTCTAATGGGGGGTTTGGACTGCCCAGGTGGTCCAGTCTGATCTGTTTGAATGATTGGGCCATTTTAAATACTTATTCAACCTGGTCAATGTTTTTGTTGGTTTTCCTAGGTACGCACATTGTCTCTGTAACCTCCCCTTTAGTGAAACCACGTTTGCCTGGCAAAGTGGCTTAGCATCCCCTTTTTCAATGTTTATGTGCTCACAGTCAGAGTGGATAAACCTAATCCAGGTACCAAAATGTCTGCTGGATTATCCAGACTGAATAGACTCTGCAGAGGGTTTGTTGTTAGAACAATAGTCACAGAGTAAGAGAAAAATATACAGTGGATTAGTGGAGTCTCCAGATACTACACTGTTTCAATGGTGGTAGCTACACACTCTTTTAATAATCAACACCATCAGCTCCAAAGTTTGAATAGAGTCTGTGAAAACACTAGTCAGATAAGCAAAACTGGTTATATACACAAACCAAGTGCAGAATCATGTGCATTAGTCTGATGTTCTTAATGTGCAGCTCATGACGCTGAAGACAGTGACAAGGTGGGTTATGTTATATATCTTGCCTGCAGTCATGGATGATGGAACAGTAGGAGCAAGGGATTGAAAATCAGCAGCTCATGGTTAGGGTGAAACTGGGATGCAGAGTTAGTCCATGCTCCCATGCAATGTCTTAATCCTAATTTTAACAATGCCACCAGCCCACTGTATGTAATGCCTGATCCCCTGGTGCTTACCGTGTTTGATGCTCACTAGCAACTGCGATGGGGCCCTGGAGGTGACCCTGGAGGTCTGGAACTACAGGTGATCCCATGTTGTTTCGGGGCTTGGTCCCTGCCACTTCCTCCTTCCTGAATGACTGGCGCACAGGTGAGCTTCTCTCCATGGAAACACCGTGAGGTGGCCCGCCATGTGGAGGCCCGCCATGTGGAGGCCCGCCATGTGGAGGCCCGCCATGAGGAGGCCCGCCATGAGGAGGCCCGCCATGGATGTCAATCATCCGTACCTCAGCCATCCGGTGAGGGGATGGGGGAGGAGTCTTGGAGCCCAAAGTAGGCAGCTGGCTGTTTCTGGACTTCTGCCTGTACAGTGAGGGGTGATCCATAGTGTCTGTGGGGCTGGGGCTGTAAGAGCTTGTGGAGCGAATGGAGGCACGGTGAAATCCCCCCATGCCATGATCTGGACAATCCAGCCCAGGGTGTGGTCCATGGGCAGCAGCCATGCTCATTCTTCCATCTTGGAGCAAGTATGGGTCTGCATACAACCCCTCATTTCCCCTAGATAGACTGTGGCTTTTGCCACCCCTGTCCTCATCTGGCTTGACATCCCGTCTCTCCAGGATGGCACTGGGACAGGGTGAGATGGAGCGGGCCGGAGGGTTGGCATTAGACAGTCGGTCCCTTGGGATAGTGGCGTTGCCAGGTATAGAGCCCTGCCGTGGGCCAAATGGGATTCTGGAGGGGGATGGGGGCATGGAGTGAGGAGTTGGGGAAAGTGCTCCCTGCATGGGGTGGTGTGATGGGGGACCCATGGGGGGCTGTCTCAGAGGGTGCGGGCCATCACGAACAGCATGCATCATTTCACTGTTCATCTGAGAAAGTACAAAAGCATATAAATATCTTCTTAAATACCAGCAAGCATATAAACTGGGTATCACTTCAAATAATGCATAATAATCCCTCAATTTCAGGATTGGTCAATAAACCAGACTGCATAGTTCTGCCCCCTTGAGAGCTTCCGCTACTGTTTATTTTATATGTATCCTGTATTTCTGGACTGAAGTGCCCTTGAAACAAAAACATCCATCCAACTCAGTTTACACTTTTGCTTTTCAAAGAAAATAGACCGTCAGCAATTTTTCTAGAAACAGAAAATAGTAACTTGCAAGACTACTATCCCCAGGTACACAGTACAGCATTTCATTGAAAGTCCTGGATAAAAAGTTTTTAAATGAAGTGATTTACTTTTTTCTTTCACCAAATCTGTGATTGCTCTCTTGGAGATAGGACTGGGGCTTTCTTTTGCATGTGCACCTCCAGGGCTAGAAGGCAGTTGGTTAATTTTCAACAAGATCTGTCTAGTTTAGTCTATTTAAACAGTCAGCTAATCTGGGCCGCTGATATTTTGCCAGACCACCCATAAATGACCCTTGAAGGCTGATGTGTAATAAACCTAACCTCGTGTAACTAGAGTGGCTTTCCGGGTTAAAGGATATATATGAGCGCTCAGGTTGTAGGTGATAAAACTACAAAAAAAGGGTGAAAGTCTTACAGGTGGCCACAGCGGCCGTGGTTCCATAAAAAGTTAGATTGTCTTGCAGTTACCAATATATCACAGGCATAGACTAGTTTGAGTTAAAACTTGTGAATTCATGAAGGAAACAATGGAAATGATACGGTAGCTGCTTGTGGTGTCCTGTGGTGTCAGGTATATCGTAGCAATGCTGTCACTCGTCACTCGTGAGTGACGGTGCTTGGTCGTGAGTCACCACCAATGAGACTGGCTGAGGGATGAAAGATCTGGATGGTTTCCTTCTAATAGTCTAACCTGCAATAGTTCTCTTCCATAGATTTGCATTGAATTGATTCTCAAAAATCAATTCAAAGAAATGCGCCCCTTATCAGTTCAACACGTAACGCGTCTTTTAGTTCCCAACTACAGGATGATTCCTTATTTTACGGGATGGTTGGCGACCCTAGTTATCGTACACTTTAGAGAGATACTGTATTGTGCAGACTAGGTTGTATGAATTCATAAAGGACGTTCTTAAAATAATGACAATATACAGAGTTTCTTTGTTCCAAACCTAAGATCATTTTCTATAAAAGTAAAAATGTCTTTGTGCTAGCTAGCACAACTGAAATATAGAGTGTAAACAGTGATATAACTCTTGGATGTGATATGCTGGGTATGATAAGACTGAGCTGGGGAGCATTTCATGCAGGACTGAATCCTAATCCATCTTCCTCCTGTCTAACTCTCTACCACTGTCAAACAAACAAGCAATTGTTCCTTCAAGTTATGACTCATGGGTTACAATTGCATAAGACAAGTCGAAACCTAATGCAACGGTTTTTTTTAAAACTTCAGGCTTACAGTTTTTGACAATATGCTTTTTCAGCGTTGCCTTTATTTATTTTATCCCCAGTGCCAATACAGATTAATACTGCAAAGGGAACAATACGGTGGGTGTGTGAAATAGATGTGCGTGTGCACAAACTGGAAAACAACCACTGCTTAAAGTGTATAAAGGGTTGAGGCTTGGCTTGGATAACAAAGGGAAAAAAGAAAGAAACTTTTTGGCAGTAAAAGCACACACAGCTCATAAATATGTGACCAAGTGTGACCAAGCAAAAAAAAAAAAAAAAAACATATAATAAGAAACCTAAGAAGAAAAGAGCCCCTGCAGACCATCATCAAAACCTAATGACTTTCACTGTCCAAGGTGCCACACACATAAAAAGAAAAGTTGCCCTCTTGTGCAGGAATTTCTCTGGAGCCCTAAATAGAATCTCTGACTGCATTGCCAGTTTCAGCACAGCCGCATAAGAACAATTTGGGCCAAAAAGGCATAACTTGTTAATCCTAAACAGATGTTACACCTTTGGAAGACTTAAAATACACTTACTTTATAAATGTGGCCTGTATTTGTCTTCAAAACATGAGTACATTTTTGCTTTGAGACAAAACAGAGGAGTAAAGGCTTGAAAAACAAACACACGGGACCATGTCAGGCAAATGAGAAGTCGTGTTGAGTAACATTTGGTTTGAGTTTGACTCATGAACTCTCTTTCTGTTTTCGCCGTGCTCTTAAGCTTCCAATAATGAGGGCAGCGTGTCTGGAAGCTCAAAAAGTCATCTCGATCTCCTGCCTTGTTCGCGATGATTCACAAACTGCAGAGCCTGCAGTAAGTGTGTCAACATTTAAATAGCTGGCTCTATAGCTGCATGTACTATGCTGTTGTGTACACAATAGTGTTGAAAAGAAGATGGGAGCATCCTGTTAATTAAGACAATAAAAACATGACAAACTTCCAACTTCTTCATTTCTGAATAAATACTAAAATTAGGTTGTTTGCTCTAAGGAGAACAGATTAGATGTTAGCCAATAACTGAATCTCTGTTTACAGAGGTTTCTGTTTTATTATTAAAAGGTGTTGCGAAATTTTAAAAATACCTTTTTTTTGTCTTTTTCAAGCATTTTTAAAAAGGCAAAACAAAACAAATGAAAAATCTTCAGTCCAAGCTTTACAGAAGCCAAGAATAGAGACAATGCTTACAACGTCTGTGTTTGTGTCATAAAAATTGCCAAAATGTTTTTGATTATTGCCACAAATATCATCTAACTACTTTCTTTCGAAGGTCCCGTCCCGTGCCATTTTATCAACCTGGCCTCCACATCCCCACAGCCACATCCAAGTTTTGTATCTGTGTCAATTGCTGCTCGGTTAAACAATGACAACAATCTTCTACTGCCCAGATTTCACAATGTTTGCACAAGAGACCTTGAAAAGCCGCCTTGCTTCTTTTTGCTTAATGCACTTCAGTTCATTCAGGTATACGTCTCAATCCCGCTGATTCAGAAAGTGGCGTAGTTATTAAATAGGCAATTCTCTCAAGAAAAATACAACAACAAATAAATAAATAAAAGAGAACACAAAATATTGTGAAAGACTTCTCCACACAATGTGGCCAGCTTGCAATGTTTCCTTCTTTAAACTGTTTGCACTATTAAATTCCCATTTCACTTTTTCAGTTGTATCTATTTTTGCCATCTTTTTTCTCAAATGTCTTTTGTTCAATTCCCCTTGAAGGACCCCCCCCCCACGGAGAAGCCACTTGCCCGTCAGCAGCAGAGAATAAAAAGAGTTTCTGCAGCACCTCAAAGTCATCTTGCCATCTGAACCAGGACCTCTTAAACCATCATCATTTTTGCCTCATCGTTCATTTAAATGTTATCAATTTCCCTTTACATTCATGTGTCACATACTGTATGTGGAAATGGGATTATAGCTAACGTTAATATCACTTTTGCAGTATCACAATAGCGCTTCAACACCGGCTGGAAATCTGCAGTAGGCAGAGAGGAGCAGCGGGCTAGATAAAGGGTCAGGTGGATTAGAGGAGGAACATTTGACGAAAGGGCTCTTTGGGGCTTTAGTTTTGTTACATCAGCAGGAAAAAAAACATGCTGGAATCAGAACAAGAGAAAGAGATTAGAGCTGATATTGGGGGAAGAATGAACAAGAAAAATAGTCGTGAGATTAGAGTTCAATTGCCCCTTATGCAAACTGCACCAGAGCGTGCAGGTTAGGCCCAATGGCAAGCCCCTGGGAGAACAATATGAGACCCCCTCTAAACAGATTAAGAAGAGGCAGGGGACATTCCTTCCCTTAACTGCAAACAGGATGTGAGAGTGAGAAGAATTGGATGCTGGGCTTACTATTCTATCTGCAACAAGTCTCCTTGCAGCAGCTGCTGTTAACGAGAATCGCTTTCATTGTTAGCATATGTGTCAGTTAAGTACTCACCCTGGCATCGCCATTGGCAGGTCTTGGACCATGGCTGAACGCCTGTGCTGGGTCTTTGTGGTAGACCTTCAGGCAGGAGTGATCTATGATGTTCCTGTAGGGGGAAGAGGTGTCCCGAGGTAAATAGGCAGCCCAGTAATCACCATCAGAATACGGTCGATCCTCCCTCACCCTGGATCTCAGTCTGTGCCTCAACCCTGCCAAGGGCACATACTCTGACAGAGGCTCTGACAGTCCTCCGTTGTATGGCATTTCCTCTAAATCTCTAAAGTCTATAAAAACATCTATTAATACCGAGTTGAAACGTGGCTCGACTACATAAACGGAGAGCCGAATGCTTGTTCTTATGCTGGTCTCACTCTCACTATGGTGTTGCACCCTGGACACATGAACCAACCTTAAGGAATCACAAGACACTTTATTACAGCCCTGATAAAGACTTCGTCACAGAGTACACATTGCACATGGGCAGGAACTCTGGAAAGAAAGGGGCAAAGTTGCTTATGTCTTCAAGAGTAATATATTCTTTTCTAAAAAAAAAACAGCTATGACTTGCTAAGACATGCTGATGAATACCAAACCATGAAGAAACAAGGAACAAGAAAAAGCAGTGAGCTCGTATGTGTGTTTGTGCGCTGAGTGAAACACACGACACAATACTTTGGAAAACGACATTCTGAGCATAGAAAGACCTCAAAAAGGTGTAAAATAATTGTTCAAACTTTTAAGAGTCAATCTTTTTGCCAGAGGAGAAAGGACAACAGGCAGGAAAGTCATCCAAGTTTCTCAAGAGTGCTCTTCAGTTTGTTTGAGTACAAAACATCGGAGACATCTTTCCAAAAGGGCTTTATGTCCAAATAAAGTTCTTCCTACTAAGTTTTAACATGTTGGAAAGAGGAAGCAAGAAGCTTTCCTGGCCAGTGACACTTCCTGTGCAGGGGGAGTTTCGACAGGAAGTTGTCTGGGAGGGGAAAAGGAAAGGACTTCAAAGGAAGACTGAAACATTATGAACCTTGGATGTCCTGTTAAACTTAGACTGACAAAACACAACACATGCTGCCCCATACGTATTCTGTATCTACGTTTATCACACACAATCGTACGCCTTTACCTGACATCAGTGAGCTCGTAGTACATGTTTCTCATGTCGTCTTTGACGTAGACGGCAACGCTGGGCGACTCCAGCATCTTCATGTTGAGCTGCTGTGGGAAGGCACTAACAAACAGAGCTCTGATAGTGTCGATACTGGTGATCTCATTCGGCATGCGGAGCTGTTTGGTCTCGTCCCCGTACTGCAGGTACAGCACACCTGCAGACAGAAAGCAGGGGGGCAGGGTGATTAGCCTGAAATTCGCTAACACTGACAGCCTGTCCCTTCAGGCCTCCGACTAAAGCCACTCCCCCAAATGTATTATAATGAACACAAACATATCCAAATGAATGTAAACAATGACTATTGTTGTACTCACATCTGTCAAGCTAGCAGCTTGTAAACAGACAGGTGGCCTGGACAGGCTTATTACAGTCACAGATATTTGGCCAGATTAAAATGTGGAAAACTCTGTTTCCACATTTTTTCCCTGGTGTTCCATTGATACCACCAAACCACTAATTGTTGCCCAAAGACTGTCGAAGCACTTTAAATGCTAAAAAAACAACACTTTTCTGTGTTGTATAATGTCCTGATAGATCTTCAGCAGCATATATTCGTAAGGCATGTAGTAGCGTTCTAAACCTGCCAATCACATGTTTGTGAACAGCATGCTGTATATTCCAGACAAATGACTTGATATTTAAAAAAGTGAGTTAGGGCGTGACATAGGGCCGTGTGCTCAGGGTGGAACAGTACAAGTTGTGCATCAAAAATACCAAAGCCTGAACCTGTGAACTCTGGGTGGGGCTTCTGTACTGTGCTTTACAAAAACAGATGTCTCCCTGGTAAGATTTACAGACACGCCCCAACTGCATTTGTATAAACAATGCCAGGGAATAGAAGACAACAGAGTTCTATTTCTATTCTCTGATTCATTGCTCTAAACAGCATGGCTCAGATTTGTATTGAAGTCATCTGTAGCAACAATAGAACGTTAATGAAAAGAAAAAGGGAGTTAAATAAGTTTGTTTGTCTTATTTCATGAGTCATCCAGAATGTCACGTTTCAAGAACTGCTGAGACAAAAGACTTGCTGCGATACACATAAATCGCAGCAAGGCACTTTTACATTTGTGCACTACAAATAGCTGGTTTTAAGGAAAAGAGGACTGGTTTTACTTGGTGTAACCCCATAAAAGGACAGAGCCAGTAAAAGCTAACAGATGTTGGTGAAATATTATACAAGACCCTACATGCTCCACGAGACAGGGTGAGACAGAGAGAGGGCAAATCCAGGAAATAGAATTGCTGAGTCTATTATTGCTCTTTCTGGTCTGTCTGGGTTTCTGGGTAGTAATAACTTAACAAAGTGCCCATTTGCAGAATAACTTCATCCTTCCCCGGAGAGCTGTTATGTTAACAGTCGTCTAGTTTTCATCCAGATGTTGGCAATTAAAGCGAATGAGTTTGATGACAAAGCGCCATTGATTAAGCACGCATTATGAAGATTTGAATTCTTTAAGTTTCAGTTTGAACTGCCGCAACAATGTTGAATAGCTCGGTTCTAGCACAGAGTCGTGTTACATTCCTCAGCGCCTGGTTTCACTCAGGATTGAAAGCAAATGGCCAGTGGGTTTCCTGACCAAATGGGCAGAGCACTGCAGACTGTCTGAGCTTTAAGAATTTTCCAAATTTATCCAGTGGGGCACAAAATCCTGAAAACATCATTCTCTGCCCGTTAATATCATCACAAAGTTTGAAATGCGACAACAGAAACTAAAAAAATGCTATATTAGAACCAGAGAATACATAAATACAATACATTTGATGCCCCACTCTGGGTGAAATCTGATACTCACATTAGGGGTTTTAAGGATTTCCTGTTTTCTGTGAAGTATTATGATGCTCTGGAAAAGCCCACGCGACAACTCCTACCGTACAAACTGAGGATACTAAGCCCCAAATGTCCGTTGGGACCCAGCGAAGTGTGTGCCTATGTGTGTGTGCGTGAGAGGTTGTGGGAGGGACACTGTATCTAAGTGGTGCCCCTTTTTCCTCTCCTCCCCCTTTATCACACCATAACCCCCCCACTGTCATAACGCTGTGTCCTGATGTTTTTTAGAGGGAAAAAGTGGGAGCTGGGGCATGTGTGTGTTTGTGTGTGTGTATGTGCATGCATGCATATCTGTTAAAAGTGTTTTTGTACAAGTTTTGCATCTCTGCTTCTCACGCAGAGCAAGAGGAGCGACAGGCACAAAAAGCGTGGAAAAGTGGCACCCTATAGTTTCATTCATTTTCACTTTGGTGGAAAGGCGTGCCATTCAGACGCTTTTCTATTATCCAGCAGCAGATGCCTCGCTGAGTTGTGAGCTACCTTTGAAGACTATCCTCCTAAAAAAACGACAGCCTATTCACTTTGTTGGGGAACTTCTCAAACTCTTTCCACCACTTTCTCACCCTAATGCAGGAACCTAATTCTGCACAACTCACAGCGTTTCTGCATATGGATGCAAATGAAGCACTATTTGTGTTGATAAGACAACCCATTTCTAATCCTGTCAATAACACGATGCCATATTGTGGATGGATTTCCTAATCTTTCACTACAGAGGGAATGAATTCTAATTACAATGGAGCTGTGAGCTGATGGGGAGAAAGGAAGAAGGGAGGAGAGGAGAAGATAGATGGAGCGAGAGGAAAAGCCTTGGACAAGGTGAAAACGGTGAGATCACGGTGTGGTTAGGAGTTATTTAAGAGAGTTCTTAAGTTGTGCCAAGGTTATGCTAAAAGAGCTGCAAAAAGTAGGTTATCGAGAAAGAATGCATGTCAATTCAATTTACCCTCAGTCTTTTCACAAAGATTGAGCCTTTATTCTCAATAAGTTCTTAATAGACCAGATATAAAATTCTCAGTGGCAGTTTGGGGGAAACGGAACGAAAAGACAGTTGAACAACAAGAAGCAAAGCCTAATCCAGATAAGTTTTACCAGCTGACTGAACTGTCGCCAACACAAAAGCCTGGTACAAAGCATACCTAGCGAGCGGTCCTTTGTCTGGTTGGTCGATCGCACCACGGGCAGGCTAGCGCGAATCCGGCTGCCCCGGGTGAAGGCTGTGGGTGAGTCGGCCTCAGACATGGCGTCGAACGACTCCAGGGAGGCCAGTGATAGGTGGTCGACCTGGTCGCCGATGCTGGAATGCGGGCCGTGCTTTGGGCTTCTGGTCTGGAGGGGGAGGCACATGGAAACATGATACAGTAAGGGTTAGACCAGGGACGCACGGTACACAAAATGATACAGTACATGTATTAGTTTTTCATTCATGGAAGGACACAACAAAGCCTTTTCATTTTCCAATTAGTGTGAAACATACTCTTTAAGATATGATGCATTTGGGGGACACTGTATCTGCCGAGCTGGAATAAAGTGCCCTTGATGTTGAGCTCGACTCCAACACAACAACTACATAAACCAAACGACTGCAGTCACGCAAAAGGCAGAGAAGTGTTATTACTGTATGTCACTGATACACGCTCACACATCTAACACCGCTCATTGCGGTCACACAAGCACGTCACAGCAACTAAAAGTCACCAAGCATGAGGAAGCTTCTAATCATGCTACAGGAGTCTCAGCTTTTAGATTTCATTTGCACCTGCATGAGGCAGCCCAGGGTCTAAAGCTGACAAAAGCTAACAAACGGTTCAAAACCTGCATGATGACTAACTGAAAGAGATCAAACTGAAACCTGCAGTGTGGGTACTAAAGAAGAAGGAATTCCTTCTTCTTTTTTTTTTTTACCATGGATAAAGGATTAAGAATTGTGTCATCAAAGACTTGAAGATCAGTTGGCTTCTCTGTAATTTGATCTACATGACATGGCATCCTATAGCCACAGCTACAATAAGACAATGTGTGACTACAGAGCCTGTAAGGTGATCTGTGCCACAGGGACGAGGTGCGACTAAAACTGAGGGGTCAGTGAACACTGGGCTCTTCATGAAATGCTCCTCTTCCCTGGCAGAAGTGTGGTGCTGGAGAGCTAATGCAGCTGGAGACACTTGAGCACACCTGCATGCTCACGCTGCTGTTCTCTCACACTCATACACGTACGGACAAATTCAGATATTAATCTTTTCATATTAAGTGCAGTTGACATTTGGGGATGCTTTCATGGCCAGAACAAGTGTGCTTGGCAGGCACAGACAGGTCAGACGCTAATAGGCACGGCGGCATAAGGGTTGGGAACATGGTCACGCAGCAGATGTTAGTGAGGATGCATACATGCAACGTAGCCACACACACACACACACACACACACACACACACAAAATGGCATGATGCAGATAAGATATAAAGGCTGACTAACTCTGTGGGGCAACTGGATTTTCATCAAGTACCTCTGAATGTCAAGCTCAGAGTGAAGGGAGGAGAGCATGCCCTGTAAAGACTGATGGGAGAAAAAAAAAAGGAGAGAAGAATAAAGTAAAAAGCAAATGGCTGGGCCATGCCAGTGGGAGGGCAAGATGGAAAAAGAAATGGTCATCAAACAAAACAGAGGAACCATGGAAACAAATCAATGTCAACAGCAGACCACAGAAAAGTAGAAAGAGGTTCAAAGGAGAAGCTAGTCGTAAATGTGTCTTCAACACAATCTTATAGCAGAGAGATTTTATAAGCTTATTTGAGCTTAATGAGTGCTGACAGAAATCCTTGAAACCCCACCATTTAATGCTTTCTATTCAATGCATTAATTGGCGTCGTCAATATCATACATCATCCCTGGAGCATTTCCAATCATCACTGTTCTCATCCCCGTGTGATTTTTGCTGAGTTACAGTGTGCAAGCATTTACTGCATGTGATGCAGCGACCTGACACAGCATGCAAAACTGCTGAGCCATCACTCAACAACTCCTGTAATTCCATTAAAATACGCTTCGGCTTGCAGCAGCCACAGATTAAAAATACATGAATAAAAATGTGCCCGTATGCTGTTAATACATGATGATCGTGACCTCTCACAACAGAGGGGTCACATGGAGTTGACGGGTCACCTAAAACCAGACATTTGTTGGGGAATTGAATATGAAAACTGAATGATTTATGAGCGTATTCATTAGTGGTGGGTCCAAACAGCCCTCCCACACTGCTGTTCTATCTTCTCATGTTACTGTGTCACCCTTGGGAAAGCTGAATCATACTGTCTCCTGGTTCCAGCTGATCCAACAGATAGGAGAGCGGTATCAATCTATTGAAAGTATTCATTGAAGTCTCACAAGATAAACTACTCGACTAAAACGCCTGTGCATCCGAATTGTAGTTAAAGCAAGATGCGCTGTATAAAAACTGTTGCTTTCCATTTCAACCAAATCATAATAATGTGTTTAAATAGACACTGTGTGACAGCTGGAGTAGAATTGCACAGGAAGCAGTGGCATATAAAAAAATGCAGGAAACTGCAAATGTGGAAAGACTTAATTAAGTTAAACCACTCCGCACCAGTCCACACCTGACAAATGAGGTGTCCCCTCCAAAGGTTGAGTCCAGATGAACTCCTCTGTCTCTCTCTCCCCTTCTTCCTCTTTCTCATGCATGCACATTGGCATCATCATTCTGACAACGGCTACTTCTGATATTGCCTAAAAGCCACTTCCTGTCCCGGCTTTAGCGTCCAGATGTGAAAAACCGCAGGCCAACCGCTGATTAGCACCGTAAAAAACCTGCTTCAACCCGCTCGCACCTACAGTACATTCCACACCAGTGATTTCCCCCCGCTTCAGTCAAAACCATACAGCCTGTGATTCTGCTTTTTCAGCAGCGGCTCCCTCTGTAACGCCACATTTGCTCTGACAGCTATGATGAATGTGAAACTGAGACACCGACACCGACATTAGCTTGCCTTATTCACGGGAACATGACAAGTTATAGAGTCATGAAAAGTGCCCCTTGAGAAGCAACGCGTCTTGAAAATAGATCTCGGGAAGTGTCAGAGAAATCAGTAAATGTCTACTAGAAGGATGGTGGGTTGTCTGTGAGGTGCTGTAGGACGTCACCTTTGTCAAATACTCATCACGATTGGAGTATGTTCGAGCAGGTCTAGGAAAAACTCGATGCCTCATCTAAGTGCACTGCTTGCAGCAGCTTCATATCAAATGGATGTCAAGTGTAATGTAATGTTGACAGGCCGTGGATTAAGAAAACAACCATGCTTGTAGAAAAAAACAGATCGAAAGAAAGTAAGCGGTTCAAATGCACGCGTGTTGTGTGTGTGTTTCAAACAGAGGGATACAAAGAGAGACTGAGCGCGTGCATGAGTGAGTCAGGCCATTGTTCCAGAAAATCTGACCCGAACCCAGTACATCCTGAAAACATTCATGCTACAGTGGTCTGACAAACAGTGTGCTGTCATTATGAAGAAAGCTCAGGTCTGTGTTTGCACGTCTGCACTCCCAAAATAAATGTAACATTCAAATCCTTTAGGTCCGGTGCCATTACATGCGTTATACAATACTTTGTACTCTCTTACGACGCCAACATTTCACTTCAGCGTATCTGCACCGGAGCATGCATATGCAGTAATGAGTGCTTTTCATTTGTACCCGTCTTGAAGCTTACAGAGCAATTTGAAACTGAAGGGACAATATTGCACAGTTTCACCGAGCAGAAAAGATTATGTTATATCATGCGGCCCCTGTCTTAGCTCCTGACAAACAGCTTGACACGCGCAGCCGAGACGGGGCGATTAAAGTAAATCACGATTGTTAAGAATAATGGCAGCCCCCACCAGGAGCCTGCTGTGTCACTCGTGGAGAAAGCTGCCAGAGCATCGTGCGCCACACCTGCTGCCAGCCTACACGAAGCCCACTGATTGGCGCCTACTTTCTTACATAATCAACAAAATTGGGGTCATAATAGCGTACTCATAACATAGCATGGCTTTCACCTTAAAAAAAAGATTCTCCTGACATCTGGAGGATTTTGGAAATCTATGACAAACAATAAACTGCAAGTTTCACAAGAAGCCAAATATCTCTTATGTACACAGAGTGAGCAAACGCATATAGGCAACCGGAGAAACAAGTTTCGTTGACTCATTCTATATTGTCTTTCCAGGCGTGAAAGAATGTAAACATGAGAGTGGAAGCTTGTGTGGCTTTAAACACAAACTACGGTGTTGTGAGCACAGCTTTCCACTTAAGATGCTAATTTGGCCCTCGCTCTGGGAAGCGGAAATAGAGCTAACTGTAATTACCTGGCCTGATCTGTATGGCAAACACATAAACAGAAGACGGCAGACATTTAACCCCTTACTTAACTTATCTCATTCTGACATGCTGTTCCACGTAGAGCATTGGCTCACTGTGGTAAGCGTCAGATTTGGGTGAGATGCTTTTAGAATTTGTATCCTCTCCTCCCTTTTAGCATTGCCAAGTGTGTCACAGTTTTTCCGCAGAAATAAAAGTTAGAAAATCCGGCACAAACCTACAAGACTTCATTAAAAACCACCGTGCGTCTAAAACTCAGTGCCACTGCAGTGCTGCTCAACTTTGAATCATAAAGCCGCTGTCAATCAACCAGTCAGCACTCAGTCCATATGCTGTCTGTGGACAGACCATCATCCTTTGTCTCCCCTAGCCTTAACGACATTATACTGAAATCCCCTAGTCATCCATTCCCATTCATTGCTACTACATCCCTCTCTCCCTCCCTCCTCTGATGCATTCCTCCTCTAATCCCTTCATCCAAATCCCCAGATGACCTTTCAGAAATGGGCCTGCTTGTTAATTAGTGTGTTAAAAGGAGATGATTTTATAGTATCCACAGTCAAAGCTGACAGTGAAGGTGAAGCCAGACGTTGTGGCAGTTCAAGACCCACCATCTACAAGTTTATAATCAAAAGACCATGTCAGAAATACTCGGGCAGAACAATAACCATAACTGTTACTATCTTATTAATAAAATATTACATTGGCAAGTGAAATGTAATCAAGCAGATCTGTCATTCAAACGGCAAATGAAAACAGACACGATACTGTGTCTGTTGACCCAGAGCAGAGAGGAGGCAAGATGACTATCTCTTCCTCCACTGACATTTCCAACAACTGAGCCACACCGTCCAATCGATTTCACCCACTCACGCATACACGACTTAGTCACGGTTATCACCAGCAGACATCACCCACTCCTCTGAATGACAGAGGTTACGAAAGTCGACTTTGCGTGACCATCAGATATATCAGCCGGTGGGAGTTTGTGGAGTAGAAAACTCCGTCTTGAGTTGCCACCGCAGGTTTAAAAGTCCTTTCAATATAAATGCATGAGTCCTCCTCAGTCCAACTCAAAAGTATTTTAACCAAAGACGTCTTAAAAGCATAAATGTAGTATTTACCATATTAGAGCAGCGGCGATATCCTTCCAGCAGTGACTGGAAACAGGATAATTTCCTCCACTGTTATTTCAGCCCTTGCTCTGTACAACTGCCCCGTCCTGCTCCCTTCCCTTTCTGCTGTAACTCACAGCGGATGCCCCCCCGATCTAACGCACACACCACCCCACATCCCGAACTATCCAACAGCACAATACAAACACACCCAATCCACACATGGCGGGCAGCAGGGAGAAGTCATTGTTTGAATGTCTGCGTTATGTGTTGGAGCACGACTGTGCAAGTTTTTGAGAGACAGAGAGTTTGGAAATGAGGGACGTCTGCGCGAATCACAACTTTCAAATATTTCTTACTTGCAGGCTATTTCCAGCAGCCTATAAGAGGAAAACCGGAGGCCCTCGTCCTATAGAACACACGCACACACACTCTGACACATGCTCACACATCTGAATAGCAATGCTGCATACCAATGATAAACATATTACAATAATGAAAGCAATTTGTGTTGCTAGAATTCACTTTTTCATTGCTGTGTGGGAGTTTTGAGCCACGCATTCAAGTCAAGGCCTTACAAAAAAAAGACAGGTTCAAACTTAGACCTAGACAGATTATTTACTTGTCTTGCATGCAATGATTTGCATCCACCAATGAGAGTGCACTGTCTCTCTTACCAAATAAATACATGCAAACTATTTGCCAACGGGGCTGCACAACCATGATCTGTCAAGACTTGTTCTTTAAAATCCCTTCATCAAGAGCAAAACACATTTAACCGCTGAACAGTTAAGATTATCCCAGAATAGCTTCACACAAACACGTAGGATCCCTGCATAATGAAACACAAAGAGCTGCCATCCATAGATACACAGTGGACAAAGCCATGCTCATATTTCTGATGGCCCATTTACGTGACACGTCCTCACATGAACCTGGTCCGTCTCCAGAGAGCGTCTCTCCTGAAAGAAATCACCTTCCAGGTCTAATTTGAGCCTCTCTGGGAGTATATCCGAGAATGTGTGGATGTGAGTGTGTGTGTGGCTCCGAGCCTGTGGTCACCAAAACAAAGAGGGCTTTCTTCTCTCTTGAGAAACCGGAGTCCTGCATCCTCTACATCATGTCGCACACACAGAAACGCACCTATAATCTAATGTGATCAAAGGGGCTTCATTCTAGTACTGCCGAAGCTAAACTGAATTTCTGCAGCTTTATTTGATAACAATGTATTGGGAGTCTTGGCTGGTTTTAAAATCACAATATTTTGTCAAGTGTCAAGTATCCTATTTCGTCCCATAAAACCAGCCCTGATAATGGCTTTGCTATTCATGCCTAATTACCAAGTCACCGAAGACCACATACGCTCCTCCACTGAGCCTATTTATTAGACCTGCTCTCCCAGAGGAGAGATTCTGTGTGTAGAGAAAGACTCAGATAATCAGTAGTAAACTGAAGTTTTAATTTAGCTTGATAGAACTGCATCCAATGCGTCTGCAGTTCCTGAAAAAAAGTGATCAGCTACAGTTTATTTTATACTTGAAAGTTAAATAACAAATATTTGATGTGCTTATCTGTCGTGCTTATTATTTTTTTATTATTAGCCATTGTTTTTTCCTCTCGTTGACTCGTAGTAACGTGACCTGTTTCTGACCTCTGGCAGACACCATGTGAAACATTGCTCACACGCAATTCTGAGCTCTCAACTCTGGATGACTCAGATAAGTTATGAAACTCTAACTCAACTGTCAATAAACAACAGAATGCACTGCTGCTTGTAGTGTCGTATTACCACCAAGTGTTCTCTGCACTGAGCTGACCTGACTTATTTTTTTAGCTTCAATGTTAACACCATCTGCAAAGTGTGAAGCAGTAAATTATAACAAAAGGTGAATACCTGTATACGTAAAACATGAGCCATAGTTGAGGAAGATTATGGTGTGAGCCCGAGGAGAAGGTGTTATGATTAACTGCAGCACATGCTCCACTTCTGTCAAATAATCTAATTTATTACCGATTCCATTAGCTGCTGATGCCTGAAATGTATATACTTTCCCACTGTATACTTACTCGTATTCCAGGTGTTCCCAGTCGTCTATGTCATCTTGTTTGGTTAAAGAAAAACCTCTCTTCTCGTTCTATCTGTTGAAAATGAGTTTTAAACATTTAGAAAAGCAAGTCGAACTTTGAGCCAAGTTGCTGCCATGCTTTTCTCTGCCCCACACAACCGCACTCCACCCCTTTGTCTCCACTGAGAAGGGCCAACTGGAAATAAAGCACAGGAGATCAAAATAAGGTTTGAGCCAGATGCTTGGAGCCGATCCTCTCAGTGGGGAACTCATCCTGATGTGCCTCTGTGTCGGATTTGCCTTTTGAAGTTGGGCTCATACCTTTGGCCCAAGGTGGAGCCCAGATGTCAGGCTGCATGCAACCATAGCAAAGGTTCAGATAGAGAAAACAAGGAAAAACACCCCTCATGCTTGCCCCCCCATTTGGGAAAATATCTTTATCAATATATGAAAGATATGAACAGGCAATCCATCGAAATGAAAAGATATTCTGAAGACAGAACATCAGCAACACAAATAGATAGATCTAAAGCATTAACTCAACAGCATGTGCGTTCCATCATCCTTACTGGTAACAACACATTTTGTCCATTAGCTTACCAGCAAAGTAAATTAGCTCCTCAATCTAGTCTAATGACTGGAAACGTCTTGCTGAACCAACAAAGGCTGCCAACATGCCTGTAGCTTCGGGCCTCCTTCAAGTACCAAACAAACATAAGAGACCAACCAAACAGGTATCTACTGGGAACGATGTGACATTTAGGGTGGAGAGCTTGCAGGCTATTCAGTAACTGACAATGAAACGTATCTAATGTTGTTGTACATGCTGTGCATCATGCTGTGCATCATTTCAGGCCAATATATTACAAAATTAAAATGTGTTTTTTCTGCCACTATGCTGGTGTAATGCTGCACAGCTGTGCATTAGTGACAACCAAGGTGATAAAACAAGTCAAGGAATGTTCCTCAGGCTACAACTACTGTATTAACGAAGGAACTTAATTGCACCCAAAGGAATGTAAGGGTGTAAGGTTAAAGAGGTCCCAGACATTTCACCTCCATTCTCTGCAAATCTGTAAACATTTTAGGATCCTCCATACCATCACCAGCCTCTTAAACCTGAGGAGAAACAATATATCTGAAGACAACTCTGACTTCTGTTGTTCAGAAAGGCTGCAGAACAGTACATTGAAAAGAGCTCAGACCTGATTAGCTGGTCTGATTAACACACTGGCGTTGCGTTTGTGTGTAAAATTCTGTCTGGCTTGGCTCATTATCAGCAGTGATCAGAGGCAGGTCCATCAGGGCCTTCTGTCACAGCGGCTTAACTCCCCCCCCCCTTACCTCCCCACGACACTCAGGATTAGACACAGCCTTGGCGCCGCTCCACGGACCACTTGTCCTCTCGGTTGGGGTGCTGCACCCCCAAAAAACCCAACCCCCCGCCACATAACCCCTATTAACTGGTCAACGCATGCCCGTCATTAACCTTGTGGTTCTTGTTTGTGTTACTCGCAGTAGCGCTCAACGTGTCACTTCATGCAGAGGTGGCAGATGCTATTAAAAACAGTCCAGCTCCTGCTCCTGATGGTCAGTGGAGGAGGCCTGATGATGATTAAAAGCAGATGTTTTTCTGCAGACCTGCTGCACACAGTGTCTGGTTGTGTGATTTCCGACACAAGGTGCAATAAAGGCTATGACAAAGAGGTCTTTTGTGAAAATACCTCATGGGTACAAATGTTGTGTGCAATAATCTGCACGGGTGCTTACCAGATCGTCTCTGACAACTCTTGTGATACTGCATGAATACTGTGCCAAGAGTGGAAGACAATGAATGATTATTTCCCTTTGTGCAGTTCAGTTAAAAACACTCCTCCCAAAAACTCCCTCTCTATTCTTTGATCAGATCTCTTGCAGGGAGGTAATGCATGCTCGGAGCCAGCGTTATCTAGCCGACCTTGGTTCTGAGGAGCAAGAGTGTAGCAGGGCCAGGAGCCCACAGAGAGAAGTACGTGGGGGTCTGGCCAAATGTTGCAATGCCTCAGAAAGACTCGGAGGGAGATTTTACAGTACATTAACTGTGTACAATGACAAATGAGCAGTATTTATGTGGTGTTTTTTCAACATGAATTGGTGGGAAGGTGCAGATCTTGTGCACCCTGCCATCTTACTGGGGTTGTTACTAAATGCAGCATGTTTCATATTTCACTGATCTGCTTTTGACTTGCTGCCCAACTACTAGTAGGGATCTCCTCTGGTGTGAACTTTTCCCAAGGCTTCTTCCAATGATTTGTTCCCATCAAAGGTTTCTTCTCTTTTTTTTCAGCATAAACAATATTATTATTATCATCATCATCTTGTAACCATTTCCCCTCTACATTTTAAATTGTGTGATGTGAAAAAGCTATAAGGCTAACATAGCCTTTTAACATCGAAGATGCTTTGGTTTTGATGGACAAAGAAGTTGCCAAGTTAACGATACAGTACTGCCATGCTACGTTGCCAACACAAATGATGCATTACAAGACAATTACCTACGATAGATCATGTGTGAATGAAGAGGAAAACATTACCTCTAAAACGCCGACTTCCAAAAATGCTATATTTCAAAAAATATTTATTTTGTAATTGAATAAAACACATATGTATTTATTCAATGCATGATGTGCTTTCGAGGGTTGTGCAGCATCTTGGCTTTTTAGTGCACACAAACAGCAGTGTCTTCAACACGTGCGCCATCATTTCAATAACAAACAACCGAAAACTGGTAAAAGAAAGTTATTAAAACAGATAAAGACCACATTACAAGTACAAGAAAACGCCTCTGGCTAAAGTACAGAACACAAAGTGATACTGTTGGGCAATTTATCAAAAATGGCTCACAAGAGAATGTATTGTGATAAATTGAATAATTGTCTCACCCTAAGCCAGAAATAAAATGATCTTTAGTTGTAAATTCATTTTTGAAAATCAAAAACAAATTTACTGGCACCAGAAGTAAAGTGTTGTCCGAATCTGATTCTCGTAATGTTCAGAAAATAGAAATACCTGACATCGCCTTTCTTCAACACAGCCCACCTACACACTGAATCAAATACTCTAACTACACCGTAAGCAAAAATTGCACTGGAAAACAGTCGATCTATTATGACTCACACTGCTACTGTATATGTGCTCTCATCAGCCAATGGATTATCACAGTTTGGGGGTGACAGACCTGTCCGTCTGTCTGTCTGTCTGTCCGGTGCCCACAGCTGCAGACAGCTGTACATGACCGCTCCACTCTGTATAGAAACCAGGGGCCTCGCAAGTCACAGCTCATCACACGCATACACTGACACACAGGCGGAAGAAGGGAATTTGTGTGTGTGTGTGTGTGTGTGTGTGTGTGTCTGTGATCGGTCAAGCAGTTCAGTTTGTGTTCGTCAAAGCCCCTGAGCACAGAGAGAGAGAGAGGGGCGACAGGATGGGTGGCGGCCAGGCCAGTGGGATATTATCTCCTCTCCCTTGGGTGGGATCCAGGTCTTTGCAGGCCTGATGAGTAGAGGAGGAAATTAAACCACTTGCTTTTGTAGCGGGTTTAAGGATCACAGAAGGATGCGAGGGAAGAATTGAGGGGACACCTTTATATAAGGCTGAGTCAGTCAGTGTGTATATAGTCACGCTGGGTGGAGCGGGGTCATCCACGTTTCAAACTGAAGCGATATCATCTTCCCAACCTCCGTTTGACCTTGATAAATCCCCGCCTTTGTAACTCAAACCTCCGGAGACAATTCTTTCTCACCCCTGAAACCTGCATTGTTGCCACTGATGTTGTCTTTCCTGTATGGTCGGCACTTTTACGCCTGCGTGAGAACCTTCGTCCTGAGCTATCTATCAGCCACTTCACTTGTTTTCTTTCTGTTTTTCTCAAAGCAGAATAACTAATTACACCTCCCCGGGACACGAAATGAGAAAACGCTTCAATAAACGTGTCATTTTTGTTTTGTTTGATTACATTTTCTGTTTATATTAGCAGTGAATGATTGCATTTATATTGACATCCTGAATGAGATTATGCCAAATACAGTATTCAATCATCTTTTTTCATTTATCACTGCAAAGTTCATTTGCCAGACATTCATGTTCAAACCAGTCTGCTTTCTGACAGCATCTTATATTTTCTTCCCTGACATCATCACTCAAATCTCACTCCCAACATCTGAATGGCATATGAGGAGCTTCATCCCAAAATCAATTAAAAAGTGTCATGTCTTTCAAAGTCAGCATATCAGCACCAACAGATCATTTATTTCAGTGATTCAGCAGCTAAATGAGGAACTTAAAACGTTTTAAAATAACCCAAATTTTCTTTTGTTACAGTAGCTTAACCAATATGAAAGCATGAGTTAACCCCTTGCTAATAAGGACAGTATGTTCCAAACAAAATTACCTATGACCCAGGAATAACCCCAAACATCATTGTCTATACAAGCTCACAGCAAAAGAAAATAGTCCTCCTCTTGCTGCTTCTTATTGCATGTGCTGAACAAATCCACCGACCCTGGACACATCAAAGGTAATATATTGGAATCCAATTATCAGAAGAAAAAAGCAAAGCTCCAAACTCCATTACAATCTGTCAATAAAATAACACATTCAATCCATGCCAAGAATAAGACTGTGAAAATTCAATAAGAGCCATTAAGTTATATTGAAGTGAAACCATGGCAGTATCCACTACCGCTTCCATTTAGATGACAAAAGCAATTATGGATCTTTTTTTAAACTCAATTGACACCAACACACATTTAAAGAAATATGAAATTACTAAATCTCAGACATTTGGTAATAAAAAAAAATCATTGCAAAACATGTATTCGTAATATCAGTGACTAACCACGTAAAAAAATCCTGCTTATATTGTCCCCAGAATTAATATCTTGCACGATATGGCACGTTGTTAAGCCTCAACTTCCCGTTCACAGTCGATCATTTGCTTTGCAATTATTGCTTTACGTTGGTGCCATCTCGTTAAGATTATGGGGAGCTGCAGCAGATATGGGTGATTGTACTTTAAGGGTGAAATACTGCCGACCACCTCGCGGCGTCCATCTAACTAAACATCGGTGAAGTGGAGGGATCTCTGCGGTTAAAGACTTTTTCGTCCGTTTTTTTCTTTCCCAGTAAAACTCGTGCGCCAAGTTTTGCATTTGCTTCTTGGAAGTTTGCAGCACCTGACGCGATGTTGTGCACTCTGCTGCAGCACGAACACTCCCAGGCGTACCACACTTTGCTTAAAAGCGCAATAATCCGTGCATTAGCGCCGTAGTACTCACAATGGCACGCAATGGCACGCGATGTCTGGACTGCCTAAAAGAACGGCAAAGTTTCCGATCGTCGGCTCTCCTACCTTTATCGCCTCTGCCCGTGCTGAAGGAGTCGGTGTGGCAAGTTTATTCCGTCTGTATGGAAACTTTACTTCTATTCCTCTGCGGAGCCATGCCTCAAGACGTTCTTCAGATCCGTCGCCTGTTCTGCAGCGCAGCGTCCCCCGCACTCACACATAAGGCTGCACAGCTCTCCCGCAGCCAGCCAGCTCGCTCCAGCAGGCACCTACACGTAAACTGAGCCCCTCCAGCCGTGACATCATGAGTCACTATGGCAACTCTGACTCCACCCCAGTTCGGAGCTGAATTTACCTGTCAGACTACCTCAGTCTCACAACAAACTCTTTTCCCCCCCATTTCCCTGCACGCTCACGATAACAACTGCATATGCACACAGATTTTCCATAAATGCGTGATGACTTGATGGTAAAATAATGCATTTACATAGTAGTAACCCCAAATCTCTCCCCCTCTCTCTCTCTCATACATAAAAACACACACACACAAAAGCAACACAGTTGAGTTGATAGGTTTGGAGTAACATAACACAGCACCCCTGCTGACTGATATTACCGATGCAAATTCAAAGAGTTCACGATCAGTTCCTCATGAAAAGGGTTCACTTTGCATGTGTGCAGGTCTGCGTGGGCTGGTCTGAGAGAGCAGCACACCAGAATTCCTCTTGCACAATGCCTCGTACCACTGCCTGGAGCTCCCCCCTGTTGCTCGGTGCCAATCTCATCCATTACCTCAATTGTTTTGGCTACAAAGCCAGCTTGCCCCTCCCCTTTGTCTCCTCTGACCCAGAGCAAACAAACAGACAATGGCCAGGTGAGCCAAATGTCCGAGTCGTGACTCCCTCTGTGTCGCCCTCCCCCATCAACTTTACTTGACTTCAAAAGGCATGGCAAGACCGTATAATGAGTAAATGCTCCGAAACAAC